ACCGTCTTCGACTTCGTGATATAATATAGATATTGAGAATTCGAATGATGTCAATACAAACGACGCCTCAGACCGAGCAGTGCTATCTAAGGGCTTGCGAGAGATTGTGGATGCTGCCCGGGAGCGGCAGCGACTTGAGGCGAGCGACGCTGCCTCACTCCCATTCCAAACTGGACGACAGCACTAGTGGCGACCTTTGTGGGGACTGGCAGCACTTTCTGGATCAAAGAGCTGCACGCCAGACGGAGCTGATTGAACACGGAGGCCGAAACTTTTGAAACTGGATCAAACAACGCGAGGAAAACCTGCCCAGGCGGCAACATATTCACATGGAGTAGGATCATTTCATCTGGAGGGAAGGAGATTTTCATGCGGACACGCGTTGAAAAAAGACGACACGACAACGTCTTCAACGAGTACACCCCCGCTCAATGTCGATACAATGCTCTCGAGAATGAATGGGACCTGTTTGAGGAATTTGCACTGGAAGTCAAGTCGAAGAATGGTCAGGATTATGTGGGCTATGAGCATTCAGACAGTGAGGATGATGGCTTTGATCCTTTTGAAGGCTACGAGCACCTTTATGTCAGTGAAGACCAGAACGTCTCACCAACCTCTCCAGACGGAATCCCCCCCTCTGGTGCCTCTCCTGGTGCCTCCCCCGCCTCTCCTGAACCTGATGAAGTAGCAGTACCCATGGATGCTGAAACCAACCTCCTGGTTTCCCTCCGCCTTATGTACGGATTCAACCCATCCCCTACTGCTCAAACACCCCACCCTCAAGCACCCAACCTCCGGAGTTGGTCAGATGTCCTGGGTGTCATCGGGACAAAATCAGAACCTGATGTCTCAGACCGAGACAAGGTTCTAATTCGTGAGTTCATTTCATGCCTCATCGACAGCTCTTCGGGATTGCCAGCACCCTCCGACAACCTCAACGCAACATCGGATCAGCCTTTGGCAACATCCTTTGCGCTCGACACTGTGGAACGCATCAGTGAGGACCTATACGTGTTCAAGCTACCTCCTTCCCCCTCTTGCAAATGGGTCATCGGTGTTGATCGCCCCACGACTGTTCTTTACATCTGTCGACTGGTTGCCTCCACTCCGAACACGCATATGGTGCTGACAATCGCCTACCACCTACTTGAGCACCACATACCCTTCCGCACCCTCCTTCTGCAGGCCTCCTCGGAGCCCGAACAGCTCAATCTCCCATACGCAGACAACGCCAACCGTTTTAACAAGCACCAATTCACGACAGCAGACTTCGACAGTGCTATGCTCGAGTGCCGCGCGCTGCTGGGCCGCCTGCAAGGGCGAGCTGCAATACTTCGCGGTGGCATTGTAGGGAGGATTGCAAGGGAATTCGGTAGTAAGGAGTCTGGGTTGCAAGGACCGTCCATCGAGGTCACAGTGCATCATTCGGGGTACTTTGTCCCGTCTAAACACGACGGGTATTTCTACTGGGATGACGACCTCACTGGTGAGGAGATTGCATGTTTGTGTGGGACATACTGCCTCTATACAGGTAAGGTCTGTCTTCCGTGAGTGTCTTCAATAGTGAATTGATTCCTCATATACAGGGTGTGGCGAGCAGACAACAACGGTCTCGTGGTTCCCTCCTCCGGACATTTGGGACAAGCAGGGTTATGGCTGGCCAGGATGGACGGAAACTAACGAGGAGTTTTTCCAGCAGTGGATAGCAGACATTCGCAAGGGCAATGCCAAACCCCTGTCACGTCAAAACTGGTGGCGCAAGGTTCATAGCATCAAGAACACGAGGTCGATGCTTAAGAACAACAGGGAACGGGCAAAGGCATACGTCGAGTTGAACATTCATGCTATGTAGCTTTCATCTTGATTTCTTGGACACTGACATGTATTTTTTTTTGGTGCATACACAATAATGACAAGGGTTTTTTTTCCAGTTACATCGTAAGGACTATGTTACACGCTGTGATTACAGGAGGTACCTATGACCTGGTTGTAGCGGTGGCAGCGTTGATTTGACTTGAGTGAACCTATTTCACGGCAGACACCCTTCTATGAGGAGGACACGTGATTGTGTCAAAGGTAACTCTCATGATATTCAAAATTTCTTCATATAAAGCATGTGCCGGCGACATAGTACCAAATAGATTATGTGATTCGAGCCCTTACATGGTCACTATATGTGAATTGTCTGACTAGTGGATGAGACGAGACCCACAGGATAGACCTACTACTACATGGCTGCAACATCTAAACGCCTGCTAACTAGCTGAGCCAACATCAAATATTTTAGCCATGAAGGAGCTGGTTTGGTATCTGGCAGATGGGTGGAACAAGATGCCCAGGATAGTCCAGCTGCTTCATGGATATTACATGTTGACATGTGCCAGCCAGCTGAGTTAACATTAAATATTTCAGCTGCGATGGAGCTGTTTCCTGATCTGACAGGTGGATGGGATAAGATCTTTGGCATGCTCTTCCTACTACATAGTTGTCATGTCTGAACATGTGCCAACCAGCTAACCTAACATCAAACCTTTCAGCTGCTATATAGCTGACTCCGTATCTAACCCATGTGCGTTGACGTATGCGTCCAATGAAATTAGAAAACGTGACTACGAGATATCATACATTTGGCAGTGTACTAGTAGTAGCTGCTTGCTGAGGGCTGAACACGTGATCAAGATGCGACCTCATTGATGATCATTGATGACTCATTAAGCCTTTATGTAGATATCAGAACTTTGAACACCACAGTCATGACATGTCAGACAATGCTTTGCGCCCCTCCACACCCCCATCCCGCGCTTTTGACACATCCGCACTGCAGGTAACGCCAGAACATGTGAGGCAAATTGAAATAAACCGCTTGAAAGGTCTGTTGAACGTGTAACTGTTGAAATTCAAACTTTGGTCTCTGCAGGTTTGGCTGACATGCTTTGCAATCTTTTTCAGCGAAGGCGGTCCAACGACAGAAGGAACAGGATGCATCCTCCTCCTCGCTGGTTAACTCTAATAACAAGCGACCATTGCGTGTTACGCCTGCGGACCAGGGCTCCCCCACACAGCCTGTGGCATCCTCATCCAAACCGCTGAAGCGGGACTCCCGCCTGGGCACATACTTTGAATATGATCTCTCAAAGATGGTCAACTCTAAAGGAGGGTTCTTGGTGGACGAGGGAAACAAAGCAGATGAGGATCTCAGACGGAAAGAAAAAGAGAGGGAACACCAGAGGAACGTACATAATTTGGATATGCGTAAGCTCTCTGCGAAAACTATTCGAGTCCCACCATTTGATTCACTTTATCTTTCAGCTATGTTCCTTGATCCTGCCTTGAATCCCAAATGCAGAGAATGTCAATCCATGGATATAGATCCAACCTTCCTGAAGGTCTTCAAATGTTCCGTCTGCAGAACATGTCAAAACGCGAAACCAGAAAAGTACAGTCTTTTGACAAAAACGGAGTGCAAGACGGTACGGGTATGAACTTCTTCCACTACCCAGAGACTGACGGCGGCACTAGGATTATCTTCTGACTGATCGTACGTTCACCTTTACAAAAAGACCTTCGTTCACTCAGCCCGTATCTTCCTCAGCCGAACTGCGTGACGAAGAAATCATGCCCCATCTCCTGAAAGCGAACCCGCATAAATCAACCTACGCCAATATGATGCTCTTTCTGCGATATCAGGTTGAAGAGTTTGCTTGGAAGAAATGGGGGTCAGCAGAGGCTCTGGATGTGGAATACGAACGACGAACAGAAGAGAAGAAAAAGAAAAAGAACAAAAAATTCGAACAAAGCTTGAAGGACCTACGCAAGCGAACAAAAGAAAGTATATGGCAAAAACGCAAAGACGAAGAACACCAGCACCAGTTTGGTCCTACAGAAGGGATCAAGAATGGCGTTGGAAAGCAAGTTTGTCACTCTTGCGGTTTCACGATTGAAGTCGAGGAGTTTTAGGCGTGATTCTTCCGGCATTTCTCTTCTGTCGACCACCCGAATACTGGTCGCCACCATGGAATTTAATCACGGGTCTTTGGGAGAGTTTAATGCTACCCATTTGTCTCCCGTGCCCGAGCCCGAGCCTGATTCCTGCTCAGGTTGTTGCCATAGGCAGCCGTGCATGAGATTGTCCGAGGCTGCCCCTAAACCTTTCTCCTTAATCCCACCAGCCATTTTCTCCAAGTGGAGGGACTCTCGATTATTTAGTTGGGTTCTATATAGCGCACGATTTTACATTTACGCAAACAACGATAGGACTGCGAGACCGTTCAGCCGGCCCTCCGGGCCAAGTGCCACCGGATCCGAAGCTGTTGATATACCTCCGAGCCGCTGTAACCGCACCGACGCTTGAGACCTAAATTTATATCACAAGGGTACTTACATGCAAACTATCTCTCCTTTATACCCAACTCCAACAGTACTTTGTCGTCCTACTGAACTCCTCAACTTTCATCATGGAAGAGGGACTCAACCAAGTCGAGCATGAGCACATCTCGACTTCTCTGGAAGTGGAGCAGATCGAGATGAACCTCTTTCGCTCGAAATCCTTGTGGCTACCCCTGCGTGCTAGAGGTGTCTTTGGAGGGTGAGCCTTCACGGATTGCTAGATGTACTTACAGGAAGCCTGATCGTGACATATGTTGCAAGACAAGTCATCAGTCAAGCTTTAGTCTCAGCGACGAGCTGCGTTCGCTCCGAGTTTGCATTGCATGTACGTTGCCGATGTCTTCCTTCTGCAAGAATTCTTGTATGAACTAACTCCCTTCATATTTATACTAGTCCCTGCACGTACGTCTCCCGGGAATGATTCAAATTACTCTCGACTGAAGCTGAAGCCCATCCCAGTGTTACTTCCTGACGAGCGCCTCCCCATCCACTCCCATCGTCTACAGTGTCGAACGCCTGCGGGAGGGCAAGTCGTATGTAACGCGATCGGTCAAGGCCGTGCAAAACGGCCGCATAATCTTCATCATGCTCTGCTCGTTCCAGAAGCCGGAGCCATGGCAGCCGACCCACCAGTGGTCGATGCCGGACGTGCCAGCTCCAGAGCAGTGTGAGGACGAGGAGGCCGTCTATATGCGCATCATCCAGGACCCGAAGAGCCACCCAGCTTTGGTCCAGTTCTTCCAGGACCAGCTGACGGTATGTCGTGTGGTTGGGGTCCCTTGAAGCCTGTTTATTCAACTTGATTCCTTTTTTTCCTGGTCTTCAAGGAACGAGCACGCAGCCCAATCGCCATCAAGTCAGCCAAAGCACACCAAGAGGCCGAAGGCGGCCGCATCGTACGGTATTCATACTGGATGAAGGCGCGCGACATCCCCGAGTACGAGGCACCATTCCAGAAGGTCAGTACAATCGACGTACCAGTCATTCTCTTGAATATCCAATTACTCACCTCCGCCCCCCACAATCTCTTCAGTGCATTCTCTCTTATGCTTCCGATATGCATTTGTGCGTCATGTGTTCTCAGAATTCCAGTGGCGTTCTTCCAATTTACGTAGCGCCTTCAGCATCGGGACAGCATCTCGGATAATGGGACTGCGACGTGGAGGAAAGGGTGCAGAATCATTGAGCATGCTCGTGAGTCCCTTGAATGTCATTCCGCGTAGAACAGAAGTGCTTAGACTCTATCCCGTAGTCCACGCTTGACCACTCAATCTGGTTTTACAAGTGAGCCTTGCAACTTCGTTTGCGAAAGTTGCCCACCTGACTTTTCCTCTCCACAGCAATGACTTCCATGCCGGAGATTGGCTGCTCTACGAGGTCCGTGTTTTGTGTCGCACGCAGACTGCGGCGTTTGCTCACCATTCACTCCAATAGATTGACTGCCCACGCGCAGCCTCTGGCCGTGCTATTGTGCACGGACGAGTCAGTAAAATCCAACCCTGTCCTATGACCTGCACTGAACTTCCCTGGCCGCCGGTCGTCTAGATGTACACCCGCGACGGAAAGCTCGTGGCAGTGACCTCACAGGAAGGCGTAGTCCGCGCCAATATCAAGGATCCGGCGCTTCAAGAGGCGCCCGAGAAGAAGGCGCAGCCAAAGCTGTAGGCGCCCATCCTCTCAGTCCGCCATTCTTCGCTTTTTTGAGCATTGACTTGGGTTACAACTATACTCACACCATCTAATTTCTGCGTTATTTGAAGAACCTATTTACAGACATCTATAGAGGATATGGGAAGGCGCTGGTGGAGCAATTATTGTAGGATTAGGGATTCGACATACGTTATAGCATTCATTTTTTAGATTTATTGCAGGAATGCAGAAGAAGAATTGCAAGGCGCGTGATTGGGGCGCACATTTTAAAGGAATGCTTTTATTCGGAATGGTTATGTGTTCAAGGCTCCTACCACACACCCACAACTTCACCGCCGCCCCTACTCTGTCGGAATGTACACGCAATGGAGCAAAGCACGCAGCACATGTTCATGTCAACGATCGCCTGGAGCACCTGCCATTCTGACTTGCGGCACCACTTAATACTTCTAGCACACAATTGCACTTCAATGATAGAGGAGACAGATCACGTCAAGCAGCGTCCGCGTCAAACATCTTATTGTGGACGTGTACTGCGCACCGGCGCGCATCATTCCATGCACTGTCGGCGTATCCGTCCCTTTCTCCAGACTTCCAGGCTCTCCCCACCGTGATCAGACAATGTGAACTGCTTACACGCGAGGCTCGCTGGATAATAGCGTCCCCAAGGCGAACTTTGACAGAACCTGACAAGCTTATCGCATCCTATTATATCTTCTTCTTCCTCTTCTATTCTAAAAGGACAACTACCAGAACAAGGACAAAGGGCTACCTGGGAAGCCGCTCAAGTGCGAATCTAAGAAGAGCTGGAAAGGGTGCAACGAAGATCGCGCCCGGGCCTTAATTATCGTGGAAGAACGTCTTGGAGCTAGAAGGAACGTTGGAGGCTTCTTGCCTGGCACGCACGCACAGGCTCGCCGACATAATACAATGGGCGTGGAGCGGACCGCAAGGTGGGCATACGTGAAGAGGGAGTATAATGAAGCCCGATTCCAGGATGGCCCAGAGTTATCCAAAACTTCTCTAACCTCTTAACTGTACGCATGAAAGCGGTCTACTAGGGACGAGCCAGCGCTCGAAATAACACTCCCAGAAGAAGATAGGCTCCCCAAGGCCGTCGCCACACAGATCCCGAAATCCGAAGCCTCTCAAGACTCAAAGACAAGGGACTCGCGAAAGATACCCCGCGTCGTCACTAGCACCTGAGGTACTTTGTTCAAGTTCAATCAATAACGTATCCAAGGGCAAGCTATCGGTGCTTACTACAGCGCCGGTGTATAATACAATGAACAATAAGAGTCTTGAAGGCCATCAGTACAAGACAAGGTCAAAGGAAGCGATCTATCATCATCTGTCAGGGAGGTAAGCGACCTTCACGGCAGCGCTTCCACTGGTTATCGATCGGATTGAACGAGTGGAGGAAATATCGATTCGGATTATCCCCGCGTACGCCTCGCAGCTCGAACTTCCTGGAAGAAGAAAAGACATTGCTTCCATTCCATGCACGAGACACTGAGGATGATTAGACGAACGACGACGAACGCTTGGAATGATGCAGCGTCCACGCATTCAGGCCCGGCTGCTGCAGGTGCTCTATTATCTCTGACCCGCAGCCCTGTCCTTATTACATCCTCGAAGACGTTCTTGCTGACTCGAGGTATCGAAGCGCATGCTCGCGGGTAGATCTAGTAGTTCACGGGGTGCAGGGATAATTAATTATGAGTGTCCAGTTGACCATTCAGTACGCGTGCACGAGACCACGGAAGAACGGCAGGGAAAGAGTCGAAAAAGAAAAAGGAAAAGGGCGCTTCGGGAACGAGCGCCCGCGTTGTCCTCTTTGTCACCGACCAACTGAACCTTCTAGCCTGTCGAAGACAATGATAGTCTGAGAACGCAGAACGCAGAAACAAGGCACGCACTGGAAGATGTGTACAACCAGCGGAAGAACTTGAGGACGAATTCAACGCTTTCGCCTTCACGGCTCACGGGTGCGTAGCCGCACCTAGTCGATTCCTGCAACTGTCACTTCAGCTCCTTTTGTTCAGGGCATGGATACGACTTAACATGTCGTAACTCTTCTTCTCAGAGGCGTAGGGGTAATGATGAAGGTGCACAATGAAATGCTGTCATTGCGAGGGAGAAGAAGTTCAGGGGCTCCGGGACCTCCATCTCGATTGGCCTCCGTCAATCTGGACAGGCTCTATGCTCTCCAAAAAGTCAATCGCACTCGGAAAGGGTGGTAGAACATGAAAGGAAAAATAATTAAATGGCATCCTCGAGCCGGAAGAGCTTGAGAGGCGGAGCTGAACTGAGCCGAGAGGCAATTGAGGGCAATTGCAGTCTAGGTATGATCTCAGTCGTACTTCAGTGGAATCACACAACGAGGAGACACGGTGACTTAGCGTGTTCATCATCGCAAGTACGGTTTTTTCAGCGGTGTATATTTGAGTACACGAAAAAAGACATGGCATGCATCATACAACCCAACGATGTTATCATCCACGTCTGAGGAGATCCACGAGGGAGGGGGCGATTAAGACATAAGAGCAATGTTGAGACTTGGAGGGGAATAGAAAGTTGCAATGCGAGGAAAGCGTGGTGGTGCGACGAGGTGGGGTGTGTGCGAGTGTCGAGCGTGTGCGTGCGGAACAGCGAATGTATAACGTAGGTAAGGACAAGAGCGATCTAGTTCTTTCTACGGAATGAGCAGCCTGGGGTAATGAGACGGGGTTAGTGAGGAGCTGAACGAAACGTGTGCCGGCGAGCAAAAAGCTAGAACGCACCCTCTGTCAGCCTGGCCTTTCCACCTGTGGGTTGGCACAGCACGCTTGTGCACGAGGGGCAGACGACGACGGTTTGCGCATGCGAGAAGACGGTGGTGATGGCGAAGCAGCCTGAAGAAAACGAGCAAAACATGAGTTATGCGGTCGATCAGAGGCGAGAGTGCAGTCCATTGGATGGGGGCGTGCGGCACCCTCTGTCGTGGACGGGCGTAGTTCGCCGAGGAGGAGGGGTCTGCTCACCAGGGCATTTGACGTCCATGAAGTACGAGTTGGGGGACTGTACGAGACGCTTGAGCTTGTGCTGCTTGGCTTCGTGCTCAGCGGAGGGGTGAAGGAGATCGACGGCGAGAGTCTGCGATCGCGGTGAGTAAAGGCTGTGAGCAACGAGCGGAAGACGCTGACCATTGTGCAAGGCTTTTGGTTTTGTGCTGGCGAGTGGTGAAGACCTTTTGTTTTGGGGTGGCTTGACGCTGTGAGGAGCTACGAGGGCGGGCGGCAAGTTGTGTGGATAACGAAGTTAAGGTTTGAGTTTAGCCTGCGGGGATTTAAATATTGTATCTCCGGTACCGGCATCGGGTAGTGACTCGATTGGACCCACTTGGACAGACAGCGGCTCCTTCGGAATGCTGCATTGCTCCATGGGGCCATGTTCACACTATATGCTACGGTATTCGATGACTGGGGAGGCTATGATCATCTGCGCGTAATCTAGTCCATCAGAAGAAATGGAGAGGCGGTTCTGTCCTGCCAAAGGGAAATGTGAGTGGCGGGAAGTCGGTGTTACTGAGGTAAGAACAAGGGGTGAAAAGAGGTGTGGGAGCGGGCTGGGGAGGCTTATTGTGAAGAACAAGGCCAATTGTGTTAGCACGTGGGCTTTGTATTCTGGGGGTGGATATAAGGGGGCGGGTGAGTGTGGGGCAAGAGCAGGACCCGGTTTCCTTTCTCTCCTAATTGCAGTCTCAGACTTGCCGCTCTGTGCGTAGTCCGTCCGCCGATCGCATATAAGCCTGCTCATCCCTTCTCAGTTCCACGCCTCACGCCCGCACGACTTCGTTCACACAACTACACCTATCGCCGGACGATACATTTACGCTCCCAATGGCCTCCAGCTCCCTCCAACAAGCCACCGCACACGCCGTCGCATTCCTCACCGCCCGTCTCGCCGCAAAGTATCCCCCCGCAACCCTCAACAAGCTCCAGATGGTCCTCGACGCCAACCTCACCGCCCACTACGCCCCCTCCTGGAACCCCGCAGAGCCGGTCCGTGGCTCCGGCGCCCGCTGCATGGCACTCTCCCCCGACCAGCTGCCCCCACGCCCCATCTGGTCCGCCTGCACAGCGACAAGCGTCCAGTGGTTCGACTGGATGCGCGCATACGGCAACAAGCCCTTCGACCTCTTCGTCGACCCAGGCTGCGTCGCCATCCGCCGCGACGGTCAGATCATCACCATCTGGTCAGACGAGCCCGCACCCAAGGCACCCGCAAAGCCCCTCTACCACGCACCAGTCTTCGGCAAGACATTCGCGCAGCAGGTAGTCGAGGCAGACAAGGCAGAGGAGGAACACATCTTCCACCTCCTCGCAGACGAGATGACCGCGCCGACCTGGACAACCCCTATCGTCACGCACTTCCCCATCCCACGCCGCTCCGCCTCCCCACTCTCCAGTGTTTCCGAGCACTCACGCTGCAGCTCGCGCTCCTCCAACTCGAGCTCCTCCGGCTTCTCCTTTGCCTCGGACACCGCCTCCTCGCGCACCTCCGCGTCCGCGAAGAGCAGCCCCGGAGGCAGCGACTACAAGCCGTCGCGCCGCGAGCGTGCCCGCCAGGCCCGCGTTTTCGTTGACACCTCCAAGACCGAAGTCACCCCGTACGACGGCGGCAAGACTACCGTTCTCACCGGCGGCGTCATGCTCGGCGGCGCGTCCGCGAAACCCAACAAGAAGTTGTCTGTCCCCAGCAGCGGCATGAGCTCCTCGGCCAGCTGGCGCTCTACCCGGGCTTAGATGTGTGCATGCCTGGGTGCAGCTGTCCACGCGGCGTTGCAGCCACAGCACACGCCTCTCTCCATCCACCATCATCGACTATCGACCCTTTGGGCTTATCCATCGCTTTATCTAAACGACCTCTGGAAGACCGATCGTGCTATCTGCTATTTCGCTCTCGACGCCATTGCAACGACCTTTTTACGTTTTTCTCTTCCAGTTTATTTTTGCTCAACGCCGCATTCACGAAAAACCCGACGACAATACTACCGGACAATCCTCTTCTGTTCTCTGCATCCATCCTCCTTTTTTTGTCTTTTTCACACTATCTTATTCCTTTTTGCATATTTTAGTCTTGCATTTTCTCTCTCATCGCATCGTCACATCCATCTCTCCAACCATCCATCCAACCATCATCATCCATCGTCTCTTGTAACACAAACATACTATCTCCACCTCTCTTTTGTTTTCCTCTCTCTACCCCGATACCGAACCCTCTGCATCTTGACGACCAACGGGCATATCCTATGGCTTCTATTTAATCCTTGTTTATCCCCTGGCTCTCATCGCACATGATCCAGTAATATCGTTATTTCTCTTCTCTCTGTGCTGGAATGGCTTCTCCTTTTGCTTTTGTGCTTCTGCATTTGCCTTTCCCCTTCCTCTTCCCCCAACACTTGTTTCGTTTCTTTCCACCCCAGCACGCTTGCTACCTGCTTTCTTCACCACCCTGCCGCTGCCGCGCACACCTCTTGAACCCCACGTTGTGATGTGTATGTATTTTCATGTACCCATCTACCTATCCACCTACCTGTCGCATATCTCTCTGCTATCTACCCCTTGCCAATGGCATGCCGTTTTGGCCTGGTTGTACTTTCTGTCTGATGTTGTGATCTAGAAATCATCAAGACTCTGAAGTCCTTGCTTTGCGTCTTAGCGGTGCTGCAGATGCGTCTGCTGCTGCTGCTGCGGTCTGCTCATGATGTCGTCGGATTCGGATGACGGTGATAACGAGAGCAGAGGGTGCGACGAACAGGTCGACATCAGCAAGTGTGCTACCCTTTGCACTGGTTCCAAACTGACTCCTTGATTCCTTGTCTCTCTCCGGGTGCTGCCTTGGTCACTGGTCCCTCTCTCTCTCGCCTCAGAGTCCGAGGTCTTCTCCCGTCATCATCTATTTCCTCCTCCGAGTCAGGCTCAATTCCGTCGAGCCTGGCACGACCAGAACAAGACCCGCTCGATAGATATATAAATCCTATCACCCCCTCTGCCGTAAACCACAAACGTGGACGCGCTTCCTCGATCCTGATCACTCCATTTACTGGCGAATCTCCCACTCCGGCCCCTTTGATCAACTGGTAAGCACTTACGCCTTATGCCATAGCAGTATATGTACTAAGATTAGATCCACCGGACCCTCCTCTCACATCACAGATGCACAGTTCTCAAGATAGGTGTTTGTATAAACTGGGGTCACGATCACGTCGAATTCGAAGGAAGGAAGGGATGCAATGTTCAGCCTGAATGAACTGTCAACGCTTGTTTGTAGTCTTTGCCAACTTGAACTGATTGTGACTGGACGGCGCACGGGGAACTTGACCTGGGTTTACTTAGGATTGGTGGCGAACAAGAGTACGCGAGTGCATACTTATCGAGTGGCAGTCACCGCTAGCACTGGACGGGATAAAACTATCTTTAAGTGACTTGACTTGACTTGGACAAGACAGAAGACAGAAGGCAGACAAACAGACAGGCAGCACTTGGCCTTCCATCGGAGCCCGGGCACGAGACGCCCAACTGTAAATCGAACGCACGAGGGCCTCCGTCTCCGTCCCCAAGATCTCAACTCTTGAAGCAAACGCACATCCGACTCGGGAATCTCAGCTCGAGACTCGTTTGCCTGATTTCGCGGTGATCACCACCACCATTGACCACCCCAATGTTGTCAGACCCAGCGGTGGCTGCTCCAATAAATGGCCACTTAATTTTGAATTCAGATATCGGCGCCCATTGCAATCATCAGGGATCAGACGCCGGTTGGCATGCATGTCCTTCAAGTTCATGTCATTGCTCAATGAACGGCGAGCGGCGAAGGTCCACGATTGCGATTTGACCGCCTCTTGTTCTGGGTATATCCCTAATAATCGCACCCTTCCGCGACACTGATGATTGCATGAGCCGGTATTTCCGGGAACACCGACCACGTTGCAGAGAGGGACTGCTGGAAGAACACAAGAAACGTGGGAGGTCAGAATTAATTGTGGAAAATGAAGCATCGCCGTCCCCTTCTGGTCATAGTAGCAGGGAGCGTCGATTGACGAGAGAGGAAAGCGCGGGGAAGAATATTTACTCACCTGACGTTGACCGCTGTAGTGGTTCTTTTGAACACGTAGCATGCAGAGAGAGCTGAGTGTAGAGATGAGGCCTAGCCGTCCTCAGCGCCCAGCGCCCAGCGTGCTATGAGCGGCAAAGTCGTTCAATCGGGCCCCGAATAGCGCGAAATCGAGATAGGATGTCGTGAGCGCACGAAAGGCGGTGGTGGTGGTGGCGAGCTAAACCGGTCGGTGCTCAAATGAATCCGGCAAGTCAGGTCGATCATCCTATAGTATTTCATCCCAGAAAGCCAAAATCCGAACCAAAATTTAAAGCTAACCAAAAAATCTAATCACGCAGCATCTTTGGTCCCTGTGTACCATGGACGCTGCCTGCCTGAGGTACGGTTGCAGACAGGCGACTTCCATTCCTTCCCTTTCCATAATTCTCCCTTTCAGTGGCACTTTGTCGTATCGTCTTCCTCCTCCAATTCCGAACAAGGAGGCGAGCGGAGCTGAGAAAAAAAAGAAATACCCGAAATGAAAGCCAAACTTGAGTGCTTTGAACGGTTACTCGTTATGGACTCGTTTGTTCGCCTGTTCGGGCTGAGGTGTGCCGTACGCATTCAGAGAAGACGCGATATCTCTTCCCAGCCTCGCGACAATCAATGAACAGAAGGTAAACCAAACCCTGTATATGCACGTTATCAGCGAGCTATAGCGAAAGATGAAGACGACGATGAGTAAAAGGGGAAGAGGAAGAAGAACACGGGCAAGGGGAGGACGTAGAGGGAGAAGATGGGTGGCGGAAAGGGATCTAAACACGAAGCTTACACGTTCGGGGCTATCCAGAACTTCAGCGTCTCTTGAAAGTCGGTCCTACCAGCAAAATAGGAGCATCGTCCGCAGAAGTGCTCTTGCAGGACCCATATCGTGGTCTTGGCCAGCGTAAGTCCGGCACCTGCGAACCCGAAGATAGGTGCTGTGTTCCGAGGAGAAATATAGACTCTGTAGATGTAGATCAACTGTTGAAGAAAATGAATTGCAAGGTAAGGAGCTCGAATGAGAATTGAGGAGTGGGAAGAAGGCCAGAAGGCCATACGTTTAACGAGGTTTCGACGAGGTTGGACACAGCTAGGAATATTCGTTGAGCATCGGCCTCAGGGAACCTAAGAGGTTTAATCACCCGCAGCAGGGGCAAAGCCCGCCTTGTCATGGTATCCCTTGACGCTGTAGACCTGTGTTGTTCAACTGAGATAAAATCCGATGAGATAAGGGGCACCGAGGAACCAACGTTGTCAATTCGTTCATAGGTATCGAACCCGCTCCAAAGCCAACGCAGGTCGCCTCCTTCCATCGAACGCGGTCTTGGAAGCGTATGTGAGATATATGAGGCTAGTGTCTGCAAGGAAATTACCTACCTCATGAGCACGTATCCCGCGTCCCATAGGATGATGGGCGCAGTGATGAGGAACCAGAGGGCTATCCAGGTATACTTCTTGGGGGCCATTATGGTCGTCGATGTCATCGAGCGGCTGCGGGGCGACTGACACCGTGTCAAGGATGGGGGCACTGGAAAGAGCGAAGAAAAGAAAGGACAAGGCGAGGATCAGCCACCCCAGTCGATAAAGCGACAAACACGGTGTATACCTCCGGATGACGACGCGCCAGACCGTTGGGGCAGATAGGACTTACTTATCCTCGTCTTCTAGTCCGGTTCGAAGTCTTGTTCTGGACGGACGGTGCGGCGGGAATTGTAAAGGCAGACAACAACATGCTTGCGAGACGGGCTTCAAACTGCCGTACGTCGGGATCAAGTTCGGATTCAGATGAGTCGCTCCCTCCCAGGCGTTGATGGTGATTTCATTCGAGGTTGCGGTGATTAGACGCGTGTTGAGTCGCTTTTAGACTTTTGTGGCCCGTTCAATTCATTGTGCGTGTTCGTCCTGTGGCGAGGAAGCTTCTGGAATGGAGGACTATGTAACGGGCTTATTCTCTAGAGTCGCGTGTTGGCTGTGGGCGAGGGCGTTATGTCAATAATGTTTATGAAAGGATATTGAAAGACTTTCTTTACCAATTGCCGTGCGAGAGTTGCTCGCTCTTGGTCATTGTGCTTGGCAGAAGTTCTGTCATTCCCATGCCCAATGTGTCCATTGGAAGAGAAGAGAACCAGTGATGGAGAGAATCACACCCATAATACCCAATACCCCTCGTATGTAAGTGATTTCATCCCATGAAAGTTCTGTTTCGGACAACGAGGCGAGCCGCGCTGAGAGATTACATAGTACTTGCTGACATCACCAGAGTTGTGCCGTCAAGGTGTTATGACGCTCGCGTGTCGTGTTTCATTGAAGTGTCTGACTGGTAGCTCGTCGAATAGGCTTGAATCTGGCGGGCTGAAGTGTTTCAAAGGCAGTGAGAGAAGGTCGCAAACCTGCCTACGTCATCAAAGAGTACAGCCACTACTGTTGACGACCCTGAACTTGACACTTTCAAAAGTCGAGTCAATTTTCTTCAGTGAGACGACTTCCTATGTCACAAAAGTGGTACTATATTATATAAATATGTCTTTAGTTCCTAATTACGAGGTTTCATGATTTTTAGAAACACCTGGGAGTTGTAGTGAATTTTACGAGAGGGTGGTGTCGAATTTCGGTGTTTATCCCGAGTTTGGCCACCCCTGAAATCGCGCCAAATTGTTGATGGCCGGCCGAGATAAGATGGCCAACAAGCACCTCAACAGTTCCTCCCTCTCTCATTCGAGCTACACAAGTCCCTTTGCCACAAAAACACGTGTTGTTTATACTTTACCATCTGGAGTATAATTAGAGATTATAAATACCAAGGTTTCATGTTATTTGGCAAAGATTCTGTTTCGGTTATTCAACGGGTCGAAATACGCTCATTTAACACTTACCCCCGCAGCAGGGTATTTGGAAAATTCTTAAAATTCAGACAGGCATAACATCGGATTCATTAGCATACACATTGCATATTACAACTTGTTTTGTGTCCGTCCGTCAAGTACATCATTCCTGGCACAGACTACAACTTGGGTTGTTTCCGGGGCATGATAAATTAAGAGCACAATTTGGGAGTGCATTTACGGAAGACAATGTCCATACTATGACAAGACAGTATTACATTCTAGTTCCTCACACCTTAAAGCATACGCCATATTTTGTCCCGCGCAGAGGAGGGCTGACCTGAGCGAGAGGTGCAGGTCAGAATCGGCGGCAAGACCGTTTCGGCTTATGAAATCTCGGCCATCACTCCTGCCGGCCATGGCTCAGACATGATATCTTCACGATTTCCTGGTATTTCTCTCCCAAAGTTGGTGCAGTTATCCTAGAGCATACGCACAATAGTTATCTGCAAAAAGAATGACGGAAATCACCCTTGCAATTGTGGAATTATGCAAACGGCCAACTACCGGGGGTGGCCAAATTCAGGGTCATCAACAGTATCTAATCTAGGAAGGTTGTGGCGCGCTCGCCAGGGGAGAACGCACGCCGCAACGTCTTGCAAGGAGTTCTCTGGCGAGGGAAACGGTGCTGAGAATGGATGGAGATAGAGAGCAGTGGTGTGCGACCTCGGACCTCCAAAGTCCCAACAAGTAAATAGAATTATTAACCAGATCAGGAATTCAAAATTGCGCATTGTGAAATTTGTTCTGTCCGTCTGTGAACAGCCAGTATAATACCGACTAACTGGATGAAGCAAATAGGATCACTGTCACCAGCTGTTGGTATCACAACGTTGTCCCTCAGGCATGGAGTGCAAGTGCAGAGACTGTGACGTTGAGGAAGCACGAGCGAGTTGCCGGGAATAATCATTCGCCGACGCCTCCAACGCAAATACCTTTCAGATACTTCGAACAAGGGCCAGAGAAGAACGTTAGCAACAATTTCATTTTTTTTACAACGTGGAGTTTGTATGTCCTGGTTGGAGCAAACAGTGACGTCCATTGGAAGAGATCGAGGCATGAACTCGTAAGTGGGAGAAGCACTCTGAGGAACAGAATTTAAGTACCATATTTCCTCCCAATCGGGCAGGATATGGCGGCATCACCAGGTTCAGTGGATTGGACACCAATGGTGGCTGCGAGGGCGAACTGAGAAATAATTCTTAGTGGATGCGCCAGCTCACGTGCAAGATGAAACGTCGCGTCGGCCCACGTCATTGGAATAGCGATTCCACTTTTCAGTGACGGATTGGTGGAGTCTAACTCCTTTCCTTCTAAGCGTTATATAAGACCGTATTCCCTCGCAATTTTTACCAAAGAAATTACCTCGGTCTTTTCCAGCGATACCCTGATTTGTCCATTGCAACCTGCACATCGAAAAACTACAGGGTCTTACACCATGACTGCATCCATGGAGCAACAGAAGCTGCAATATTCCAAGCAGCTCGCCGCGCATACGCTTCGACAGTGGAACGCCGCACGCGAACATCCGAGCCCAGAACAGAGGGGGAAGCAACAGCCGTCGACATCAACATCCGGGCACACCGAACAGGAAAACGAGGTGTCCGAAGCAGGCGACGAGGACACCACCACTACAGGAAATCGACAAGGCCGTAGTTCACGGAGAGGTCAGCTCATCCTGTTACGTTATTTGCGATTGTGAAAGACGAGCTTTTTAGGTCTTCAGGCCATCGATTTCGCATCACATTCTTCCCCTAGGAAAGAGATACCTAAATGAATGTTCTATGACATCTTTCCATGAATACTCGACGATGGTTGCTGTGCTGCTGGCATTTTGCGAATCAACAATTGAAGGAATGGTTTCAGCGACATGAGATTTCCGTTCGTGAAAGTGCACTTTTTGACCTGGTGAAAATTTTGTGTAATGCGCAATATTCATAGGAACCAAACATTTGGGCTCTTACTTGGTCTCCTATATTCCTTCTTCATTGTGGTCCGGTCTTTATAGCCTAGTGTATGAAATGCAATAATGCCTGTCCTGGAAGTTGTCCATCTTAAAACACGGAGGTAACAGATCGCTGGGAAAGGCTCGAAGACACATAGCACAGTTACGGAAACGTTAGGCGCTAACGTGAAATCATCCACCTGTTGGTCCGAAAGTGTCAGGGCTCGAGGACTCGGAGATGGTGGTCGACCTAGGAAGAGGCATGCAAAACGGAGACGAGTGGACTTGAAGGAGGTTCAGAATGAAGGAGCGGACATATGCGTCGGTTAGAAAACGTGCTAGAGATGGAAGTACCAACGCAAGGAAGGAGATTGGCCAGACGGAAGCGGAGACGCGGGAATCCAGGTCACGGGACCGATAATGACCGCGTAGATCCTTGGCGGATTGTACTCGACCCCAAGATTCCGTTTTTGCCACGACTTTCATCTGTCCTCACGCTCCTTTCTCCTTCCCCTCATCACTGCCGCCGTCCTGCGACGTCCACCTCAGCCTCCTTGACGCTATGTTCCGCGTGATAGCCACCCGGCACGTACCGCTCACTAGAGCACTCGCAACCCATGCATCCGCCCCTACCCGGACCCTCGACACCGTCACCCGACATGACTGGTCCAGGGATGAAATCCAGAAAATATACGATACCCCCCTGCTCGATCTTGTCTTTCATGCTGCTTCAGTGCACAGGCAGCACCATGACCCCAGCAAGATTCAGCTCTGCACGCTCATGAACATTAAAAGTGCGTTACTTCCGTTTTATCTCCGATTTCTTGTCTGAATTTCAGCTTTTTTGCAGCGGGTGGTTGCTCAGAAGACTGTGATCCCTGCTCTCTGCCATGTAACGCTGGAGCTTACATTTGAATTAGGCTCTTACTGCTCCCAATCATCAAGATACTCGACGGCTACGAAGGCATCGAAGTTGGTTGATATCGAGCCGGTATTAGAAGCGGCCCGCAAAGCGAAAGAAAATGGCAGCACGCGCTTCTGTATGGGTGCTGCATGGCGCGACCTCGCTGGCAGGAAGAGAGGATTCGAGAGGATCCTCCAGATGGTTCGCGAAGTCCGCGGAATGGGCATGGAGGTGTGCACCACGCTTGGAATGCTCTCGCCGGAGCAGGCTCGGCAATTGAAAGAGGCGTAAGTCGCGTCAGATATTCCTTCTAGAGGTTTCTGACCGCATCGCGATAGCGGCTTAACCGCATATAATCACAATCTTGACACTTCTCGAGAGTTTTATCCCAAGGTATCCAAGCATCTTTTTTCTCATGCTCCTCGTGTGACTAAATAATTAACACTGTCAGGTTATCACCACCCGTTCTTACGATGAGCGTTTGGACACAATCGGCGCGGTCCGCGATGCAGGGATTAGCGTTTGCTCCGGCGGTATTTTGGGCTTGGGTGAATCTGACGAAGACAGGGTAGGACTGATCTATGAAGTCTCCAAGTTCGTCTTTTTCATCTTTTAAAATGCGGCATCTCACTTACTCGCTTGCAGCATGCCAGAACATCCTGAATCATTTCCTGTCAATGCCCTCGTGCCTATTCCTGGTACACCCCTGGAGGGTAACGATGTAAACCTCTTTTCGTCCGTGGAGAACCCCATTTCTGATTCTCGACGATAGCGTGTCGCAGTTCACACTTTAATACGCACGATCGCCACTGCCCGCATTGCTATGCCCACTACCATTATCCGATTGGCCGCCGGTAGAAATACCCTGCCAGAATCAGAGCAAGTCATGTGTTTCATGGCTGGTGCAAACGCCGTGTTCACTGGCGAACAGATGCTGACCACCCCTTGTGAGTGTGGAAACTTCATTTAGAAACTCATTTGTTTACGGCAATCGGTTTTCTAGGCTCGCCTTGGGACGAGGTAAGATAGAGTTTGCTCATTAAAACAACTGTGGTTAATTTCTTTGTTCTAGGACAAAGCTATGATGGCGAGATGGGGCCTCGAAGGCATGCGCAGCTTCGAACAAATCAGCGTTGCGAAGAAGGAAGCCGCGAGACTAGAGCAGCGGTCTTCCTCCACCGAGGCGGGCCACGTTACGGAGGCCGCACCGGCGGCTACATGATGATTCTGCTCAATACTTAGAGGACTTCTTCATTAGACACGACACCTTTGCCCCTGTAAGATCCCTTTTGATCCGTTAACTGCGCAGTGGTCTGACCTGTTCAATTCTTGTGGCTTGTGGCGTTTGAGACAGAATCTGTGTCCTGATTGGGGAAAGGGTAAAATCAGCCAATGTAAGATCTACGAGAAATTTCAACAAACAAGAATACCGTACCATCACCGCGGCTCGGGGAAAATACTTCACTCCCCATGGCCCTGCCGTTGCTCGAACCTTCATGCTTGGCCCTATAAGTCGGAATGAGAACCCCAAGGGTCTCAATCTTGCGTGTCGCCGTTCGAATACGTTGTCATTTCGATATCGGAGTACCCTGAGAGCATAATGGGATAAACGTGGGCCGTGACCTCCGATGATACACACCGCCATAAATATTCCACCGAGAACAGAAAATCTCCTGCGGTGCGCGTCAAACGATAGACAGGTACTGGCTAACTATGACCCGCTTGGAACACAGCCAGGCGTCGAATTAAAACAGCGGACGGAATTACAGGAGCGTTAAGCTTCGTAACTTCTCCAAACCCGGTAGTCGATCATTGCCTGCCCCCAGGCAGCTCAGGATTGGTTCACGTTCGATCAGGTCTTCCAATTCCATCTTGTGGATTTGCACGTCCCCGTCATGGCCTTTACAACTAGATTCTTCGCTCCCATTTCATGATAGAAGTTCCTGAATGTAACCACTAAGAGGAAATACGGCCTATATGCTGGCCCACTTTTAATAGTGACCTCGCGCCGGATTGGTCTCCAGACGTATTCGCGTCAGTGCAAGTCATTTATCCCTCTTGCCCACTTCTTTTTCTTGTATCAGCCCCACCGGCAGGCGGCAGTTCGACCGAAGCATCTCCCTGTGCTTTAGCGAGGGGATGTTAAGTAGACACTGTGATCGTTCATGTAGGATGCTATTAGACCGCGCCCTACATACAGCCTGGTAGTAGGGGTCTTACTGACCTTGCATATTAGGTGTCCCATGAACCAAAATGGAGGAGTCTGCAAGGGCTGCGATGTCAACTTTGAAGGATGCCGTACCTCGCTCCTGACTCAAAACTCTCTACTTGAACGACACTGTTTTCTGTCGTTGCACCCGCACAAGATGGCCGACGCAGAAGGCCACCAGCCCAGGAGATATTTCCACCCGAGCCAGTGAGTTTCTGCATCTTCCAGCTTTGTCATGTGTGGCGAGCACTAACGGCTTCTAGATATATAGGCGTTAGTGCAGTCCACGTCTTTACGACAGGTAGAAGAACGCCCACCAAGCTCGAGAAAATCCCTATGGTCGCGTACGTGGTTTTCATTATTCGAGGCGGCTGCAGAAGCTTATAGCCCTGAAACCGCAGTCGTGTCGCGTTGATTGATTACCGGGGCAACGTTGTGCTGGACACCTTCGTTCGACCGACGTAAGTCCCAAGAATGAATCCGTAAAAATACAGTTCAAGGGCGCTAACGATTAGGCTACCGAAAGGCATCTCGTGGACGACTATAGACCATCAGAGACTGGTCTAGGTCACGAACACCTGTGCAATGGTCAGTTCGAGAAGCCTCACCGTCGTTAACTCAAGGAACACTCACATTTGGGTTGGATTATAGCTCCATTATTTTCGGACGTTCAGCGCAGGGTCTCCGAGCTGATCCTCGATAAAGTTCTGGTTGGGCATCGCATCTGGGATTTTTTATCGGTGAGAAGATGCATGTCGCCAGCAAGAAGGTCTAGAGTCAGGCTGACAGATGAGAGGAGCAGGTTCTTGGCCTTTCGCATCCTGCATTACATACGCGAGACCTTGCGCTGTACAGACCACTACGCAAAAGGCTAAAGAGCGAGTACGCCGTCGAACTGCCTGTTCTCGTTAAGGTCTTCATGGGGCGTAACGTCGGGCTGGGATTCGAGGATCCGGTACGCCGTTTATTTATTCAGCACTTCGTCGATATAACCACTCTTGTTCAGGTGGAGCTTTCGCGAGCGGCAATGGATTTATTCCGATCCTGTGAAGAGGTGTTCGAGGAAGAGGTGGCGAGCAGGGGATGGCCATGCGATCTTCCTCCAGAACGTTTCGCGAGCTACTTTTCATGAAGGGTATTTGAATAGAAAGATGCGCCCACGTACATCGCAGATAGACAGAACTTGGACAATACATAGATATAGATGCCACTTAGAAATGAGAAAGGCGGCAGCAGGGACAGGGGCTCGGCAATTGCCGGTAATGACCATAGAGCCATTCTGGGAAGTTGAGGGCAGCGCGGAAAAGTGGCATGCCTTGCACTTCGTCCCCATGTCCTATCCAGAAGCTGTCCATCAAGGCCTTTCAGGCTCACGTCCATCTACAAGTCATCATATTCCACCCCATCTCAATGGCCATAAACGACGAGCAACTCTCGAGTACCCGAAGTATGTGCTTCCTTCGTTGCCTCCCTGTATCTGAGCTTGTTGTCATCGTCTTCCACAGTGGCGATCTCTTACCCCTAAGCGATCGCAATGCCTGGTATTACCCAACTCCCGGACACCTCTCTGATGAGGAGGAATCTGGTGTCGGATTAACAGAAGGGAACTGGGGCCAGAAGCACACAAAGGCTGCACGCTGGGCCCGTAGAGGCAAAATCACCGTTTGGGGCCCCGAAATGGAGGATTGGGAGGTGCGTGAGTTCATCTGGCACATAATACAACATCTTAGTGGTATCTTTCGTAGGCAGAGGAGCGTGCTCGGAAGAGGATCAAAATGCTGCTTCCGCAAGAGCGCCGGTCTCCTTCTCCCCCTACCCTACCTCATCTAGCTCGGTCGCCATCACCCCCTCTCGTCTCCCCCTATCCGCCTCCAGTCTCACAACACATGAGCTACACATCGTTCGTCATGGACAAATCCGTCACGCATACATTTCGTTCAACCCTCTTAGACGAACTAGAGCAATCGACCAACGGCCTTGTTGAGGGCGAAGCAACTCTGAAGCAGGCTTTGGGGAGGCTTTGGCAAGTCATGAGCGAATACTCAGAGAAAAAGAAAGAAATCGCGTCCGTGGTGCCAAAACGCGAGGACGATGATGCAGAGCCAGACGAACTGGATGATCGGGCACGGCGGGTGGCTCGAGCGCCTGACCTCACGCCGTGCGCCCACAAGATCTTCCTATCCTACCCTTCCGGCGGGCCTCCTAATCATGATCCCTCGCACTTCGCGACTCCGGAAACGCAACTGACCACATTGGAGAAGAACTTGGCAATGTTGCGGGAATTGCAAGACGACGGGCGCGAATACGTCGAGCGATTGCAAGAAATTAGGGATGGATTAGGCGACGTAAGGGCCCAAAGGAACATTATATGGAACTTGGTACGCGAAAGGGCTGTGAAAGAATTGCAGGAGGCGGCGCATGCGACGGTCAGAGAGACGTGACACATCTGTAGCACGAGAAAACGGAAGTGCACTTTTTTTCGTAACTTGCATTATAACTACACATTCGATGCCGTCCATCCGCGCATATCCGTTGACTACAAGTTTCGTTCCGCGGACGGCGGAATCTTTTGTGCAGATAAACCAGAAACGGAGTACAGGTAAACTTGCGTCACTGATTGGCTGAGGACCCTAACTCCGACGTCTCACTCTTTTCACCCACAACGTTGTGGCGCACAAAACATTTCTTTCTCGTCCCACCACCACCAGAGGCATCTAAGTATGGTCCTCCCCGACATTTCCTCCCTTAATATCAATACAGGTGGAAGCCCCGACACCGCTAATGGTACTGGAGTCTTCACACCGGAGGATATACGCAACACGCAAGGGGATCGGTACATGGAGAAATTGAAGCAATATGCCAAGTCGCTCCCCTACTCGATTGAACCTCATTCGAAGATGATTGAAATGCTCGACTTCATATTGTTGCGAATTACTCAGAGTGTCGAAGCGAAGGACTTCGACGTTGGTTTCATGCAGTGGGATAGCATGTTGACCTAGTGAGTTGAAATAGGTTCGTGTGTTCCCTCGGCATCATTGCTCATGCTCTTTCTAGCTGGTTGATGTTGAAGTACCCTATGCCAAAGGATAGACGCATTCGCATCGCGAAACTATATTTCTATCTCAGCATTGTTCCTGGCATGTCCACGCAGTTGATCGCCACTTGCGCTGATGGATTCAAAGTGTTGACGAGGTCGAAGCACAAGATTACCATCGACGACATGAGGCTACCATGGAAGCCCATCTATGATATCCTTAGTCAAGATTTATTTCTGACGAGGCGGCAGTTTGAATACACGTTCGTCTCAATTTCCTTGACCTTCCGACTGCACTTTGACACAGGAATTTTACCTAGTCAATTGTCGTGGTGCATGGGTTACATTGCTGACAACTCACGTAAATTCTTCCATCCTGCCACGATCAACGAAATGCTTTCAACATTTCTGCCTCAGGTTGACGGCACGAAACTCGATGTAAGTGACTTTCAGTTTACCAATCCACGTCTGTTGACGCGTCCAACAGAGCATTCTCGCGTGTCAGTTCTACCTCATGACATTCCTGCCGCTAAGCCATCCCCAATACTATCTGCCCATGTTATTTCGCATGTGGGAGTCTATCAACTCCTACATGTATGACGAACGCATGTTGCATTTTCTATCCAAGTTAACAGAAAAACACACCAATCCAGAAGTCAGCAATCCGAAGAGGATCACGGAAATTCCAGATGATGAGAGGTCTGAAGGAGAAGGGCGACCCGACTGGTCGGATGATCACCTTGCAGGTCCTCGCGGCTCGTGGCCCGGACTTTACAAAGATGTTGGAATCTTTACAGAACATGAGTGGAATTTCCTGATGTGTAAATGCCTTGCCTCCATGGGTAAGCATGGCCGCAGCCCTTGAGCGCGACCAGACAAGCTGATAGGTTGCCGTTGCAGAAATACCACTTGCAGACGGTGGTTCTCTTACAACAGGCCCTTCTGCCGACAATCAGGCTGGCTTTGAGATTGGTCGCCTGCCCAAGCCAACATGGCGGATTCGTGCGTCTATGTTATATCTTTTCCTCATCTATTCTCTCATTCGTCGAATTAGCTTCTCTCGCAAGAATCATCGTGTATTCGATGGCACCAGATGGCGCACCGGTGCCCCCGTCTAACGCGCCGACACCTGTTTTCTCTCCATTGCCTTCTGGCGTCAGTACCCCGCATCACGGTAGCAGTAGCGCCGGCGACTATCTCTCGGCTCCGTTGACGAAGAAGGTGCATCTGATGGCGCAGAGATCTTATCTTGCCGGCTCAAGAGCCTTAGACTCACTGGCTAGAATGATTGCCTCGACCGAAAGTTTCTTTCACCCGTCAAATTCAGGTTCGTGGACGGCTGACGTGAGTATCAGTCTTTCTGAGCCGCAGGTCTCTCCTGACCTTGGCTCGGCATGCAGCTGACGGCTTTCATCAAATATATCGTCTACGACTTCAATAAGCGTGCGGCATAACGCCTGTGGTTTTTGAGTAAATGCTGATGTATTTTCCTTCTAGGGTGGCATGAAGAGCAAGGCCCAAATTGCAAGATTCCAATGGTATGCGTTCTTTAGTCCCAGTGCTCCCATGCAGATCTAATCTTGGGTCCAGAGTCGGCGTTTGACGAAAATGATGAAACGAGAACTAGTCAAGTCGCTTCGCACTGTTACTCTTCTGGCGATGTTCTCCCAAGATTCAACAACTGTGGCGAATATCCAAAGTGCCCTGAAGTCGATGAGCATCATGGAGCCGGATCTCATCTTGCATCCGATCTTGGAGCGCGCAGTTCCTTCCCTAGAAGCACTTGTCGAGGTTTGCAACGCTCCCTCATTCTCCGGGTTGTTCTCATTAAAGATGGCCGCTCCTCACTTTCAGACTCAGAGAACAATCGCGGTTATTAAGGCACTCGGAGCCGTTGCACCTGCTATCGTTTCTCGTGACGTATACTATCCTGGAGCTAAGAATCTAGTGCCCATCCTGCAGCTGCTTATTCCCGGAATAGATCTCGTAGGGAAACCTCCAACTTGAGCTTATCCCGTGGTATACTAATCCCGACCGTTATCCGAATAGAATGACCCCTCGAAGACGGTAGATTTCGAGTCTGCATATGCCCCAAGGGAGCTGCGTTTTGATTTATGGTCGTTTTGTTTGACAGCTCTGCACAACTTCTTTCCTCATCGAAATATCTCAATATGTCAAGATCGGGGACTTGACAGCGTATGAAGAGCCAACTGGCCATCAACTGGATTCGGAACCCACCCTTCCAACTGCCGGACATCCCGTTTCGTTACCCTCTTTCCCACTTGATGACATAGAAGCACCACCTCCGGAGCTAGGCCCAAGGCTGACGGATGAAGAAGAGGACGCCTTGCTCAGGGTACGTTCTGACTCCCTCAACCGCTACACGGACCCTTCCTTACCCCCTCGATAACAGGATTCTACCGGCGATTTTCCTGACTGGATTGCAAGTTTCGTCCGCAGAGTCATTCAGCTGCTGGAAAATCTTCCAGAGGAGGGCCCGAATGGTAGTGCAGGTGGTGCCAGTGAAGGTACGATATCCCGTCTTTCTTTTCCCAGAGTGCTGAATCTTAGTTCATTCCGCAGTGCAGGTTGTTGATTCCGTCACAAACGCTTGCAGCCAGATATGCGTTCATCTTTCTGAGCCGTTATATGATATGGTGCTCAACATGGTATATGACTACGCGAGCACCAGCGTCCGCACGAATGCGGTTCGAGCCATCCATCAACTTGTTGAATGTGTCGCAAATGCTGATCCTGAGAAAACTCTCGCGAGGTTCTTCCCTTTGTGCGCAAAAAACATTCGGATAGAACTCGAAAATGGGGCAAGTTCGTTGAGAACGACCTCGTCTTCAACCCCTATCCCATCTGATGCCACCTTGCATTGGAGTAAGTGACCTATCTGATCTAATTTCGTGTCCAGCAGTATCTCACCAACTTCTATCAGACTTGGCAATTTTACGAGGAGCAGTCTACAAGTGGGTGGTTCAGATTTTTTTGGTTGGAAGGTGGATGGCTTATTTCCTCATCTAATAGTGATGGTCGGGCGGTACGTGCCAATCAATCTTCCCATAACATTTCTTGAACCTAGTCGCAGATTCTTCCATACGAAGACGAACTGATGTCTTTGATCCATCTACTTCACGAGAAGGCACTCTCAAAGAGGGGTTATTCCTGGACAGGAAAACTTCTTTCTAGCCTATTGCTTACTCTGAGTCATACCTATCCTCTCGAAAACAAGTTTATCAACCCGGATGAATGGTCAAGCGAAGGTAGCAGTAACGACCCCTACGCGTCCATTTCTCATTTTTTGCTGCAGAATTTAAGAAGAGCCATCATCGTCATTGGGGCAAATTGTTTGCGCCGCACGAGGTGACGGTAAGACTAAGACTGGCTCAGTTTCTTTGGGTTCCAACCTGTTACTTGACAGATTGCGTGGCATGTGCCCAATAGCAGAGAGCTGGATTTCGCCCTTCGAATTTTCCGGGAACTTGTTGAACCTACATTAACCTTGCTGGAAGGGCTTCTTAAACCCGGTAGGTGCCGTTGTTAGCGCACCCTTGCTTCCGATCTTATTTCTGCGTAGGTATTGTCCGAGATGCGATTTGGCGTAGTGACTTCTGTCGGTTCGTCGTGTCCCCAGAACGTCTAGGTGCATCCTCATTTTTTGTAGGCACTTAACTCTCGTCCGCAACATCTTTGCTGGTGCACCAACTCTGATCAAAGAGACGATGACGCAGCAGGACATTTTGGAAGCAACACTGACTAGTGATATTCTGTATGTTGATATTCTTCAATTCGTGAGCTCCTGGCTGACTTGTCCATAGTGAAGAAGTGCCAGAAATGATCGCTTCTGTTACTCCCCTGAGTTGTGGTTTTGCCCTACCAGACCCTGCCGATCCTAGACATCAATATGCTCTTGGCGTTAAGCATCGGTTTGGCAGATTTTTGCACAATGCCTCCGTGGTGTTGCGCCAACAGGGAGAGGAGAACACCGTCGATGCTGTCCAGATGCTTGTAGGGTGTATTTCAGCTCACAATTGATCAGTGCTAACATTCTCCAGGTCAGATCGATTCGGACATACATGATGGAATATGGGGATAGCAGAGATAGGTAAGTTTATCCTGATTAGCACCCTTTCCTACTAATCTTCTCGACGTTTTTGTAATGTTGCAGCTATTATGTGAATGAAGACCAGTACACGCAGGAGAAAAATGTCGCTCGCCAATATGCTGGACAGAAGGTTTGGCCTCGAGCTGTTTATGTTAGACGAGCGCGGTATGTCGACGTTTCTTACAGCCCAGATTCCTCATTAACCTTATCAGCAAGGTGGTACAATTCAGCACGTCTCCGATGGAATTCCATTGAACGCAAGAGAGGGCCCACTGAAGATCTTTTAATTGACGATCTCGTTGAATGGTCCATGTGGCACTATCCCGTTGTACGCCAGTGAGTGAATCCTTTTTTGTATTGGGGTTGTTCATCATACTTTCCCAAGATCTAGCCAATCATATCTTGATTCGATTTGTTCTGTGTGTGCTATCTAGCTCCTCTATTGCTTTAACTCAACAGTTGCCAGGTCTATGATGGCGTGCGACGACGGGCCCTTCCTGTTCTAGCAGAGGCGTTGAAGCCAGGCACAGACGATGATCGCATGAAGGGCGCTCTGTGGACACTCAACCTATCCTCATTTGGGAAATATGCAATTTCTGGTGGGCCTTTTTTCAACAGTTCTCATGCTTCGCCTGAATAAAAGCAAAGAACCCACCCTTGCCAATGACCTCGTCTCAAGGTTGTTCGGGTGCCAGCAACATGAAAAGGTCCGTACCAACAGAGGTAACGTAAAGCGTACTCACCGTTCTGCTACAGCCTTCTATACAAGATTGTGTCTCAACGGTGTTCGAGAATTGTAAGGACTTATTCACTTTCTAGACGCGCTCCCCGATCAACTTCGATCCTCCTCAGGCCTCAATAACTTTGTCGAGCCCAACCAAATCGTATATAATGTGCCCATGCCATCTGTGGATCTAGCCATCGTCCGCCTGAAGAATCTGCTACACATTGATGCGAAGGAGAAGATCGTTGCGGCCAAAACTCGTGAAAAACGAATTCATCGTGTCAAGATTTGTGACGAAGCAATCCACACTATTGTGAAGACGCTCCAGTTAAAAATCCTCATTTCCTGCCTGACGTCATCCGCTTCTGTAGAATCGAAATATCCTTGAAATCGGAAATTCGTCTAGGACTCACTGGAGATACTCGATTTATGCCGTCCGATGCTTACGAACACTTGTTCGTCGAGACCTTCCATTGAGTTCGGAACAGATCGAGTATTTCCTGGAGAAAGTTCACGAAGACCACCCAACTATTGTGAGTATCATCACCTCGAGTCCAGCTTGATGTCAGCCGACTGAAGGTCCTCTCGTAGCGTTATGTCAGTTCAAGACACAGGCCCTTTTCTTATGTACTGACACACTTGCAGTATGCCCAGCGGGCTGTTATGAAAAGCCTCAGAAATATCAAATTGCGCACGTTCTGTACCAACGCTATTGACCTGGCCCTTATGCGAAGCCATAACCCACTACAACGTTGGGTCAAGACCATGCCTTCGCCTCACACAACGAGGGACTTCTTGCACCAGTACAAAGTGCCAGTGGACTTGCACTCATCTAAACAGAAGCCGTAAGGAGTCTTACATGAACCTGTTTCGTTCGATTCATAGCTCAAACTTTCCAGCGTCTTTTACGACAAAAATCCCCCGGGTTGGCTCGTCTGGAACGATACAATCGCCATGTATACTCAACCTCATCCATCGAAGTCGACCTTCCAGCCATGGGAAGCAGCGAGCGCTGACGCCATTGAAACCATTCGCAAAATTACCACCACCTCCGACTTTTGGGAAAGCGTCTCGACATATTATTCAGAAGAGAATCATGAGACTTCAGTCACTCAAGACAATGTCTCCTGCGTGAAATCCATCTGTAAGTAGTCATCTGCACCCATTGGAGTCAATTTATTCAAAGCGTTATAGTCCAACTTCTTGAGGACGAGCCTTTTGAAGTTTTCAAGCCTGTCGTCGAGCGCCTCATTACGGACAAAGATCAAAATAAGCAACGAGCTGCTGCAGAATTCCTGGCGGGCATCTTAGGAGGTTTGATAATATCACTTTCCCGATATTCGCGTATTTATTCCGCAGGTTCCAAGCATTGGCCAAACCAGAAGCAAGAGGCTCTCTGGAAGTGGTTCACGCCCAAGATACCAATCATTCTTCGGCAGAACGTCAAATCGGACACCCTCACAATCTGGACCTCTTTCCTTGAGGTAGGCTTCCTTGCCTTTGTCTTGGGCGAGACTGACGTACGTCTCCTGCAGTATGTCTTTTATCACAAAGACCCTCGTCGTGTCCAGCCTATAGTTGATTTCCTCATCGATTCGTTCACCAATCTGGATTTCAATGCTGAGCTGTCCTTTGATGCCGTAAAAGTGACTTCGTTGTTCCGAGCCTTCTTTGAAGAACTAGGACGAAAATTCACTGCGTGGACAGACATGACGGTCCAAAGATCGTGGTCTGAGATCCATGGCGAGCATGACGATGTAGGTTCAGATATGAGGATGAATCCTTTTTTAACTGCTCCCCCTTTAGGTTCGAGCTTTCGTTGGTGAAATTCTAACATTTTCGCAGAACATGGAGGCAAGTCCCTCGGCGTTCAACAGATCGTGGACAATATCTTAATAATCCCGGAATTCACAGTGGCGCCCCAGGCCTTCGGTACCAACGGTTGAGGTCTTCGTAAAAGAGTGTCATACCATGCCGATTGAACACGATATAATGGGCATGCGAGGGAGCTATCATACTCCGCGAGTAGTTGAATTGGTGGACAAGTTCAAAGAATGGCGCGCGGCTCGGATTCCTGGTGTCCGTGCATTCCAGTCTAAATATGACAGGCAAGTCCGCGGATATCCGATATTCCTTGATCTTATCGTAATTTGTTTTACAGGGTTGGAATTACGGTCTGCAAATGGCTGTATCAAGCACTCCATGATCTACACGCGATATCTACTTTCGACTATATTTTGCCACTCATGGTACGTTTACATCCTTAGACGACCTTGAAAGATGCTCGACACTTTCTCCCCATAGCCTGAACTCTTCCGTTTCACCGAAGGTTGGTTGTCCAAGCAATCCGATATAACACATTCCAACTTGAATGCTCTAGTGAATGATAATAATGACCTAGCCGCCCGTGCGAGCGTCTTGCTTGTTCGCATGTGTGGAGTTACGCCACCAGTTTCTCTCATCTACCCGATCTTAGACGCTATCTTTGAGGCAATTCAAAATTCACCGGTGCGATCCCATCCTCCTATCTTCCACGCATTTGTGCTGAATTTAGCCCGGATAGTCGTGGAGAGTCAGACTCAAAGCACTCCCACTCATTCAAGGTCTGTTCTTTCTTCAGAAAATCTCTTCACCTGACCAACCCCGCTCCAGTGTTTTATTTTAGGCATATTCCTTTGATTAGTGAAATAAGAATCGTGGAAATCTTGGAGGTGGGCTTGACATTTGGTCCCAAACGTGGCTTCCTTTTGACGCGATGTACAGGTTCTATGTCGATGCCTGGATGATGAGATAGTTGAGGTCCGAGAAATGGCGGCTACGTGAGTGCACATTGCAAACACTTAAAAGGTCTATTTAGGTCTCATGCTGTTGCATTAGAACGTTGTCAGGGATATTACGATTATCGCCGAGGCGTAGTGTCCTTACGCTGAAGGTGAGCGAGACTTATGGATTGGAAGTACGTTCATCCGATCGTGCTCACCCCTTACGCATTCAGGAACGATTTACGCGTCTACTCAAGAATAGCTACGTCCCCATGAGGCAGGACCCCAACTACAATAAAGCCATTCGACAACGCCATGCCGCTATTTTAGGGATTTGTGCCCTGGTTGACAGCTACCCTTACACCGTTGAGAAATGGATGCCTGAATTGCTCACGAACATCCTGGCCGAGCATACATATGACCCGGTTCGTTGTAACAACGAATGCAGCTTCGAGTTTCTGTGCATGAGGTGTCCTGATTCTACTTTGTTCAGATTCCCATATCGACGACAGTCCGCAAATGTGCCAGCAACTTCAAGCGAACGCATCAAGATACGTGGCATGAAGATTGCAAACGCTTCAATGAAGACCAACTCGCAGCTTTATCTACCCTTTTGACGGGATCTTCTTATTGTATGTCTTTGAACACCCTGTGAATACTGTTTCTTACTCATCCACCCTCAATTGCAGATGCCTAGACAAACCAGTAACAACCTGCTGTATCGATAACTCATCTTTGTATGGTATAATAGTAGGAACAGATGTATCAAGGAGGTGAAATGGGTATGCTGGAATTTCATAAAAGAGGAAGGGGCGATCGAGACACGAATATACTTGCTAAAGACTGTTAAGAGGGAAACCCGAGTTGCTGGATTACAGATGGAAGGGATGCGAAGGACAATAATAACATGAAGGGTCCACACTGCCTAGACTCGTAGGTGGGGTATTTGACTTTGAGGTGATAGATATTGAGACGAATCAGGGCTCGTGTTTGAAGGAGTGTGAGGAGCCTCGCCATCCTCTAGGCGAGAGTCAATACTCGCGATCCCAGCTTCTGTGGTTTCTACGCCGTCGGCATTCCCAGCCCTTGCGCCCGCGGACGGGACCAGGTCTATAGGTGCTCGGACACGGTTCTCGTAACCAGATTTAATGCGGTTATTGGTAACAGATTCCCTTGGGGCAGAGATCGTTCAGAGGCGAAACAAACGCTGAAACGCGGAGTAACATACCGGATTTCAGCAATCAAATCCTCAATGGCGTACCATGCAAGAGGGCCATATGCAACTGATCGCCACCAGCCTGCGAGGTCCGCCGGGCCGATGTAGGCATGAGCGTGTAGGTGGTCAGTCACAGGAATCTTGTTGTCTTTGAATGGCGGGGTAATGAAACCAATGCGGAATTGATTGTTGGGGTCTTGCAGGGGAACTGGGGGTGCTGCTGTTGAAGGCGTGACGGGGGTCGATGCAGGGAGTAGGGAGGCGATCAATCTGGTTGCAAGGTTCCGTATATTGGCTAGTAAAGGCAAGTCGGTTGAGGACTGCGCGATTCAGGAGAATGAATGCCAGCAATATTAGGTGAAACTTTCAACATTTCGAAGAACACAACGACATACGAGGCTGTATACTGATGGTACATGGAGACTGCGGACTAATAGTTAATAACTCCACATTTGTGGCTTGGATGAAAACAACAACGTACTTGAACGCAATGATAATGTGTCCTTTGGACGATACAGGGTTTGCCTTTTCTCGATACGCGGTGAAGTTGTCGTCCCGCCAAAGGACTTCGGCCTGGGTTGAGCCTGGCGGAAATGAAGGTGAACGAGGCGAGAATGGGGTCATGTGCGACGCTGACGCGATGATACCACACATCGGGCATCCTGATTTTGGCGCGAAGGCGGCCATTGTAGGTGCGAATGTCGTTGACGGTGGTACTAGTTGTGGGTTGGGCGCTGTGGACGGACAACCGTAACGGGTTTCATTTAGCACGGCGACACGTGATACACTTTCTCATGGCGACATCCACCACCGCGTCGGTCGCGCTGCCCACCGTCACGCACCTCTTCGACGACTTCAGAGCCGACCTCGACGACCATAATGACAGGAGGGAACGCCTAATAAAGGTCAATTCTCTATACATGCCGAGCTTCTTTTCCTGATTCGTTATCTCTCCAGGCCAGTCGCGATATCACGAATTTATCTAAGAAGACCATCTTTCTCCTCCATCGCCTTGCCCTTGAACAGCCAGCAGCCGATGACCAAAATCCTGGAAAGCGAGCCGCACAACAAGGCTATGAGAAACTGCGCGAAGTGCAGAACATCTACTCCAAACTCCAATCTGAGCTCGTGGGCGATAGGTTCTGGAGATACCAGAGGCAGGTTTCTCCAGGACTTCAAGAATACATCGAAGCCCTGAGTTTCGCGCACTATCTTGAACATGGAACTCTTATTCCCTTCGATGAGGTGCAGAAAACGCTCATGGATTCGGAGGGTGTCGAGGTATGCACCCGCCCTGCGATCTCCCATCCTTTCTACCACTTAAATCAGCATCGGTGATAGCAGTACGTCCCGCTGTCAGTGTCGGACTACCTTCTTGGACTGTCTGATCTCACTGGCGAGCTCATGCGTTTCGCTATCTCGGGCATCTCGCGACGGGGCGGCCGCGCGAAAGCGGTCGAGGTATGCGCCTTTGTGAGAGGGTGTAAGGCAGGTACGTCTTTCCGATTCAACCGCACTCCGTGTGCTACGATCTCCTTTGTCTGTTCGCCTCTTCCCCGATGCTTTTGGCAGATTTTGAACGAATGTCACCGTACATCCGAGATTTGCGCAAAAAGCAAATAGTCACGGCTCAGTCGCTCGAGAAGATTGAAGACGGTAAGTAAAAACCATCCCACTCACCAGATCGTCAGTCTCATGACCATACTATCCACCACCAGCTGCCTACGCGATTGCGGTCCGAAGTTCAGAGTATGATTTACCGCCCGAATTGCTTGACGATATTGTGGCACAATCGATCTCCAACTATGGTGGGGTGCTACGCCAATCGGCTGGTCACAGAAAGACGGGCGATCTAAGCGATGACGAAGACGGGGACATGATGTGAAAACAAGATATCTAGAAGCCCCATTGGGCCTCTTTGCACTTGTTCGAAGGAACTTAGGAACGACCCCTAATCACGAGAGACACAACCCCATAACACTTTTGCAAGCGAAAGAGGGTCACTTGAAATCCCCTTCCAGATGTATTAAAACCCTATTAAACCGTATGTACATAGATCATCGATACAACCACGAGTACATCCACATGTGTCTATGAGGATACAATGCTCTGGAATGTGCTTGCGATAACCCGGACCACCCGGACCCACCAGGAAAGGACAAAGCCAGAAGGGTGGCGCTTGCTCATGAAGGGTAGAGTGCACAGAACCAAGAAAATCAGAAATACAATTTCAAATTCTCCCATTTGACGCCGGAATGCTTAGATCCCTCTCTTTACATGGTCGATTCTTTCAGATCTCGGCGTGCGAGCAGGGCGAAGCCTACCGATGATGACATGAACTAGCGTTGCTAAATACAGGTACAGAGTACTACACACCAGAAGCGTCTAGCGCATGATCAAAATCCAAGTACAAAGCTACACGGTTACAGAGACAGTCGAACTATGATAGATGGGTGAAAGAAAACTGCGCACGAACAATTCTCTAGAACACGGAATGGCCAAGATTGGGGTCTAAACACCTCAAGACATCGGCAGCCAGCCAACCGCATTTTTGGCGACAAAGAATACTTCGCTAGGTCAAGCACGGAGGTTGGCAATGGCAGGTGACGAGATGCTGATCACCGTCGAGTTTTTCTGAACATCCTCCCGATCCAGCTCGTACTCCAGAAGGTAGCAACAGTTCGGGTCCTGTGTCTCGAGTTGGCCGCGAGTTGGATCTTGGTCGGAGGCCGGAACTGTTCCATGTGCAAAGACAACGCACTTGCTCACCGTACACCCTGAATGAGGCCCATCGAGGAATCGCACTGCTGTTTCTAATCCGTTCAGGTTAGGCACGGAGGTGGCGCTGGCGGAATACCCGTCATCCAGAGCCGCGTTTTCGGGTGTGGAGATGTTTGGGAAGAGGAAGAGGGCAACAGCTGCCGTGCTTTGCTTGGAAAACATATCCTCCACACTGAAGTGCAGTTCGGCATAGAAAGGACCCTCTCCTACAAAAGGGCGATCTGTTGTACGTACAGGACCTAGGTCTGTGGTAGATGTATTTCCAGACTCGGGTCCCATTGTGTATGACTGCTCTTGGGGTTTGCTGAGCAATGGAATGTCGGGATCGGGATGAAGGTCAGATTCTGCTGTGATCGTGTCCGTCGTCTTTTCGACTGAGATTGGGAGTACTTCAGGATTCGTCTCTTCTGCAACCTCGGCTGAAGGCTCGCTAGGACCGGTTAAGCGATGAGCCGTGTCTTCATCACTTCGAGGTGGTAGAGTATGACCGTTCCGAGGCAGCTGACCGAATCCGAAGAATGCCCTTGGCGAGAAGAATCGACAAAAGAGTCTTAGGAAAACGGTGACCGAGGCGAAAATGGTTCTAAAGAGGGACAATGTCATCGACATCGTCGGAGATGGCGGCCGTGGTGGCCTTGTGATCGTCAAACGAGGATTGTCTTCATCATCAGGACTCACTGAAGAAGCACGAGAGGACTGAGCCTCTGCCGACGGTGAACGTCGAATTGAAAGGCCAGTGTCAGAAGGGAGGGAGGGAACGGATGACATCCTGCTCTCGGCAGTAACGTGCAACAGATGGGCGATAGGTTTCAAATGAGGAGATGGAGGAGGTGTAGGGAGCACATCTTCTGAAGGAAATGGAGGAATGACGGTATGGGGATTGAGAATAATCGCTGCCCAACTTTTCCTAGACGTCTGGTCATTTCCCGGCGTTTGAAGGCGATATATTGGGCAAAGGGTGAAGTCGCCATTCAGATCATCGTATTCAAGGACGACATCTTCGGGAACTCTTCCTCCTTGATTCTCCGCACTGAATGCGTGCATTTGCAGATTGTACGGCGAATACAGCGCGAAATCTTTACTTCTTGAGGGATCATCAAAAGCAGCTTGCAATCGCTTCAACTCCAGGCGAAGAGGAGAGCGTAGATGCTCAGAAGGCCAAAATGGTATGATGGCCGCATTAATTGGGTAGCGCCTCGCGTTGGAAGCGAGGATCACAGCCTTGGAGTTTGAGTCCACAGTTAGCATCCACCAATCATCCAAATTGGTATACGATATTGTTTGTCGAAGGAATTGCTCCAAGTCTTCCTCAACAACATCGTGCGTTCGAAGAATAATGTTGCCTGTTCCAGAGACGGTGACAAGACCGTCGGTAGAGACAGTTACTGTCAGTCCAGGAGAGGCGACGAGAATGTATGTTGGTTGAAGAACGACTGAACGCAACTGTGGACGAGGAACAAGGAAGACGAGTGAGGTATCTCTCAACCTGGGCAGAAAGCTAAAAATAAACGTTGAATAACGCGCTTATATTCACGTAAAACACGTCCGGTCGCACCTGTCCTTCCCAAGAGCCCAAATCCTGAAGTCCGTCATCTTTGGAATCTTGGCCACCAGCAATGAATTGACGGTCCCTTGAATCGCGAATATGCGTCTACCCTTCGCTTCATCAACCTCCCAACCGCTTTGAAGGGAAAGCCCGTGTAGGGTGTTGGCCTCGACTGGGTCTAGGAACAATGTTCCATTTTGTCCGAACGCTCCCAGCCAGGTTGTCTCGCCCGAAGGGTAGACGATGCGATAAGTGAACAGGAATCTCCTTGCCCAACATTCATCTGCAGACAACAGAACGGGGAGGTAAAGTGTCTTCTCCTGGCTGTCGTACGACGGTAGCGAGCTCCCTAAGGACACCCTATATGCACCGGATAATGCAGACCCTGGTGCATCTTCACGTCTGTTCTGGCCGAATTCGAACTCGCCCCACACACCATACGCCCTATCTTTGTGTGGAAGATCAGACCAGAGCTGGACGCGTCCTCTGTCCCGATTGAGCTGGTCGTAGTCGCTAGCGCTGAGTTTGGCCGTAAAGAGTAATGATATCGTCTGGGTTTCGGGAAGGACTGATGCGGGCGTGATATGAACTGTGCCGCCTAGGGCGGGATTGAAGGTAATGAGCATGATGGCCGTTGGGAAGGAAAACAACGGGGCCTGGAGGCCTGTGCGCTGTTTGAGAAGGAAGTTGTGTTAAGTAAGCTCAAGTGTGTTCAACAAACTGGGGTCTAGTCTTGTTCAGAATCACTCACACTGAAACCTAACAGTGACGTCACGTTATCATTCATACACCAGTCTTTACTGTACACTTTGTACAACGTACACTTTGTACAACGACCTTTCATCCAATGTCGATGATATTCACTCCTCCAGGGTTGCGTGCACGTCGTCGCAACGCCCTCCGCATCGGTCTCGGAATGAGCTCTACATCGCTGTCCTCTTCGTATGTTGGGTCTTCTTCGACGTTATCAACCCACTCGATCGGTGGGCCGAACGGGTTGAGCACCTGGATTGCATATGACCGTGGCCTCTTCTGTGCTATACGCGCTGCTCTGTGACGCTCTCTTTTCGCTGCGCTATCTTTCCATGCCCTAAAAATACGAAGACGTGAGCGTTCACCCAGGCTGATATTACATCAGACGTGACGCACTGTCGTCTGTCAGCCCATTCCTTATACTTCCGGCCACCTGGCTCCCATTCCTGAGCGCCACTCGCTGCCAAAGCTTGCACATGCTTATCTACGACGTTATCCATGGCGATATTTGGTATCATCGGATGGTTGACTTCCAGTGGTCTTCTACAGTATGGACATCCTTTGTTTTTCTATAACGTAAGACCGTAAGTGAGAAGGCATATCGATCGCCCGCAGAGTCACTTACGTTTTCGACATGCCAAAGCCATCCGCACTCTCCGCAGACGGTATGGCCGCAAGGGTTCCCTACATGAGCGAAAACACTGTGTGGACGTTCCAGAGGCATTCTTGAATCTAAATGTAAAACTTGGACGTACAAAATGTCGCAACATCTAGGCGAACGCTTAGTAAATGAGATGCATAGCTTAAAATGACACGACCACATACATCGGACAAGTCAGGTCATCCTCATACGTGGACAGCATTCCTTGAATATCATCGCTAGCCTTCATCTTCCCCTTCCTCTTCGGCGATACTGGGTCGGTAGGTTCGTTTGGGCGCAGCCTCTTAGATGGTACGTTTGACGTTTCTTCTACGTTTCTTTTGGAAACTGAACCGACTCCATTGAGACTTTGGGGAGCTGAAGCTGATAGGCGCTACACGTTAGGACCTCCGGGTTGCCGAAATTGCGACAATCGAGATATACTCACAGCTATCTGCAACTTCAGAGCCAGAATTAGCACTTCGCCGCTGATGCCTCTAGGATAGATAAACAGGCTTCTCACCCGCGAAATGACGAGAGGTGACCACTTCAGACGTGCGATTTGATAGGTTTTGTGGCACAAGCACTATGAACAACCCATACTCCAATGAGCAGAAGTGGTTGGAGATAGATTAAAGTGAAGCTCACAGCCATAGGCCGGGCCAGCGGCTTTATACAGGACATGTCCTGATTAGAAAACATGTGTGCCAACTAATGGTTCGCAACTCACACGAGGTCCCAACACCATACCCATCTCTCGCTGTTCGTTCCGCAGTCCGTAGGTTCACCACTATATGCGGCCATAAATTATCCATACGTTAAGCTAAAGCTTCTAGGCACTCACCACCACCACCTGGCTGACGAGTGCCTTGTATGACTTGTTCTTCAACCCGATCGAGCTCCGCGAGGAATGACGAGTCCATATCGTCATCGTCGGAGAAGTAGGACGAGGAAGACGTCGTAGTAGTGCTAGACCCGGAGAGTGTAGCTGGCGATTCTATTCGATGTGTCGGGCTAGCTTGGACGGGTTGCGTGTTGGCTGTATTGGGTGGCCCCGCCAGAATCTGAACCCAATCCACGTTCTGAAGGTCGGCAAAGTCGTCCGGTAGGTTATCGAACTCATCGGAAGACATAATTGGTCATCCAGTTTAGAGTCTGTACGTCAAGAAAGGAGAGTCGGTGTTGACGCCAAGTGTGGACCTAGCAAACAACCATGTCTGAATGAGGAAATGACCATCACCGGTCTCATCACGTGTGAGAGCAGGAAGTCTATTTTTGGATCAGGTCCATGTAGGCAAGTGGGAGTCCCCCTTTAGCCGGAATTGCTCGCTTCGCTCGCAAACATATGGATCTCACACTTGTTCAAATTAACTGCGACCAAATACTTGGGCTCCTTGTGATACCAACTTCACGTCTGCAGGAGAACAGCTCAGCGTTCAAGTGCACTGGCAGGCATGGACGGGTTCAAGAACATCGAGATAGTCCCGGACTCCAATAAGGCCACGTACCATCAGCATGTCGTTCGCAGACATCCCGCCCAAGATGCCTATGTGGAACGGTGATACGGACAGAGACAGTCTTCCTGTCGCCACTTCTCTACATCGCATTTTGAAATATTTTCTTCCTCGTCTGCGAAAATTGGTGTCGTTGAGGAGCCGTCCGAATCCTCGTCCCAGTGATTAAAGGCGACAGGCATCCAGCAATGTTTTCCTTACTTCGATCATGGTACAGATCCTCCGACAATAATTCGAAGTCGTTCGGAGTCGATAGAACCCATGCTTCCAATGCTGAAGGTCGTGCATGCCTCCAAGAACGTCCTGCGCACTCGAGAATCCCCAATCACCGTTTCTGTCTGCGGCGAAGTCAGAGAGTATAGCGTCTCGAGGGTGGGGATCGAGGAGAGTGACTTCCATTTCTCGACTGTCTCGCCATCACGGCTTGGATCCATTATTGGGGCGGGTCATGCTTCAGTTTCATGGACAGTAGCATTCAATTTCCAAAGGCTGTCAGGAGGATCCCAGAACCAAAACCTTAGAACAGCCACAGCCATCCTGACAAGCAAGTTGGGTGGAATATGCAGTACGACGCAGCATAGAGACAAGACGCGGTAGAGTATGTAGCAAAGAAAGTGGGATGGACAGCAGTGTCTTGATAACAGGAAACTGACGTCCATCAGGGGGCAGTAGAATACCAGGACAGTGCTCACTCTCATACACAACGAGTTCTCGGAAAATGGGATCCCGGCCAACATAATGCACACGGTGATCAGTTGTAGGACCGACTGACAATCTATCTTTGAGGTCGAGAGTCGGAAACACCTTCTCGTACGGGGGACGTCCAGGATCAGCGTGTCCAGCGCGGACTCGAGCAAGGCGATACTTGGCGAGGTCGATCTCGTACGAGAGGGTCCGCGCGAGTACATCCTCGCGGAGAAACAGGGTCATCTGGGGAAGTGGAGAGTCCATGTCTAGAAGTAGTCCAGGTTCTACTGAAAACATGCTGTCAGGAAAAAAGTCCGGAACAAGTAGAAAGCGGAACTTACGAGGCAGCAGGTTCGTCCTCAGGTCTACGGCGTGTTTTTCATTGATTTTTTCGAGTAGGTTTCTGTTAGCCATCTCTTCGAGCTAGAGTAACCGACGTCAGGGGCAGTCTCTGGGAGATGGTGGAAGGACATACACGGCGACTAGAGTTCAGCAAGGGTTGCATGATATGACAAAATTGAATACTCTCTCAATGTTACAGCGCACTTAGGGAGATGTGGCCCTGGATCCCCATAGAGTTTGACCATAGCACGAATATTTCTACAGCCGAGTAGACATGCGTAGCAGTGCGGACGACATCGGACTCAGGCTCAGATGAAGACATGAAGGGCAGCAGTAGTAAGGTGAACACTAAAGACCAAAAAAAGCGATTACGTCACGTGGACGGAATGGCTATTAAGCGAGCGTGACACTGACAGAGGTTATTTTTGGAACCGTCCACGCCAAGCCTATTCGTTAACGTTTTTCTCCCTGTTACGCGGTTCTTCGGCGCATAGCGACTGCCTGGGTCAATCCGGCGCGACCGGATGCCATATTCTACGCAAAACATGTTACATGTTTATTCCTGTGCGGTGCCTATGTATGTCAGCTTTCAGCGTCACGTCCAAAATACTATCAGTCCCAGCTGGACCATATGGGTCTCGGGGCGGCCTACAGGCTACGTGGCTTCCGTCTCGTTATTTTGGTTTTGGTCATGCAGGTCACTCAGTCGATGGTCTTGGCCCGACAATTGGAATTTTCTCTTCCGTTCTCCTGCACGATCCGGTGACCAATGTGGCTGCGATAATTCCAAACGGCGCGCCTTCATGCGCATTCTCGCGCAATCGAACCCTCACACACGGCGTACTTTGCCTTCATCCAGAGGCCAGCACGACACCGATAACGTTACACCAAGAAATCATTCCGCATGCGACTGACATACATCAAAACGCCCAGCGGAGAGACAAAAATAGGTCAAGATACAACATGTGTCCAAAGCCAAACCCCGCTCCTGATACGGCTGGTTGTCGAGTATTGGTCGGTGCCAAGCCCTGATTCTGTCCGTTTGATTGCGAAAGATGCTCTTGGGAAGATGCCTAGGAATACGGTCCCACGCATGATGCTGCAGCCAAGTCGAACTGTGCAACTGATTGCGCCGTCGCAAAAATAGCATGATTGAGAGTAAGCGCCAAGTCAAAAGTGAAGCAGTTCCATGTTACACCAAGCCCGACATAATGCCTAGAATTGAAGACTAGAGCGAGCGCGGAATGAGGACACATGAACGGATAACTGGAGAATCGTATGCAATTGAAAGTCACCACGTATGTGCGGTTCCGCAGACCAAGAACCTTTCACTCGAATTCTCGAACAGGATCCGGAAACTCTTAAGGTAGACGATAAGGAGGTGGGGCGGAGAATTCATGCATTATGCAGACATGTATAGGTAGGATGGCGTAGTCACTAGACACACAACACGAGTTAACAAAGGGAGGTATATGAGGATGATTTACAGCTAGAGATGGCATCAAAATATATACGTATGTAAAGGCGTCAAGAAGGTACCATAGAGTTCCGAGGAAGAGCAATAAACGACATAAAAAAACCAGCAAGAACGAAGAGGACCTAAAAATCAATCCTTAATCACGTTCCGAGGGCGTGTCTCCGTGCATTTCGCGGCTTGGACCTGTGGACAGGAGATTGCCAATGGTCATAGACGCTCGTGATCGGGGCGAGTATTCTGCGGAGTCACTTCGACCCGAAGAAGAGTAAGGTGAAGGGGGGAATTGCTCGGAGGGGTGTGATGTTTCATAGACCGCAGCATGTGGCACATGCGGTGAATGGGTTGGGCGATGACGTTTTCGAGGGTGTTGCTCAGAGTGATGTGGTATGGGGACGTCTCGGTGCAACATATTTACATGCCCACGGGGTGGGGGCGACCGACTGCGAGAGGCAGCACGATGACGGTGGTGCGCACGACGAGATGGTGGTTGATCGCAGAGGCGGGGTGATTGGTTAAACTGCGGGGTTGGGTAATTGTACGCGCCGTTCGCGATGGGCCGCGAATAGGGTGCAGGTTCTGGGCTGGGAGGGGATTGCTGGTAGATGTCCAACATAGTACGCTGTAGAGACGCCATTGATGCGAGTCGCTACAATGGCGCTTGGTCAAAAATCTAAAACGACAAGGGTGGGACAGCGAAACTAACCTGATCTTCAGCAGTCTTCGCGTTGAGCATGGCAAGCAGCATGTCGCGATCACCGTCGCCTTTTGTTCGGTATGCGGACAAGATCTCGCGCAGACTCGGAGGAGGAGTCTACATGAATAGAATTGAGGCTGTGACAGTAAACGACGGAACGGGGGACGTACCTGGTCAAGGACATTGAAGGCGGATGAGAGAAGGCGCCTAACGTCTTCTGGAGCGTGGCGCATGTTTGCGGAGGAGTCCCGGTGGGGATTGTGGTGAGAGACGAGGGAGTTCATAGTTGGGATGAAAGGAACGATGGGGCCAAGAATTTGAGGGTTGCCCAGAGAGCTGCTCTTAAGTCGTGCAGCGGTGGCCTATTTTTGTTAGCATACCAAGACTTTTTGCCAAGCCCATGCCCAGTCCTGTGCTATTTTGGAACCGGGAAAATGCTCGGGGCCAAGAATAGTGTAGCTTGGACAGCAGGCGGGCGGAGGGCGTGTGGGGGACACATGGTGCACACCGAGGGGAAAGCAGCGCGAGCGAGGTGGGGGGAAGACGGAAGGAGCGGGCAGACGAGTGTGCCTTGACTTGGCCGCCTTTTTCTTGGAAGGGGCGTGTGACGTGATGTGACTGTGTCGTGACTCGTGTGACGGCGGGGAGAATAGCAGCCAATTGGACGTGCGCTAAATTTGGCGGCGGCCACGGCCACTGCGCTGTGCTCTTCTCCCTTCCACCACCGACAGTCGTCAATCAGTCCACCTCGTATATTTGTCTGCCAAGCCTCCGTCTCTTCGGCCCTTCCCACCCGTTATTTTGGGACGCATACATATCTACCCAGCCTGTCCAAACAACCTCTCATTGCATCCACCATGTCAGACAGCGCCCAGACAGTTCCACCACAATCCGAACCTGCCGACTCTCCGACCCCTTGGAAGCCGTTGCCCGTTGAAAAACTCCCTCCCCGGCCGGCCCCTACGGAGGCCTATTCTTGGAGAGAGTACAATCCAAATGCTAGACGCATCTATATTCGCGATCATCATCAGGCCAATGTTGAACTAGCTCGGCTCTGTCTCTGGGACGATGTTCTAGGATTTGATCTCGAATGGAAACCCAACTTTGTGAAAGGCGGTCGAGAAAACCGCACAGCTCTCGTGCAGCTAGCCAATCGTGACAACATCCTGCTCGTGCAGATCAGTGCAATGCAAGGTATATACCTTACTTCAAACTACCGCGGCCCATGAATCATACGCGACATCACTCTTCACTCCAGAATTCCCGATCCAACTGAGATTGCTGCTCGAGAATCCAGGTATCGTCAAATGCGGTGTTGCTATTCAAAGTTCGATATTATTGTCTTCAATCGGCGTTTCGCTCACAACATTGTCTTTTGTCTAGGCGATGCGAAAAAGATTTTTAACGACTTCAGGCTGTCCGTGCGGAGTTGTGTAGACCTTTCCTTACTAGCACGCACCGTCGACAATGCCCGCTGGAGAGGGAAGTACAACTCCTCCCTTGGCCTTGCCCATCTCGTTGAGAGCTACGAGTACAGGATGCTCTTAAAGGGCAAGATTACTCGCACCAACTGGGAGAGAGTGCTCGACTTAGATCAGCAAGAATGTTAGTCCCTTATCTTTAGCCTTCCTTTGGATTTTCTCCCAAAAATACCTGACACGATGATACTTTGCACAGATGCGAGCAACGACGCCCATGCGGCCTATGTCCTCTATAGAAAGCTCGCGAACATGGTTCCCTCGATGGCTAGTCCGCCCGAACCCGTATGGTATTCGTTTAACGCGGTTGGAGGCTCATTCCTCACTCCGGAAGGCAAACCATGGCAAGCCCAAAATCCCAGCTATGACCCTGGGCCATCGCCTCCTCCCCGAGACGACAAGAATGACCGTAAGAGTAAACGAAAGGCCGACGGCGACGTCATTCCTGAGCAGCCTGACGGGGCTGAGCCGAACAAATTGCTTCGGTGGCAGCCTGGAGCCCAGCATCCCCAGCAAGCTATAAATCCTCCTGTTGTAAAACCTTTACACCCTTTCTCGGTTAAAGGGCCAGCTCAGCCCGTAGTAATCAACGGATTCAAGACCGTTCCTGGGGGAGATTCGTCGGGCTGGCGTCTCAGACAGCCGGCTCAACCGACCAGTGGGTCCTCGAGCAACCCAGGAAGCAATTTTACCTCTGCGCAGCGTCCTTTCAATGCCCCGAACGCGTCCCGGCACATGAATACACAGAAGCCAGGTGATCGAGTCACCATAACTGGTACGAACGAACGTGTTTCACGACCGCGGTATGACCCTACGAAACTCCCCTCCAGCTCCAGTCACGCTCTTGCCTCCCATCCGAGGGCCACCCAGGCTGCAAATAGCCCTGCAAGCATCCCGCAAGATGCACCGCCTCCTCACAAGAAAAGAACACGGACAAAGCGGAAAAAGCAAGGTTCAAATTCTGCACCACCAAACCCGACCAACGCTTCCTAATTTGAAGTTCCTACTGACTCCCAGACTGCGAATTCCCGTCTCGGTTTCTTGGTTTCTGCGACGACTGTTGTGTTCATACCACCAGGACCACCGGGTATCCCATACCAGCCTAACATCCCGGCCCCGTCATCTCTCATGCCCACTCCCAGCGAATTTCTTCCGTCGTCTTGGCACGTTCTCGTCTTCTACGCTACACGCGCATGCAGACTATAGATATACCTCGCTCACCTCACTCTGACGCATGTACACCCGTGTTACACATTAGCTTGGCTCTCGACGTCTTTCCCTCTTCCACGCCGCTAGTAGAGCATTCTTAGACTCAATACGAGTAGGCCGCCTCTTGTAGCTATTTATGCGGCTTCTGGGAACCGGGCACTCGAAAATCTCTGTCAATCCCCTTCTCGCAGCTCGAAATGCTGGAGGGACTTCACACACACACCTGGCCGAATTTCATCCGGGATAGCCACAAGAAGGTCGGGCGTATACTTAGCGATGTCCTTGGCGCCGACGCGAGAAATTTTACGAGGTTAAATATAGTGCGAGATAGATGGTATCCCGTCACGATGATCCTTGCGGGAAAGTATATCGGGTGAGGCAGGAAGGTTTAATTTTGTGAGCGGCGTGACAAGTGCTTGTAAGCCGGGTAAATTTAATTATTCTGGAAGGTCCACGAATATGTGCGATTCGGGCATTTGAGTGGTGCACACCTCAGAGGTAAGTAGTAATCAGTGTGATGGGATAGTGAGTTAGCCTTGCCGGCGCTTATCACGGAATCCTGATTTAGACGCCGGTAGGCGATAATCAAACCGAACGAGATCCTGGTGCATCCAGTGAAGCAGTAATGGAGTAAGGATGCAAAGTATGATTAGAATCGGATATGAAATCTTCATATCTAAAAAAAAATAGCCTCGCCGAGAAAAGAAAAACGGCTGACAAATATACCAGCAGTCACTGCCACATTCAAGCGAAAGGTCTTCCTTTTGCTTGTAAGACAGATTTTTTGCTCGAAATTTGTGATATTTTTGTACGCCACACACCGTTGCATACATGGTCGTTTTTTGGTTGTTAAATTTACTATTACATCGCCGAGGAAGGCAACCTTCATCAAGCCAGTGACGGCCAGTGTAGCGCCAGGCCATGTTCTTCAGATGGATAAGTACACAAGGTTTCCTAATGATACATCTCTTACACGCTTCCAAACTTCTTTGAGAAAATGAACAAAAGACAGCGCCGAGAAAGAGCTTTCAAAGAATACTGCGGTCATGACGGATGGGGGTTGGAGGAAGATCATGCTTCGGGCAGGGCTCGAGGTTGACGGGCGCATGTCTTGGCATATTAGAACTTGAAGAATCTCGACCGCACCGAGGGGAGGGTATCAGTCGTTCCGGAATCTTCGTCCATTTCTTCGACTTCGTAGGCTGGGCGCTTTACGCGGGCGGTAGCACGGGGATCCCTTGGGGGTTCACTGGAGGTCGAAGGGGCAGCAGAAACAGCGGCTGGTGCCGTGGAGCGCGGACTGGGGGTCTGTGTCCTGGTAGGCGCTATAGTTGTACCGGGTTTGAATATTGGCACGGGGTTTGGATTGGGGACTGGATTCGGGGATGACCTGATTGCGTTTTTTACAGTGACATGGTACCTGTTGTTGGCTATAAATAGTTTCAGCATAGATATCAACTCGGAGGCGCCAAGGCTGCTTACTGTACGCTGAGTCGGCGTCCCATAGCATTATTCCTCCAAATGAGGAGTACTTTTTCTGCGCATCTCGGGCTACGTTGACGAGGGTCTGACTGGAAACAAATCCATTCCCTGCTGACCCTGTGGACGCCGGAGCACCAAGGTAGACCTTCACATCTTTGTTCGGTGACTGCGTCTTCGCCCAATGATCCCTATCACCTCAGATTCCGAGAAGTGAGGAAAAATAGACCTATACATATCATATATATATCAAGGACATACCAGGTTGCAAAATTAAATTCCTGCGGCTTGGCGTCAACACCCATCTGCCATATCATTGTACTTAAAGTGGGTACTCACAGATGGGGCAGACGTTTCGCAGTAGTTATTATCTTTAGAAATGATGAGTCGGATGAAGCTGGGCCCGAAGTGCCTTGACTTACAGAACTGAACATACACAGCGTCGAAGAAGGCGGAATTAAGGGAAGCGCCCACTTTTGCGTCCGGGAATGGGCACTGTGGGGCCGCAGTGACATAAAATCTACCAGCAACTTAACGATGTTCCTTGAGTATACCTGAATCATGTCTGAGCACACCTTCTGCGCGAACCCTTCGCAAGTGAACGGAGTGCATCGACAAAAGTATCATAATGTGCTGATGATCCATTCTCGATGTCCAAGTCGATTCTGCAAAGTGGTCAAAGTCTAAGGTTCGTACCTGTAATACATAGCCGACATTACCCATCAAGAATAGCGTCCCCAAGTGGCCGAACGGTTCCATCTGTGTCCCAAAACAAATTGAAGAAATCCTGAATCAAGCAAGAAACTTACTTCCGCCTTCAATCGGTAAAATGACATGATCAGCGCCGCACATGCAACATTTCAAATAGGAATCACACTCACCCAAAAACATGTCCCAAATTACCCTTGCAAAACCCGCTGCCTGAGCATCACTGTTGAAGCCAACCTTCGCGGTGGCTCCTCCAAGGCTAAGCGTGACGAGCTTTCCCTTTGCCTGGCATTTTTGGATGTCGGACGCCATGAAGGAACAATCTGCCAAGTCAGTGCCCGCAAAGTTATTGGAGCCTCGACTGCAGATCTACGAGAATGGTAATCAATTTTCTCCTCAAAACTGAGCGAGATGTGCTACGTACGTTGGAGAAGTCGATTACTGGTTGTCCACCTTTACCGAAAAAAGTGTAGAGAAACGCCATCGGTATAACGTCAATGGTGTCGTCTTCGCAATAGAAACCAAGTCTAGACAGGCATAAAACCCTTTAAGCGAAAACCAGTAAAGCCACTCACCTCTGTTGGTGTCCTGCAGAATCCTGGCCCCAATAACTAACGAACAGTCAGCAAAGGGTTCTATTTCGATGAGATACACATAATCCACGGACACTGCGAGCTGGAAGTCACGAATCAGTGTATCATCTCTTGCAGGGCGGAAACCGGACCAACATTATCCTTCCGGGAATTGGAGAATGCTGCCACTAAATTGGTTGACAAGAGAAGTGCTGGGAAGACGGAGAAAAGTATCATGGATCCCACATCCACATCGAACATTGTCGAGGGTCCCAGAGGCGCCTTCTGCCCCAAGACACCTCGCGGTCTTAAAAGAACTGGAACTGGAGTTTCCACGGATTGACACGTCGACATTGACCTATCTCTGGAAGACGAAGAACAGGCCCGAGTCCGGCGCGTTACTCATGCGTTTCGAACAACGGGGAGTCTCGCACTTCGACGTGCACGTGTGACCTTCAGGACGATCATTTACGTTGTCGAACCTTGTGTTCAAGAGATATTTCTTGCATCGTCCACATGTCGGAAGAGAGTCGCCACATCGTGTGACAAAGCCGAGGGCCCATTGGACCATTGTATAAATAGACCGTGCCACCTCTGCCTTCAACGTAGGTGTCGAAACGTGTTCCTGCTGACTCTAAGGTGATAAAATGGATGTGATGTAGGAACAGGAGGTGACAAATACGTGCGGACAGCTATGCACGGAATGAAGGCAGCGCGAGCGTCGGGGGAAAACGCAGCCTCTGGCATCGATATCTCTGTGGAGAAAGCTTCTCCACTCCAAGTCACTGTCCACACGGCCCATTGTCTATCCATACACCGGCAACACCTAATATTATCTTTAATATCGAGAATTGATGACAAACACAGGGAAAACCGTACCACCAGGAACATCTGCCTGTGACCACCATCGCGCAGTCCATAGATGAGAGCTGGAAGGATCGTTTTATTTTATTAGGGGTTTTGGGACAAACGGACGATGACTCACGCATAAACCACTTGGGCACCGCCAAGGTACGCAACAGTACTTGACCACGAGGCTATCCCAGTGCAACTCCCGCCTGGTGTTGTCGTTGGTGCTGATGAGGTTGTCGTGGTTGAGGTTGTCGTGGTTGAAGTTGTCGTGGTTGAGGTCGTCGTCGTGGAGCGAGAAGTGGTGGAGCTCGTCGCCGGAATCGTGGTCGACGTTGAAGTTGAAGTTGGCGATGGTCCACCACATGCACTGACTGTGAAAGATTAATCCTCCTTCCTTCCAGTTGAGCTCAATCACCTACTTGCACTCCATTCGCCATTGGGATTATTCGAAGGTTGAGATGAAGCAAACCATTTGGCCTAGAGTGACGGTCAGCCAGAACGCTCCGCAGGCCAGACGCGCACACCGACCTGCCAGATATACCTAGAGGGATAAATGCAAATGGTGAATACATAAGAACCGGGTAGAGCTCGAGGAGAGCTTACCCTTCAAAAGATACTGTGGAACCACCAGGATAGTTCGTACCAGGAACAAAGGAAGGGGCATTGCAGGCAGGGTAGGTGAAACCCGTTCCTCCAGCGGCGCTCAAGGCCTGCTTGATAGCCAAGTCGTATCTATTGTTGGCTAGGAGAAATACAATGAGTGACTGCGGTCTGAAGCAGGGTGATTCTTACCATACGCCTGAGAAACATCCCACAACATCACACCTCCAAAAGACGGGAAACTCCTTCGCATTTGAACCGCGATCGCGCTTAGGCTGTCAATGGGAACGTAGCCGGATCCTGCTGCACTCCTGGAAGCAGGCGCTCCAAGATATATTTTGACATTTTTATTTGGGCTGGTATTGCGTGCCCAAGCGTCCCTTGATTCATTTCATATCAGTAGGAGCGGACCGATAACAATATGAGGGGTTCGTACCAGATTCCAAAATTCCAGTTCTTTTCTCAACGTTAAAAGATAGCCATGATTTACAAGTTGGCTACTCACAGCAGCTTGTCCGAAATTTTGCAGACCGCAGGGGTTGTTATAAAACCTAGGGAATCATAAAGACAGCTGGAATCCGCCAAGTAAACGAAACTCACTGAACTACGGAGCATCTTGTGAGTGTCTGCTTATCTCCAAGAAAAGGAAAGAAGCTTACCATAAACAGCGTCGAAACTGGCGGAATTCAAAACACCGCCGAGAGCTGCGTCCGGGAAGACACATTGCGGTGCAGCTGTGATATAATATCTAGGACGCAAGGTTTTTAACACATGAGACGCAGTTGGTATGAAGAACCCACGCACTTCTTAGAGGCACCCGAGGCTAGAGAGCGTATTTTGTTGACAAAGACATCATAGTGGCTGGAACCCCCGCCTTCGATGTCGAGGTCGACCCTACGCACAAATTTCAGCAGTGGGAGTGATGTCAGACTCGTCCTCGAGGCCTACCCATCCAATACAGCACTTCCAAAGGGTCGCGTAGAGGAACTACCTCCCAAGAACATGTCCCAGATAGTTTGGGCAAAATTTGAGGCTTGATCATCGGACTGAAAGCCGACAGCACCGGTTGCTCCTCCCAAACTGAGCGTCAGGATCTTTCCTTTGGCCTGGCAGGCCGTGATCTCTGCAGCCAGCGCTGAGCAGTCGGAAAGAGTGGTACCAGGAAAGGTTGTGTTGTCCGTAGGATTGCATGTCTATTCAGTCATTGTCAAGAGTCTTCCTTCTGCTCAAGAGAGTCTTACATTCGCTAGGTTGATGGAAGGGGCGTTCCCCGGACCGAAAAACACATGCAAAAATGCCACAGGGAAGACGTCAATGGCGTTGTCCTGGAACTGAAGGTTAGCCTAGGCCTTTCGAACGCCCTTGATATCCGGAACTTACGTTGCAGTAGAAGGAGATCGGTTTCTGGAAATTGGCAGTATCTGCACCATTGGCCGCCCCATACGAGTTTTGACCCCAGTACCTAGAGGTTCAAGGTGAGAAATTCTGGAACACGGGAAGATGTCTTCTTACACAGCGACCTGATGTGCGTGCGAGCTTTAGTCCGAATCAGAGATAAGGAGGCTGTACACTCACATTGTCATATCTAGAGTTGTCGAAGGCAGTTGCCGACAACACAATCGAGGATACAAGAAAGAAGCGAAGGAAGAGGTTCATCGAAAGGGGCGAAGATGGTACTGATGAGATAAGGTGAGGGAAACTGTTAGTTCGTTATATAGCTGGCTTCAGGATCACTCCCTCATGGCAGCTCAAGAACGTCTTTGCGGATGACTTTGTCGAAGAGGCCCTGTCGTTATTAATAATAGCACTCTGGCTGAAGCGTCAATGTGGATGATGCCTGCTTCAGGCTCGGAGAGGGACATTTTAAGCTCAACTCAGGTGGATCAGGTGAAAAGAGAAAGAAGGCGTCGTCCGTCGCATGCAACCCCGAACATGTGTGCTCTGCGAGACGCAAGACGGAAAAATGTGGCACTGGGTCTGCAGTATCATAATAAGCGCAAGAGATATGTACGGGCCTGAGTGGGGACAAGCGTTGCCCACCTCATGTTGTGTGGGGCCATAATTAGCTGTCAACATGCATATAAGGAGCAGAGCCTTTCAAGGAAACTAACAATTCACATTGCACGACTGGGACAACATTAGCAGGATCCTCTCGAGCGATCGTAGAAACCCACCTTAACATTATTGGCCGTTCGTTGCCAATGAAAGGAGGAGCTAAATATAAAGGATCTATATATACCGAACACGTACAAAAGGAATGACAAAGTGGATACAAAACAGTTGTGTTCAGAGGTATCAGCCTGATGAGGCAGAATCACTTTCTCCGTCTGGAGTAGCAGATGGTGTCTCAGTGCGAACAGGGTCTGTAGACTGTTGAGACCATAAAAGGATGTGAGCGTGGCAAGTGGCTCACCGAAATAGGGCTGGGCTTGAGCCTCACGCGCCGTAAGCCGTTCTTGGTGATCATAACGCAGTAGTTTGTCCAAGAAGTCGATAGCTTCGTTAGAGATGTACCTCTGATTCTCCGAGGTAATGAATCTCGTCCAAGGCTTCCTGGGATATCTGAAACGGACAGTTAGGTTGTGAGCCTCACATGATAGACAAAAGGTCGACCACCTTCCAAGCAGCTCGTCGTACTGGGGGTCCAGGCGTATGTGATACTTGTCGATGTATGCATATAACTCATCAGTTCCAAGCACCTTCGTAATTTTGACGAGTTGGTCGTAGTTATCATGACCGTGGAAGAAAGGCTCTTTGCGGAATATCTAATGATGACGGTCAATGATAAGGCAAGGTATAAAAAAGGATGCCTCAATACCATCGACGCAAACATGCAACCATAGCTCCACATGTCGAGACTGTAATCATACTCTTGGAAATCCACAAGCAGTTCCGGACCTTTGAAGTATCGGGAGGCCACCCTAACGTTGTACTCGGTTTTGGGATGATAGAACTCGGCCAAGCCCCAATCGATGAGGCGCAGCTAGGCGGGAGAATAAGACGACAAAATGACGGTAGCGTAATATTCACGAACTTTACGGTGCTCATGATCAATCATGACGTTGTGGGGTTTAACGTCCCTATGCATGATGCCCTTAGAGTGGCAGTAGTCGAGAGCCTGAGGCAGCTTCATCAATCGGGAAGAGACAGCAACCGCTCAGGGAGAAGCGAACCTTGAGTAGCTCGAACATGTAGAATCTCACATCGTGGTCTGTGAAGCGCGGGTACAAGACTTTGAAGTCGACGTTGTGTACGTATTCTGTGATTAAACTGGGGATCTTGGGAGTAGGGTCGCGAACAACATCGAGGAGGGCGACAATATTGGGGCCACCGGCCAAATTCTGGAGAATTTTGATTTCGCGCTTAATTTTTTTCTTCTTGACGGGCTTCAACACCTTGATGATGCATTTGTCTTCCGTGACTACGTTTATTCCTTCAAAGACCTAGCGAGCATCGTATGAAGATCTCCCATCGACGTTCTTTCAAAACGCTCAGACTCACCTCAGAGTACTTTCCGCGTCCAACCTTGCGCACGATCTCGTAGTGATCCTGAGAACCCCACTGAACCTGCAGATTGTCTGGAAACCCAGGTCATCAAAGAGCGCTTCCTTCGACTAAAGATGTGGCGATCGTACCGTATTCATACCAGGACGCTCCCATACGAGCGTTTACATCGGCGTACACTCGCGCGACAGATTTTGTCGCTGACCTTCCCATTGAAATAAGCGTCCACGAACGCAGTTCCGACCAAGTTCAGAGGCTGAGCGTGTAGTCGTCGGCAACGAGGACGAGCAAAAGGAGATTACCTAGTGTATTCCCACGGTGACCTCGCTTTGGCAACAAAGAGATGCACAGCAGTTTCCTTTCTAGCTCATTCTTCGCTCTTGGTCTCTACATATCAATCTTCCGTTTTTTCAATCTGAAGCAACTGGCCTACATGCCCAAGAAAGCAACATCACTGTTCGACCTGAAGGGCAGTTCAGGCAAGGCAGTGCCAACAAATTGGCCGTCTCATTTAGTGTTCCTGCGCTCAGCCAAGTATCACAGCTCTGTGTCACCTGAGACCAGGAAATACTTGCAGAATTGCTCGTCCGCAAGCAATCGGTCAAATTATCCCTCGAGCAATCCTAAGGTTCTCATAAAGAGGATAACCGGTGCATCTCATCCAGCTTATGGCCAATTTGGGTTGTTCGCCGCCCAAAGAATACCTCCAAAGACGTATATCATCCAATATCTAGGTGTGTAGTTGTGGCTCCGTCCGGTTAAATTGAAGGTCATAGACGTATCTTAGGTGAAATACACTGTAACGATCGTCCGAGCTCCGACTATGATTTGTCTCTCTGCAGGCTGCCAGGTGGTGTCAGCGTCGGAATTGACGCCAGCGCCATGGGCAATGAAGCCCGGTTCATCAACGACTACCGAGGCGCTTCGGCCAAGCCGAACGTGGTCTTTCTAGACGGAAGAGAAGCGTCTGGAGAGCTACATATGAGCATCTGGAGCGCCAACCACGAGATCAAGAAGGGCGAAGAGATTCTGGTCTCCTACGGGAAGTCATGGTGGCGGTCTCGCGCCGGTACCCATGACGAAGAAACGTACGATGACAAACAGTGAACGTAGGGTTTAATTTCAAAGGCGAGGCTTCATCATCATTACCTTTGGCCCTGGGCTTGTCAGATAAACACTCACTTTCCCTATAGTATAGATCCGCCTGGTCGCGTGCTATCCACGCCGACACTCATTAAGTCTGGTGATATAACCTTGATAGGTTGTAAGCCTGCTAATTTCACGTCAACCGGTCAACTTTGCTTAACTTTATGCTCCCCGAGTGTTGAATTCAAAAGCGGTGGAGACTCGCCTGAAACTTACAACGGCCCGGTATCGTAAATTGCTACTCGGCCAGTTTATCAGCACGCTTTCATTTGTCGTATATCATTCGTTAACTTAGGGGTCTGCATTAACTTAGGTTTCTAATGAAACTGAAGGTTGAAATCATGCCCTTCCGATCTCAGCAGAAAATGGAACAACATTCTTTGTCTGCAAACATGGCGGCGGGCTTCTTAACTCCTATGGATTCATCTTCAGGCGCTTCATATTCATCTGTTCCCCCTGAACATCGGCCATGCGGAAACCTATCCGTGTCACATCTTGGAAGAGGCTGGTTTCTCTGATCTTGTGGTAGTTTTGTGCAATATGATATTCATTTCGTTCCAGCGGTGACCAAATTTCTTGGGATCAGCTGCAAGGGGTTCCAGTAACTTTCTAATTATTATGCCTGATTTTCTAGAGAGGTGCAAGGATGGAAAGTTATCCATGAGAGTAAACAAAGGTAAACACTTCAAATTTCTTTCGAAGTCCAAAGAACATCCGTGCTCGTCATTTCCTCCCGGAAGTTAGCTGCTACTCCTCCTCAGGCCCTATGCCACCTCGTCTCACACCCAAGGGTTTCTCAACTTTTGTTGCATTCAACTCTTGTGCGCGGAAAACGCTAGGGAATCCGTCTCGTTCACTCTCAGTTCACCGGCCAGGATGTCTGCAACGACATCCTTTGCCTTCCCCGTCCAAACGCGTCGGTGACAAGGTAAGCCCTAGACCTGAATTTCTAGAAACGTAATAGCTTAGCTCGTATCTAGCGCTCAATACATGCCACGGCACCGTCTCGTGCAGTAGCGAAGAATCCCTACGAGGTGCTGGGTGTGAAACCAGACGCAACGGCTGCCGAAATCAAGAAGACATACTTTTCAGTACGTGCCCTTTCCTCGGAAACTGTGTTCCCTTACTCATCCGCGTCCAGCTGGCACGCAAATACCATCCAGACACTAATTCAGACAAAGGAGCTCGGGAAAAGTTCGTGGAGATCCAGGAGGCCTATGATGTACGTCTCATTACGCTGTCGGAGGCGAATGAACACTTCAGCTTACTTCTCCAGATCCTCAAAGACGAGAAGAAAAGGGCAGCCTATGACCAGTATGGTTCCGCGTCTCAATCACCTGGATTTGACCCGAATGCTTTCGCCGGCTTTGGACGAGGGCAAGGGTTCCCAGGGTTTGCTGGAGGGTTTGCTGGCGGGAATTTCGGTGGCAGTTCCAGACGTGCGTCTGGAGATCTATTCGAGCAGCTGTTCAATTCGTTTGCTGGACAAGGCGGGCCTAGGGCTGGTCCTCGAGGAAATGTCAGAGGTGACGACATCGAAGCCAGCTTAAGTATCAACTTCCTCGAGGCCTGTAAAGGGACGAAGAAGAAGGTCACCATCACTCCAGTAACCGACTGTGGCACTTGCTCTGCTTCTGGTCTGAAACCCGGCGTGGAACGAACTACCTGTAGCACTTGCAAAGGCACCGGCTCTCGAACTTTCGTCATTGACAGCGGCTTCCAGATGTCAAGTACTTGTAATGCTTGTGACGGAGTAGGAAGTACCGTTCCTCGCGGGGGAGAGTGCGGCAGTTGTGGAGGGGCTGGAAAAGTTCGGACGAAGCAAACAGTCCAGGTCAATATCCCAGTTGGTACGTGTTTCTGTCTTCTTCGTTATCTTGTGGCGGACCCACATAAAAATTATATTAGGCGCGGAGGATGGAATGGCTATTCGTATACCAAATGCTGGAGACGCCCCCTTGATGGGCAAGGGGCCGAAAGGAGACCTTTACATTCGGCTAAACGTCACACCTTCCAATCTCTTCACTCGGCAAGGTGGAAATCTATACTATCAGGCCAGGATACCGTTCCACAGAGCACTCCTCGGCGGAATCGTTCGTGTACCCACTCTGGATGGCGAGGTTGATGTCCGTATCCCCGGGGGTACTCAACAAGGCGAAGAAATGGTGCTGAAAGGACGAGGTGTTTCCTATCTACACGGAGGTGGAAACGGAGACCTCTTCGTAAAATTCGCCCTTCAAATTCCCCGGTAAGCTTTCCTTCTTTTGCTTGCACATGGCCTACTCTGATTCGTTGTCGGTAGGAGCTTGACTAAACGCCAAAGAGAACTGCTGGAGGCTTACGCGGATGATGTGGAGAAACGGGCACCTGGTGGCAAGTCGGCGAAGGACCCGAAAAGCGAACCTCTATCTGTTGATAACGGTAAGGTTTACTTCACTCATAACGCTCCGTCACTGGGTACTTGGTTATCCCAAGGGTGGCAATCCATCCGCGAGCGTCTAGGCTTCTGATGGCATGTTTTTCGTCGCTGGAGAACGGTCTATCTCATGCTTATCGTGTTTTCAGATTCGCGTGACGTGCCGCGGCCAGAAGAGGGCGGCGAGAAGACGAAGGAAGAGAAGCGGGCGACGGGTTGAAGGCGATGCATAGAATTTTGATAGTACAAGTAGTGAAGCATATAATATGATAATAATTAGAATTCCTCGCTCATGAGCATAGAGGGGATTGCGGTAGAAAGTGTGATATTTTGGCGCCGAAGTTGGCCAGATTCGAATTGTGCGGGGATCTAGGATTAGATCTGTCGGCCCTGGATTGTTTCTCAGCCAACTTGCTGGGCGCAGAATTGGACAACGAGGCTGTCTCTCTTCCCCACCATGGCAGGTCTTCGCCTTCTTCATTTCTATGCGGCCACCCCACCCTTGGTAATTCGGCGGTTCCAATCCGGTCACATCAAAGGCCTTCTTCATGAATTCGCCACTACATTGGTCATGCACAATGTTTGCGTGTCATGGAACATAAAGGCCTTGGGTTCGCCTCGCCAATCTTGCATCTCGAGGCTAAACCGAGCTCACGAGATCTTCGGCCGGGGTTCATTGAGCGTCCCTCGCGACTGGATCGAGTCTATACCTCTATCCAAATCGTGATCGCCTTTCGCAAAGGGGAACTATATGTCAATCGCCCTCCCCGATCTCATATTTTCCCTCCCGACTCAGCCACTCATTCTCGTATAAAGCCTGACGCAAAATATGCATTTTCTCCTACCTCTCGACCGTTCCATTTTTTCCCGGTTCTCCTGCATTCATGCAGCCTAAGTTCACTTCCATGAACCCCTGTCTTTCCGCCGAGAAAGAATCATCTAACTCGCCCTCGTCGATGTTGAGTTCGTCGACTTGCGTTTCGGCGTCAAGCATCGTTTCCACCTCGACTTCGTCTCTCGGTTCCCCGAGCCCTCAGTACAATCTCTCTACCTCTCGACTTCTCGTGATCCATATAGGGTTAGTCAATTTCCTTATACCATCACCCTTGACTGACTCCTTGTGTAGAGCCGCACTAACTCTCTTCCTCGCCACCACTGACGCCGTAAGTATTCGTCCATGGACGTGCAGGCTGCAACTTAAACTTATTAAATCTGTCATTAGACCATAGTCTCGACAAGCTTACCCACCATTGCCAGCGATTTGCGAGCTTCGTCTAATCAGTACACATGGGTCGGCGTCGCATACATGTTGACACAAACCGCCTTTCAACCTTTGTATGGAAGAGTTTCGGATCTCGTGGGCCGGAAGGTAACCATTCCTCCTTCCCTTCGAGTCAAAAGCCCTGGAATTTCGGCAGATTGTGTTATACGCCAGTATTGCTATTTTTGGTTTGGGCTCAGTCTTGTGTGGCGCTGCTCAGGCGAGTTCTTATCAGCCTGTTTTTTGTCCATATAACGAACTTCCTTTGCAAATATTCTAGTCTATCAAGTGGCTAATTGCCGCTCGTGCACTTGGTAAGTTTATTGATTTACAACTTAGATTTTCATTTCTTACCATCTTCCCTTCAACAGCTGGAATTGGAGGCGGCGGAATCGTCAGTGCCGTCTGGGTCATTACTGCCGAAATCGTCGAAGTTCGACAACGAGCAACGTGGTCGCAAGCACTCAGTATTACTTGGAGCTGTTCCGCCGTCGCCGGTCCTTTAATTGGCGGGCTTTTCAGTGGTGAGTCGAACGGGTTTAATTGATAACAAAACCCAGTCAAACCTTTAATTCGTAGGGAGGGACGGGACTTCGACAGGATGGAGATGGGGTTGTGAGTAAACAATTGATGTACGATGGTATTTGTGCTGAACGCTGCTCAGTTTACATCAATATCCCCGTCTGCGCCGTCTCTTTCGTGGTTTTGGTTCTAGCTCTTCGGGGGATTGAGTTGAAGCGATCATCGAATGCGTCTTGGAGATCGTTCCTACAGAAGTTTGATTTTCTTGGGTTGTAAGTATCAGATGATCTGCAACCCCCGGTGCATTCACCATATTTGCAGATTCTTGTTTATGACCGGCACGAGCTGTATCATCATAGGATTCAGCTTCGCGAACGAGAACGGGTGTGAGTTCAGTGAAACTCGTCGGACCATCTTTCATCTGACTATTTGAATAGGGAGCTCCCCGTCAACGCTATCATTGATTGTCGTCGGTGTCTGTATCCTCGTGGCTGGAGGTGTCTACGAGAGCTATACAACCAAAGACTGCCTTTTTCCCCCCACTGCTTTCCGCGACCTTACAGCAGGTTTATCCTTCCATTAACCTTGCCGTGGCTTCGTTAAAGTCTGTTCCTCCAGGGACCATATTAATTATCACCTTCCTGCACAACTTCGCCTTCAACGCTGGTACTTTCTACCTAGCCCTGTTCTATCAGGTGAGTATTAATCCACTTCTTTCATGGTCTGTAAACTAAATGATAAGATATGTCACACAGGCGGCAAATGGATCGACGCCACTGGAGTCTGGATTGAAAATCCTACCCTATTCCCTCGGGTCTTCACTTGCGTCGCTACCTGTCGCATGGTTCATTGGATATAGGCAACACCAGACTAATGATACCAGCGGCCAGAACTGGGCGATCTCGATAGGACTTCTCATTTCGACTTTAGGTTTCGGTACGCCGATCATTCTATTTTCAAAAAAGAGAGATCTGATCAATGGCCCTTTAGGATTGCTCAACCTTCTCAACGAGGTGTCGAATGTCGCCGCCCAAATAGTCTATCCCTTGATTGCTGGCATCGGACTCGGGATGCTCTTCCACGCGCCTCATCAAGTCTTTACCCGTGCCCTCAAACCTCAGGAAATCGCGACCGGGACAAGCGCCTTCTTCCTCGTGCGATTTACCGGAGCGACCGTAGGTTTGGTGGGTCCTTTTTTAGGTTCACACCACATACGCTCATGTCTGACATGGGGTAAAGGCCGTGGCGGGCGCTATTTTTTATGCGCAAGCACGTTTGCCTGACCTAACTTTCCACCACTCTGCTTCTTCGATTGACTATAGCAAAATAAGATTACTTCCTCCGGCTAGGAAAGAAGAGGTCCTGAGAATTATCTCATCGTCTATCAGGGTCCGTCCATCTTCGTATTTCGCTCATATCGGTGGCTAACGTCTACTTCAGCTTATTTGGACCGTCTGTGCACCATGCCTTGGTGTCTCTTTCTTGGTAGCGTGTTCCTCCTGGAAAGCATTGATGTCACTCATCCTTCTTAGATATCGTTCGCTCTACGAGCACTGCCCAGCTTTGACTCCGCAGAACTTACGAAAACTCACACAACGTCAACAACTCAATCATCGGCGGAAGATGAAAAAATATAGGCCAGCGGGGGGCCGTCCGTGAAGACGCATATTTTCATGTCTCCCAGACTAGCAGTCCACTACAGTAGAATCTTGAAGCATCAGGCATTCGAGGAAGGCGAATCACAACTCAGGAATTAAAACCCTACATTCCATTCGGGATTGACATCGTCCCGAGACACCGCATTGTAAACTAGATGTCCTCCTACATTTGGCTAAATCCTTCCTCTTGCATCGTAAAGCCTTTCCCAGGTGCTTGTTACTAGAAACTTGCTACATAACGAGGGTTCGTCCAATTGAAAACCAGGACAAGACGCGGTATCCAAGGGTCATTCGAGGCGACACATCCACGGTACAATCTTCAATGAAATGACGCCTGCTCGGACAAGAACTTGTCTACGAGGTCCCTGAACGTCCGCACCCCGTCTGAAGCCAACGTGCAATTCTCGATCCGCAACGTTCCTGTTTAATTGTCACGATGGCGCTAGCTCCTTGAGGTATTTTGCCTGGGGCTCCACCAGCTAACTAGGTTGGATCGTTTCATATGAGGATTCCGGGGGATCATCTCGCATTCCTTGATTAGGTGGGTGTCGAAGGTCGCGGACTGATTCTTCATGTGACATATTGGATTAAGCTTCTTCAGAATTTGAAAAGAAGGGGTGTGTTGCCCTATGTAGAGCCGTTCTCGGCTTCGTCGTCAGTGCATCAGTGCATATTGGGCACATTCCGTCCTGCTTGTTCCTCGAAAAAAGGCATTGTTGTGCTTGGACTCTCCTTGTCAAGAGCTTGCCATCGGCACATACATGACCTGAAACCCCGTTAGCAGGTCACCCAGATCCATCACTGGTTGATGATTTTTCCTTGACGTCCATGAGAGGCCTCGGACCCCGCGACCCACAGCCTGCATGAATTTCTACTATTTCCAAACATGAGGGCTTCCAATGGGGATACAGTCTGGTCAAAGACAGGTTCCTTGAGAGAACCTGAAGGGTCACATTTAGGCCAAGGTTTCGATAACATTCGCAACAGATCTGAGATACACGGGAATAAGGTAAGTGTAGCTTATCAATCGACGAACATGAGGGTACTTCACCCTGGTGATTTTCGACATGGGCCTTCAAGCCGCGCATCGAAAGCCGCTGTCATGCAGCTAGGACCGGACCTCCGAACATTTCTAAGGGAAGCACAATATGGTTTCACATGTTGCAGTCATAACGTGCCCCTGCTCAATGTGGACTTAGCTCTTCAAAAATTTCGAAATAGAGGAAAGGCATACCATATTCGAACTGAGGTCAAGAGAGCCCAGGAAAGAGGGTCCGCGGTACGACGAGAAGAAGACACCAATAAGTGGGGCATACGGACTTCAGAAGCCTCCGGGCAATTGAAAGCATGGCCATGGAGAGAATAATCGTCCTAGAATAACTGCCACGAGCCATTTTTTGTCGCTCCTGGCCCAGCGTGAGTTTGACAACCCTTTCGAACTGCGAAAGTTTTCACGTAAAGCCGGGGACCAATCCTTTGCATGGACCACGGCACGCTGCCAATTCCAGGTTCCCTGGACGAATTCACCGACAGCTGAAGCCTGCCGCCAGCTGTGTGGGATCGTCAAGAATGATAATCATGAGGGACACCAATGTAGCGGCGAAGGCAAAGGACATGCGTGAGGTGCGACAATTGATTGTCCGTAATTTTTTGCGAGGCGAGCGCCGAAGCTTTGCTGTGCTAGGCGGTTTAGTGGCACACGACCAGCAACAGCGGTGTTGTGGTTCCTAGTTAGCAGCGACGTCGACGTCGGAGCTCGAGCCTGTGCATGACGGCGATAAGACAAGAACATTGCCGAGCCTTTGCAGGATCCATCCTTATCTTTGGCCACCACCACTCCTAACAATAACACTTTCTCGTCGTCCACCATGACCCCAGTTCTCTCACCACCACCCTCGTCTTCCTCGTCGTCTCTCGCAACACCGTCGGCACCGTCGAGGCCTCGGCCACTTTCCTCAAGCTCCGTTCAAAGCCTCGCCGATTTGCTTATCAGTGCATCCACTTCGCGTCTTTCAGACAGTTCCGTAGAGGACTTTCGGGAAGAGGGATTGCGCCATGCAAAGGTTAAATTAGATGCAAGGTGAGGAGCATCTCTTCGCTTCACATTTGTGAAGTTTCCGCCACTGGCAGCTGAGCAGATTGAGCAACATGAGTTCATCGAATCATGGTCGGATTCTACTGTTCATTCCACAACGTTAATCTAATACCTTCATCCCCATCGATATAGGCACTACAAACAGCCCTCATTTGCTTCTCAACTCCTCCAGATTGTTAAGAAATTGCATCTCCGGGTATGGTCCACAGCGCAAATCCCTCCTGAAGACGTCATGATCCACAAAGTTTCCGGAGCTTTGACAAATGCTGTCTTCTTCGTCTCGTGCTCTAGCGTGCCATCCGCCAGAACGCTTTTGCTCCGCGTGTACGGCCCTTCCTCTGGTGCCCTTATTTCCCGACCGCGGGAGCTCCATATCTTGCATGTACTTTCGTCGCGATACAAGATTGGGCCTCGAGTGTACGGAACATTTGATAACGGTAGAATTGAGGAGTACTTCGACTCTGTCACGTTGACTTCACAGGATATTCGTGACCCACAAATCAGCGGATGGATTGGAGCTCGAATGGCGGAGCTTCATTCTGTGGATATTGACGCTGTCGACGAACAGAAGCCCATCGACGACGACATCCATGGCTATGAAATTGCCGCAGACGTGAAGTCGCGGCTTGGAGCAGCCGAACAGGTGCTCAAGCTTTCCACTGTCTCCGAGGTCACCAGACAGGAACTCGACTTGCCGAGATTCAAGAAAGAGTGGACTCGATACTTGGCTTGGGCGCTCAAACAACGCCGGCACTTTGGCACCAAGCGCGTCTTCGCCCACAATGACGCTCAATACGGCAATCTTTTACGCCTCAAGGACGGAAGTGAAGGAGTCGATGAACACCGTCAGGTACGTCCCGTGTTCCTACGTACTCCCGTTCCTAGACGACAACATCTATCTAGATCATCGTCGTCGATTTCGAGTATGCAGCACCCAACCCCGCTGCCTATGACATCGCCAACCACTTCCAAGAATGGACCGCCAACTATCATTGTTCCACGCCGCACCTCCTTACGCCTTCACGTTATCCCACGTACGAGCAGCGTCGTAACTTCTACATCTCCTACATCCGACACGCTGCGATGCTGGCGGAGGATCCTGCGTTGGATGACGCAGCCCTTGAACAGCTCATCACCGAGTTGGACGAGGACGCCCGTGTCTGGAGTGCCGCTTCGCACGCGAGCTGGGCAATTTGGGGCATTATCCAAGCCAGGGAAGACCTGGAAGGTGATGTCGCCGAACCAGAGTTTGATTACATTGGTTACGCTAAAGGGCGAATGGCAGCTTTCCGCAAGGATCTCCAGTCGTTCGGGATTTAATCCTAGATTTTTCTAGGGAGGATTCATCTCTTCCGTTTCTGAGCCCCTCATTGCAAGTCTCATAATCCTGGTGCCCATTCAACGTGGCGCATGCCCTCCTGACATTTACTTACAATTCTGTGCTGTATTTTGGTTGTATGATTTCCTCACTTATTTAAGACTAGTGTAAATGCTATTGTGAAGATAGTTGAATCATAATTGAATTGAGATCAAATAAACACATGATGCTGGACGAGCGCGATTGTGATGTACGGAGAGAAGAGAGGAGATCGTAAAGAATAAGGTAGGGCTAGCAGTGAGCAAGGTCGTAACGCAAAATCAGAGCGGTCATGACAGGTCATTTTCGTACCAGACTTGTTGGGAAAAGGGGTAGAGAGGGAGAAAGAGAGGCTGTAGAGACGGGGAGACAATGAAAACACGATGAGAAGGGAGGAATCGTATATGGTGTACGTGTAGGTGTCTGTATAGTGGGGGATTCCGACCTAACGTGGGGGGTGAAAAGAACTATAGCACATTGACAGCACAGATGAGGAGGTTTTTATGAGAATTGTCCGACCAGGGCGGGCAACAAGAAAAAGAGATGACGATAGAAGCCTTTTTTTGAAAGATAATAAAGAAAGAAAAAAGATAAGAGGAGCATCGCACTTGTTTTAAGTCCGTACAAACGCAACTTGGCGATAGCTGTTAATTAAGCCCAAGCCTTCTCATGCAGGCGCGAGGAACCAACCGCGAGCTCGGTGCTCGACCAGGGCGAGTTCGACATGATCTCACCGGCAGGGCTTGGGCCGTGCGGGTAGGCCGAAGTCGAGGTCGAGAGATGGCTGTTGCGAGAAAACGAGGCCCAGTTGCCTGCACTTCCTGCGCGGACATGTCCATTCACCCTCGTGGGCGTCGGCTGCGACGTGCTGGTCTCGCCGGCAGAAGAGAGGCCATACGAATGACCGGTGGCAGGCGGCGACGGGCTGAAGCTCAAATCACCGTCCGACCCGCTGAAGGAATGACGAGGGTTAGCGTTCGAAGTCGAAGAGGTGCTGTTCTTTTTCTGATGCTAGATGACGGCAGGAAGGCATAGAAATGGAAGGACGGCGGGAAGGAGGGGGAAAGTGTCGGCGTTAGCAAGTGGGTTCGATTAGCTTCGAGATGAGCGACGTACGTTTGGATAGCCAACAATCTCCATTCGTGCAAGATGCTGTCTTCCTAGGTCGGGGCCAGCAGTGACCGGTGCAGGTGACTTGGTCGCGATATGGTCCGTCGCCGGCAAGAGAATGCCGTTGCTCGCGAAAGAGGGGTACGCCGACTTATTCTGCTTGATTGAGGCACCATCCAAGGCTGAGGTATCCACTCTCAGCGAGCCAGTAGGCGGGCGGGTGAATTGGAACCCGTTAGTAGAGCTCATGTCGACGGGAGTGGCGGCGGAGCTTCCGGGTGTCTCTTGTTGCTGGTTGCGTTGTGAAATGCGAGTGAGGAGCGAGACGGTCGACGACGCATCCGTATCGCTGTTGGAACGTTCTCTACCATCTACTTGGGGCTGAGGAGGTGCGTTATCCGAGCCGCCAGTACCAGGTGTTGTCGCAGTTGATAGCTCAGTGTGAATGAAGCAGCACCTCTTGCCATAGGGGCACGATCCGGAAACCCAGAACGTCTAAGGAAACAGCGCGTTAAGATCAGAACGAGTATGTTGATTCATGAATCATGTACGCACTTTGCAAATCTCGGTCTTGTACTATCAGAAAAGATAAGGAGTCAATTTACGAGACACCCGAGTGCCGAAAGGGGTAGACTTACCTTAGGATGCCTTGAAACTTTCCGAAGCTCATCCTCGCCATGGGCGAACTGGCATTTCGCGCCATAACGACATGACCCTTTCTCCTCCCAGCTGCGGCACAATTCGGTCTTGTACAAGCCTAACTTCCTGTTGTTGGCGCTGGGCCCAGGTTGACCACTCGAGCTCGTTGGGCTACCGATGCCTCCATCTAGAGGCAGGGCTGGGGTTGCAGCAGCAGCGACGCCATAAGGGCCGGTATACTGTGCCTGAAGACGGGCAGCCATGGCCGCCTGCTGAACTGCGATATCCTGGGCGCTATAATACTGGCTCGGATACAACTGCATCGCAGGGGGCATTCCAGGCTGGAACATATTAGGGGTGGCGAAGCCTTGCATACTGTTGTTGAGCAGAGCTAGAGCGGCGGCATCACGAATAGCGGAGGGATCCGAGGCCGAGTGGTGGTGAGTAGCACGGAAGACGTTGTGCTGCTGCTGGACGCGGGTTACAGCGGGGTGGTGATTGTCATGAGGAAGAGGAAGCATCATCTCGTAGAGTTGCTGCGTATTGCCTAGGGAAAGGTGTGACGTGTGGTGACCACCGTTGTAACCAAGTGTCGGGGTCGGGCCTTGCGGCGGAGCGAAGTTTCGCGGCGTCTGACGATAGTTCATCGCCGGAATGGCATTTGTAGGGCGGCTCTGAACGAATTGGGGTGGCGTCGCAGGATTGAGGGGGGGCATTACTGGTGCATGATTGAGATGAGGTGGTACAGGGGCAAACGACCGCTGTTGCTGAGGGCTATTGTACTCTAGTTGGGGTTCTTCACGATCAAGCTCATTGGGGTGGTTTATCTGAGTGTTAGGGGGGAAATTAAATTGTTGCTGGGGAATAGGACGATGGACCTGAGTAGCGAGGGATGGATAAGACAGCTGCTCGGAATTCGGGTCACGATATTGATTCTGTGCCCACTGCTGTTGTTGCTGGAGTTGTCGATCATGATCGGCATCGCCCACTTGCTGCAAACGACGGAGATCGGCACTTGAAAGACCGCCGCTGAACGAATGCGGCCTCTCTTTTGCTTCCGCGGGCGCATTTTTCAAAGGAGGGTGCGAGAGGAGTGCGTTGCCTGTAATGGAGTCGCGAGAGCTGGAAAGGGTGGTGTCGGCTGAGGAACCCCGAGAATGGGATATTTGATGGTCAGGGACGTGCGGAGAAGAGCCGACGCTGGTGCTCGAGGAAGACGAATCCAACGGACTTGACTCGTTGATCTGTGCAACGGCTGCAGCAGCCAGCTTGGATTTGGGGGGCGTATGAATGGGTACGCGGGGTTCGTCGGTGTCGGAGGTGACATCACCGATCTTCATGCGGCCAATCTCATCCGCAAGGCCCCATGCGTTTGCCTCGGCGCCAGAGTCGATGTACTGGCCGCTGCCATTCACCATCCAGCGTCGGCCATTGGGTACGCTGTGGTCGTTGAAGTCGGTACTGCGAGGAGGCATGGCGGCGGATATCTTCTGAAAGGTTGGGAATGGGCGATGAAGGGTACTAAGGTGAACTGCGGTATCTGGAGCGGAGAAATTCCAATGCTGGAAGGCGAAGGGATGGGGGAGTTAGTCGGCGAAAAGTTGAACAACACGTGGGCGGCGTACCTCAAAACTTGGGTCCTGGTCGTCGTCCGTTGGATAGAACCAACCAAGGGCGTCTTTGATGGCGGGAGGACGAGAAACGGGAGCAAATAGATCGTCCTTGAAGGTGGGGGTAGCTGTTGTCTGGATCGTGGCTGTAGTATGCATTTACTGTGGGTCAGAACGGGGACACTTGAGGCAGGAACAGGCGGGCGAGCAGCTGGCCAGTACTAACCCGTAAATTAAGGAAACCAGGTGAACGGTTGAGATAAAAAGAAAGGTTAGATAGACCCCCGGGAGCGAGGGGGCTGAGATAGGTATAAACAGCGAAGCTTCGTGACTGGAGTCGTGAGGGAGACGGGGGGAGTATAAGAGTGGGTGATGTTGGCAGAAGGCGAGGCAGAGGGGAGGCTCGCCTTCATCCTTTTTGATGGGCAACGTGCCCGATTATCCAGTCAACAATTAATCACGCCGTCACACTCTCAGTCAACTAATGGCCCCCGGCATATCCTCACCAAGGCCCTCTGCTAATCGATGGCGATTGCTGTGATTTTATCGCTGCAGCATAGTCCCCACAGCGCGTTTTATGCTCGCTGCCTGCACCATTTCGCCGCCGGCCTATTGCCAAATGCGGATGCCATCACTCCATTTAAACTCCGCGTAACATTCATCCCATCACCGGGCAGACACAACCTCTCCACCGTCCAACCACTCTCTCCATCCCCCCGTCAGATTGCTCCTCTCTCGGACCCGTTCCGCCCTCCGCAGCATGCAACCCCAACGCCCATTTCCTCCTCTACGGGCACGTGCACCCCACGTGCAGCATGTACAGCCATTCCAAGTATAGCGCGCGATCAATCAGCTTCCATTTCTCTTTCAGCACATCTCTGATATCTGAGAGGCAGGAATCCCTACCCTACACCGTCCCCATCGATGTCCGTGTTATGTCCATCGATACACCTGGCAGTCTCGCTTGTCGACATGCACGTCGAAACCCTCCGTCTTCTATCGATGTGCGAATACAATTGGTCAAGTCTTTGCGTCATGCACAGCTTGAGCTTCAACTTGATAGCCTGTTCCTGTCCCTTGATAGAAGGTCAGCGGACAGACATAAGCTATGGTAATAGACCCGTAGAGTTAGGGAATCGATTCGTTCACTCCTCCATACCAGGAGACAAGCCCACGACTACTTATGAACCACATCTAGAATCCAACCTCATGAAAGTAAAACTCTTCCTTGCGCTCCAGAACTGCCCGGTGATCCCTCGATTTGCACGAGTTCTGCACGCCTCTGCATATAGCAGCGGAACCTTCTTCTTCCATTTCCAAAAAAGGTATCATCTCCATTTTCCAAGTCCGCGAAATTGGCTTCCACCCGACACACATACTTATCCCAAGTTGGAGACTTCCCCACCACCGTTAAGTATATTGAACGTCATGATTACGGGAGAGGCATTTGCAGTAATCTGCCTGCTCAACCTGCTGAGGTGCGGAAATCCAGAAACAAAGCGCCAGAAAAGCAGCAGCGCGGTCGTACAACCTGTGATCTCTACGGTCCGATTCCATTTAGACATAATTTCGGGCTTATCTCATATCGAGCGCATGGACACTCGAGTACGGAGGAATTTATGCGAATGAATGAACGCAGCGCGTAATTGTGGCGGTAATTGAGAAGCGCTTGTCGGCAATCTATGCTCTCCTGGTTCTTCCCTCGTCTTGTAGGGAAATCTCTACGATCTGACCGTCCGTATTTCATTCAGGCCAAAGGCATGGCGCGTCGTCGTCCCTCCATCGCGCAACCGTGCCCATGACCTGTTCAAAACGGAAGATCTGCAAGCGTTCGAGACGACGGCGAGCCTTACGTGTACCTCGTGCAGATCAGGTGGGCCGCACCAAGGAAAAGATAAAGGTTAGTCCAAAATGACCTCCGGGGTATCGAAAGCGCATGAACCTGCACAAGTTCTACGTATACGGTCGACTGCCATAATCTCTTCATCGTACGTATGCCTGATTTCATATTTCATATCTCTGGTGATCATTGGATACCTTGGGGCAGTTCACATTGGCACCATCATCTACTTCCTCAAAGTTCTATAACCATGTTCTCGATGCTTGACTGACAGGATGAATATGGATCTATGTAACCAATGAGATGATATTTTCTTTCAGAGGTCCAAGGCCTCGGAATCTCAGGAGTCTGGGACGTCTTCCTGTATTTCGTCCTGCACGCAAGCTTCTGCGAGAGGTCGTCGACTTCTGAATCCTGCATGGATTCGCGTGACAACGCCGAGGGCCACTAGCGTTGGCGTGCAGACCTTAACTTTACCAATTGCAAAGCAGATCATAAAATACCTGCTTTTCCTGGACTAACCTGGGGGGTCAGTGTGGCCGTCCAAATTTACCACCGACAAGGAACCGAAGGGTCGATGCCATCCAACACATGTTTTACACGCCTCACTGGACTTTTTTAAATCCGATCCTGGTGACTTGGACCCGGTCGTTTCGCCATCGATAAGCGGATATAACTGACTGCCCCTGCGACCGGTGTGCTCAGGCTTGCTCAGGTGGCCAGGCTGACTGATAGAGGTCGAGGTTCTTTTTCTCTTTCATTTCCTGGAAGCCGTCTCTGGGGATGTGGGGTACCAGGTTCCCGTCGGTCAAGCAGGCGGCGAGAAGGGCCCAGCAGTTCGTACATAGGCTTTGAGATCACATGCGACTAGAGGGCGAAAGCAACGGCATGAAATTAAGCGATAGTAGTGTACAACGGTTATGCGTCTTGAAAGAAGGTTCAGTAGATGTACCTAACTTTCCGAGAGCTCGGACTCACAATATGACGTTCCCACAAGCATGGTCGAAAGGCTCTGCAATTGATCCTCGTCGAACAATAGTTGGTCCTTGTGCCATGTATCCTAGAAGCGAAGCGCAGTCAGCAACTAAACACGTTTCCTTCTGGATTGTTTCTACCTGATGGGTCTACAGGGAAAAAATCAAACGGTCAGGGTTTGAGACGGTCGAAAGGGATATTTCGTTCTCACCTTCTTGAACTCTGATGCACACTTGCGAATCGTGGTCGAAATCGGGGGTGGGTCAGTGGCATGAGGCGCCAGAACTTCGAGATATTCAGAGTGGTGTGGGCGAGAGGAATAGCAACAGCATTACCTTCTGTGAGTGGTGGCATCCACGCCTCGACGGAATAAGGCAAGCTTTCTATGAGAGCGCAAATTCCTAAAATTGCAGAGTGCAGCTTTCGCAGGGATCTGCATAGGAAGGGTCCCGTCGTGGAGGAAGAGAAGCCCTCCTAACCAGAGCAACAAAACGATTCTGCCCCGCATAGCTTCATTAGCGGCGACTTGTTATAATCCGTACAATTGCACCCACCTTCAAGGGTATGATGCTCTGTCGCTGAGAGCATCTGACTACACCAGAAAAGACCTTGGATGCCATCTCCCTGACCTCAATATTCTCATCGGACAAGCATTCGACCAAAACGTCCATGACTTTCGCGACGCCATCTTGCGAGATTGACAGAAGATTTCTATAGAAGAAAACGACCAAAGCAGGCAGTGCATGCAGGCGGATCCTCCAGGACTAAAATCATGTATAAGTATGGGAATATCTGCGAATATTCCAGGACATACCGTTGAGAATTTGACGGCAATGACAAAATTGTCGAGGATTACTTCAATATATTCTACGGGAGGAGTAACAGCCGATAAGATGTAAAGCACTGCTGAGCTATAAGCTTGCAATTCGGAGCTATCGTTCAACTCGGACATCCGAAGGATCTCGGGCCTGTGAACGATAAGACGATGAACGGGCGTTATATCCCTTGTGCAATTGAAAATACCCACATCATAGTAACCGCATAAGGGAACATAGTGGATGCCGTGGCGCTGTGCGCGGAAACCCAGAGCCATTGGAGGACTAGTGAACTTTCAACATCAGCACGAATTTATATCCAAGAAACCGCGCCAACTTACGGGTCAAACCAACTTTGTCGTACTGGGAAATAAATCAATAAAAATCCTGGGGTAGGAACAGCAAGAAGAGAATACCTCAGATTGGTTAACACGAGGCGGCGGAAGACGTTCTTCTCTCCACTTGGGCAACTTTTCCATCGTGTCAACGACATAACCCATGAACGGAGCATCCCTTGTTAAAGCATGAAAAGCTGTGCTCGGAAGAGGATGAAGGCACCTACCTTATGCACAATGGATCATGCTGTTCGTCGCAGGCAGCCAAGAATGCCTTCGTAGAGGGGTACCAGGGCTGCCATTGATTTCCGAGGGTCACATAAAGGCCTTGACAGACGTGCTGTCTCATCTGTCTCGTGGTCAGTTCCGATTACGAACGCTTGATTCGAGAAATTTTCGACTTGCCTCCGCGTAGCCAGAGTTGGTGTTTTCAAAGAGCAACTTGACGTACGGTCCCGCTCTAGGATTGAAGTAGATTCCCATCGCATCAACCAAAATTCCGAACAAACACAATGGCTTGGTCACTTCCAGAAAATCAGGATGGCACTAGGAATCAAAAGCAGGGTTGTACACACTTTCGAATGCAGAATCTTCATTAAACTCAAGAGGCAGACTGAGTATCCAATCCACAAGAGGTTTGGTCCGACGTGGATCTCGGCGGTGTAATTGATACTAACAAAATATGGTTGGTTTGAGTCAAGATCGCCCTGCAAAGAATCTTACCTGAAACACAGCTTCCCAGAAGGAGAGGGTCTCTGGTTTAATCTGGGCAACAATGCGGTTCAGTCGGCTTGTTGTCCACACCCACAGTTTGCTCGAGGGGCCAGGAGGCCAGTGTTTGGCGCCTGTAAGGGTTGTCAGAAAATGAGATCAACTGGAAAGTAAGGAAAATGGCTAACCACGTAAGATACCGCATAGAATCTCAGCACCTGCTCGCTGTTTGTACTTGTCGGAGTCAAATAACAGCGGGTCCACGACCGCCAAAATTTCGTCGAGACCACTATCACCGAAGACTTTGGCTATGAAGGAAAATTAAATACCGAACGAATATCAAGATGCATTGGCTCACCAAGGAATTTGAAGAAGAGCGCATTTTCACCGCGGAGGTCTAGAGTGCCGCCACTCTTGCTCGGTTCCTGGCTCCAAAGTGTTGCGAGCGATTGCAGATACCCTTCCTTTCTGACAGCCGTATGAATGGTCTCCAAGCTTGAAAGGGATTCCTTGTCCCATGAGAAAGGGTTGTCTCCGTCGGACACAGCTTTATAACCCTTGACAGTTGGTATCCAACTTAAGAAACCCGTCTTTATAGAGTCGAAAAATATTCTAAACTGGATGAGCACAAAAATTGGCATGTACATTTCGAGAACATGCATACCCATCCCTGTCCACTGGCTGTTGTAGTGAGCGGAGGAACTCTTCTGGGTGGCCGATGGCAACCTGACGTGTTAACGGGTTCTGCCATTCATCTAGCCAGAGCTCTTCCTTGGATTGCGAAAAGCTTCGTATCTTGACAAATGATAGCAACTTGACGATGGCTCTGGTTTGGTGGCGTCGCTCAGTCGGATAAACTTCTGAGGCAGAGAGCACTTACTTCTGCACAATGACACGGACAGTCGGTTGCGGACTCGTTGTCTGATCGAGGAAGAATTTAGCTAGTTCTGGAGGAGGTGCTACATCTCTCCGAAGCAAGTAGTACAAGAAGCGAGCTGCCATTTGAACATAGCGCCACTTCATGAGAGTGGTCAGTGATAAGAGCGCCTCATTACATACACGAGACCTACATGAGTTGTTGGTCGCAACGCAATGTCAAGGATGGCCGACACCTTCGAGGAGCTCGTAGGATTAGACTTGTTCGATCCAATCAAAGGTAGGCATCACACGCACAGCATCTCTATACACGATCTCACGTCGAGTAACGCGTACGGCACTCTTCTGGATGGAGGCCTCGAGAAGCTTTTGGTCGATTTTAATCGACTGCAGTTCTTGCACAAGCTGATCCAGGGAATCGTCTAGACGTGGCGTTGGTAGGGTGTACGCATCTGTCTGCACGGCCTCCTCGCTGATGTGTGACACGCAATCCTGAACGAGACTATTAACGACTTTTTGAATAGATGGCTGATAGAGTAGTTTAGCTGAGAGACAACGATCGGGAGTAAGGAGCTCACTTTTTCCTCATGTTGGCACTCCAACAGCGAAGTAAGATAGGCCTTATGGTAGGCTTGATCTAAAGAGAGGTCAAATTTCAAATGCATGACACGTACATAAACCTACCTGCTAAAGCATACGCAGCTGCCACAAAACAGAGGTAAACATCTTGGTTCGATATAACTATTGTTTTGGCACATACCGATGCCCTTGTTCCAGAGAATGTACAACGCTCCCTTAATCCGATCGGGGTCATTACCCTTCTCGAGGGCTTTGAAAAGAGAGGGCAGTATCAACCGGGTGGAACGGACGTAATACTGCAAATAAAATTAGGGATTTTCTGCTTACAATGACCTAGACTTACTCCTGTCACACTGTGAAGGACTGCTTGAGCTTGTCTAAGGCAGCAAGAAAGACGGAACAGGATGAGCGTAAATAGATAGAGAAGCCCGAGATATCCATACCTTCTGATCCTTGTGTACTTAGATAGCGAAAGCTCAACCAATTCTCCTAGTAATTTATCGTCCAGTCCGGATCGGCGGCGATACAAGGCGTGCATGTAGACACGGCCGCTGTGATAAACATGTGCCCTTTTCACAAAAACGAGGCGCGAATTGTCCTTCTGCTTCTGCCAGGATCGATTGAGACTAGTAGTCCGCATGTCAGACATAAATCCGGTCAAAGGTGTGTGGGACTTACTCCCGAGCTTGCGCATAATTCTTCTGCATGGAGTCGTACTCGCCTCTGTTCATGCCATAACTCAGGAGGTACGTGTCAATGGCTCTTGTTACACCTATAACAGCATCTATATGGTCTTCACCATTGGTAGTCTTCCTAAATGTGGCGGCCGCATGTAAAACGACTTCTGCGAACTGTTGTCGGCGTCTGAAGACTCTTTGGTAACGCTGGTCATTGGGATCAGTTAATGTAAATCCTGCTTTCACATCGAAGTGCGCCACGAGCAATTCTGGAAGTTCTTGATCGACGTTCAGGCATGGATTAACCACCTCCTTTTGCTGCTCCTTGATGAGGGTTGGCAGGCCGCCCCAAACCGCTCTGCAAGCATGGAGAAATCTATAAAGAAGTGCTAAATAAAACAAGGATAGTCATTCCAGAAAATAGACGCTACCGGCAGAAGTCGTTTCTGGCCACGTTGTTCCAAGTACCGCTGGTTTCGACGAGGGTTGAGACCTTTTGCAACGCAGGTTTGGCGATCTGTTCGATGATATCTAAAACCATCGCGATTTCTTCGTCAACTGGAACTGTATTGAACGCAGTTAGTAAATTCTCTAACTTCAAGAAAATCAAAAAGTATATACCATGCCATTCAACGACGACATCCTGGGGTTCGTACAAGCGGCCCCATTGGGTGTTATGCGTCTTTCTGAAGTCTGTTCTAACATGAGCTTGAAAGACGGGGACACTCGAGCTTTGTTCTCACTAGGATCCTCCCACTCCTTGGTGTTCACGAAACGCGTGTTCAACGGATAAACTCCGCCTATCGTGCCCAGAATGCGTGTGATAAGACGACCAGTGCCTGTATAGCCGCGCTCGCTCTTCGTCTTCTCGACGAGAAGCCCGAGCAACCCGATGATCTGGGCTTTATGAACAAGAAGCTATGCCGAAGCAACGTTAGTGTTGGGGTTGTCTCGGTCTGGATAAGGCACTGACAGCAGAGCCACCATATCCAAGACATCCACGAAGAATGGCCATATCTAGAGATAAACAACTTCAGCCGATTAGAAGATTCCAACAAGGAAGGAGACTGACTCCAATGCAAGGTCGTATCCGATGGTACGGCCGCATGAGTAGAAGTAGTGCGAACACTCGAGGCACCATGCTTCAACTCGTCCTCGATCTGCATCACACAATGGGGCAAAAACTTGGCCATCGTCTTCTCTGGACGAACACGAGCCAAGCAGGCGACAAGCTGGCCGAATGCGCGAACAGCATTTGACTTTGCATTGGTCGTGGCATAGTCATAAACAAGGTTCAGGACCAGGTCGAATAGTTGGTCGGAAAGGTGGAGGCAGATGACATCCATCATGCTCTTGATGGCCTTGAGGACACTCTCTTCTTGTTTACCGCCTGTGGTATTCTTCCTCCCGCCTTCTTCGGGCAGGTTCTCGTAGAGAGAAAAGACGCGACGGAAAAGGGAGACGACCCAGTCTAAACAACACCGTTAGAAGGCAATTCATAGCAGCAACCAATGTTCGACGCCACAAACCTGCAAAGCTAGCTGTGCTATCCCTAACGAGCGATCGTTCTTCTGCCCGACTAAGACGAGGAACATCTCCAACATCAGTTCCTTCAGGCAGGTGGTCAACGTCGTCGACGTCCATGCTATCGTCCGGTTCATCACCGGAGAAAGACATGCCGGACTGCGAGAGATCGCCAATCTTGATGTGCTGGACAACAGAGACGATAAACATGGTGGCGCAAACAGTCTTGACCGGGTCATTCTACAAACAGGATCATCACTTAGTTGGAGATAATCGCATGAAGGAGCAGACATACAAGATCGATTCCAGGGATACACAGCTCCAGCAAAGGAACGATATGCTTCTGACCTCCAAGCCAGATCTGCTCGCTGACCAAGGGACGAGAGATGCCAGAAAGCATACTCAACACGGCAGTTGTTCTGTGCGTCTCGTTGACCACCTCCAAACCGCCGTATGCACGCTCAAGGAGCTCTGGCATTATTAAACTAGGTTCGAGCAGAGCTAAAGATCGAAGAGCTCCTTGGGCGTAGCTCATAGAAATGGGATCTTTAGAAAACATAGCGAGAAGGGCAGGTGTCTTCAAAATGGTAACCAAAGCGCGTCGGATTGCAGGCGTCAGTCTATGGGTCTGTAGAAGAATCTGTCATCGCAACTGCTAACAGGTAGGATACCAAAGGCGTACGTACTATGGGAGTCTTGCAGGTAGGTTGCTCCTCCTCATTCCAACGTTTCGTGAATTCAGAGCCGAGGCGTTGAATGAACGTGGTCAACTTCAAGAAAACCGTAAATTATCCGGCATTCACCTAAGCTCGGGCGGAGGCTTACTGAGAGAGTCCAGGCACCTGTGTTAGATGGATGGAAAAAGGACTCGATGCTGGTAATTAGACGGTCCAAAGAATCAACCGCCTTCGAACCAGCGTAATACCCTTTTTGTTGCGGCAAACTATGGCCTTTCGCAGAGGGATTAGGTGGTGTCGCTGCTCGAACCTCGCCGTCGCTTCGCATAGAATAGACTAGAATCTTAGCGAGGGCATCTATTCTGAACGGTCAATTTGGAAAGCTTCAAAAAGAAGAGTTTACTGACGAATCCTGTTGATGGTCTTCTTGATGCGCATGCTGCCTTTATCCAATAGGTCTGCATGGGTAGACGTATTCGATGCACCCTAACGCAAGATATAAGGGTTTATTGAAATCTAAACAGAAAATAACAATTACACGCATGGCTCCAACAGGAACATCTTACGAGGACTCAATACGCATTTCGCAAAATCTGGAAGAAATAAGAGACACTCACTCATGGACCCGAGACCTTTTCCAACAAGCGTCTTCCATTGAGCATCCGTCCAAATCCCAACATCCTTCCACGGTGCGCCACCATCTGGCCCAGCATCTCCTGCAATGCCCGAGACGTGTTCTTCTGACAAGTCTCCGCATAGTTCGAGCAACCGGTCGTCGATCACGCCAGAGTTGAATGCCTCCCAGATCTTGAATAGAGCTGGAAGGTACAGACGGGTATTTGTAGGAGGGAGGAAGGAGGTCAACACAGGAATCATAGTCAACACAGTCTAGAAAGATATAACGCCTTTAATGTCAATCATGGATGAAAGCAAGCAAATTGCACTTCTTTGGTTAACATCGGTAAAAATGTGTCGAGCATTGCGGCAATCTGTGACGCCGGATAGTAGCGTTTGCAAACCTCTGCAACGTATAAAAGAATGTTGATAAGATTGCGCCTGGAGTACTTTATTAGCGGAAGCGATCCCGCCATGAGAGGGATATACACACGAAGAGTCATCGAGGCTGCTCTTGGGCCATAGTTCTTTCTGCAAATTGCGCCAGAGGGGCTGCCATGATAATTCAAGGTCAGTGGCTTCGAGCTTTCGCCGAAGACCAGGTTTGTTCGACAGTAGACGTGAGAGCATGTCGGCCCAGTTGCGGAGAATACGAGGTTCAATGCCAGGGAGGAGACATAGCTCGTAGTAGAAGCGCACGAGCTTTGCGCGAGTGATTTTTTGCATAGGATAGCGCATCAAAAGCCAGCTAGTTTTTGATTTCAAAGATAGATCAGTAAGATGTTGAAAGGCAGATGTTGTGTGCAAGTACCATTGAAGCATGCCATCCCAAGTGCTCAAGACAAGCCAATTCTTGCTTTTAGCCGTGATGTATAGCTTCTCCACAATTTCTTCAAGACAAGTCTGCATTTCTTCGATGCTTTCACACTCGTAAGGCAGCGAATCGAGATAGGTCTGCAAAGAAGCGCGTTGCCTGTCGTTGGCGGACACGTCGGCGACCTCACCAGGAGATTCGCCGACGGAGAGCTCGTCGTCATCCATGATGGCCAGATCGTTTACGTGAGACTGCAAGAGGGCCTGTGTAAGTTTGAGCGAGGCCTGGAGCGAATGTATTTCGGCGATGAGGGCAGCCATGCGCGATGATTGAGCGGGGGGGAATTGGTGGAAGGAAAGATGAGACGCACGTAAGAGGCTGTTATACAGGGTGACGCGTCAGTACCGAGGCGATCTGGCTGCGTTTGGAAGACGCGCAAGCCTCTATTCTGATTCAGTATTCAATTGGCTTTTCCTTGAAATTGACGCGCGTCCGCCCCTGGCACGTGCTCCGACTCGGCGAACTCTCCAGGGAGTCTCCAGGCGCGCCTGGTCTGGAATCTGGATCCCCCACTTGCTCTACACCGCCATGTCCTTCCTCAAGCTTGCCCGCGCATTCCGCCTCGCTGGTACGCGGCGCTTTGTCTCAATCGCTGCCAGCCAACCAGTGCGCACGTCTTACCGTGCTCTTGCCCTGGGTACGACCGTTGGCGTCGCAACATGGCTTGCGTTGACTCCCCACAAAATCCATCTGGACAGTCAGGTTCCAGAGAGCAACGTCAAGCAGGCATCCGCGGAAGACACGACAGGTTGAGCCTATCTGTTACTTGGTGCTATACTGTTCATGAATACAAGGTCATTCAGTCGATCCTGCAACGTCCATTGCGTTCCCGAACGTTATGCAGATACAGTCGAAAACGCCTATCCCTCCAATGAGTCTTGTAGGTGTCGGCGTTCGAACCGTTTCTTTTATAGGCCTCAAAGTATACTCGGTGGGATTCTACGCGGATCTGAACAACCCAGCTATCAAAGTCCGTTTTCATTCGGTCGTTTCTCTCGCTCGGCTGACCCGGCTTTAGGTCCCCCTCGACATGTCCCCGGAGAACAAGGTAAAGTACATTGTTCGGAACACCTCATGCGTCGTTCGAATCAGTACGTCTCTTTATTCAATGCATGTCCTTCGGCACTCTTAGTCAAGACAGTCCCCACACGCTCAACCAACTTTACTCATTTGCGAGATGCTTTTATGCGCTCCCTTCAGGCTCGCCTCGGTGCCGGAATTAAGGACGGGTCTATAACGGAAGCAATCGCTCAAAGTGTCTCTGGTCCCATGCGCAAGCTGAAGAGCTTGTTCCCCAATTCGCCGTTCGCGAAACACACTCCCCTCGATATCTACCTTGCCGCACCAGTGCCGGGCAAACCTCGAGCGTTGGTGTTCCGTGACCTGGGTACCATCGAAGACGACTGGGTCGCAACTGAGCTCGTCCTGAACTACTTCGAAGGAGAAGGCCCTAGTCCACCTGTTTGTATTCCGGCTGTCAGTGAGACCAAGGACTGATATTTTTGTAGCTCAAAGCGACCGTGCTGGAAAATCTGAAGTCATTTGAGAAGTGATCTATGATTAGACAACTTGTTCAAATGTAAATTCTCCCTTGACCACCTATCGGAATATGTTCGGCATGCAGCACCATCTGTGGAAGCCCTTTTAGGTCGAAATGTATGTTGCAATTTCCATGGCAGAAAGAACCCAGACAACAAGGTCACATCACAATTTTCCCAGCATAAATACCTGAGAACATTGTCCTTCAATCACGCCTGAGCTCTCACTATCATTCAGCTACACCGAACCTCTAGAAGATGGCAAGAAAACTGGAATATCTTACACGTATGTATTCCTCAGTGCTTGCTACATCCCTTGGGTGACAGAACCAGAGGAACAAATCGATCACTTCCTTGAATTCGGATATATTGTCATCAAGAAAGCGTTCACGAAGGAAAAGGCGGAGGAATGGACGAAGGATCTATGGGTTCGTTTGAACCTTGATCCTCATGATAAATCTACTTGGGACCGAGAGCGCATTCATATGCCGTCCCTCCATCGGGAGAAAGTTGCAACCTTCGCGCCGACAGTAAGCATCTCATCTCCAAGCGGTGCACAAAATCGGCGTTGACGGTCGATACCATCAGGCTTGGGCAGCCATTAAGGACTTGCTCGGAGGAGAGGAGAGAATCAACGAAGTAGCATCGACTTGGGAGATTCCTTCATTGTCAATCTCGGTATCGATCACTGGGAGAAGACAACTGAAAGGGTTGCCCCTCAGGACCTCGACAATTGGCACGTCGACGGAGACTTCTTCGTATGTGCGCTTCTTGAAATTTGTCAAGTCTTGCACTAAGCAAGGTTCAGGTCCATTACCTTGACTCTCCCGAACAAGCATTGCTGGTGATTCCGATATATTCAGACATAAAGCCATCTGGAGGCGGAACCATGATAAGCCCTGATGGGATTGACCTCATCACGAATTACCTGGCCGCCCATCCTGAGGGCGTCCTGCCGACGGGACTCTCCTTTACGCCCTCGACCAGCGAGTATGAAAAAAAGGAGGACGATCCCGGATACTGGTCAAACCTGAAAGAAATCAAAAGGTGCAAGCAATTCGTTGAAATGACGGGCGAACCTGGAGACGTGGTCCTCATGCACCCATTGATGCTGCACTCTGCCTCGAAGAACTGCTTGCGCATTCCAAGGGTTATAACCAACCCGCCTGTATCACTCAAGGAACCATTTAACTTCAACAGAGACGACCCTGCTGACTACAGTATTGTCGAGAGGAAGACGTTGAGGGCGTTGGGTGTCGAGAGGTTCCCCTTCAAAATTACGACGGAGAGAAGGAGGATTGTGCCTGCCCGTATTGCAATACAGCAGAAGATGATGGAAGAAGAGAAGAAGAGACTTGGGAATTTAAAGGAAGGTGGTGCAGCCAATGCCCTGTAAGCGTATAGTGTCTATAACCCTTTCTCAAGAACAGGAATTTCTTGAATGAGAGTCAAGCGTGATAAACAGGGTCTGTTGATTGTGATGACGTCAGACTCAGAGTGCACCTCACGTTGCGCTAGACGCGTGAGTCACGTGTGCGACGCGATCATTAAGCGGTCGTTGATTGTTCAAGTTGTAAACCTCATTTTGTGACCTCCGAACTTTAAAAGGCGCACCTCGGTTGAGACTCCGATCCATCCCCTCTTGTCTCTCGACTTCCACCACCGGCCCCTCAAGACCCCCAAGACTCATCACTCCTCCTCTTAACCTCTAACTAAACACCAATGGCCCGCACCAAACAAACCGCCCGCAAGTCCACTGGAGGTTTGTGGCCATTTTCATTGTTGTTAAACCGGCCTTGCTCATCACGCTGTAGGAAAGGCTCCTCGTAAGCAACTCGCCTCCAAGTCCGCCGCTCGCAAGACTGCCTCCGTTAGTACTACTGCGCCACCATGCTCAAAGTCCATCGACTCATCCTATGTCATAGAATGCCGCTGGCGGAGTCAAGAAACCTCACCGTTTCAGGCCCGGAACCGTTGCCCTCCGTGAAATCAGGCGTTACCAGAAATCTACTGAACTTCTCATCCGCAAGCTCCCCTTCCAACGTCTTGTTCGTGAGATCGCCCAGGACTTCAAGGTATGTTGTACTCTGTGTTGTGGTTGTCGAGGTCATTGACGGCGGTCATCCCCCCCTTAGACTGATCTCCGCTTCCAATCTTCCGCCGTCATGGCCCTGCAAGAGGCCGCTGAGGCTTACCTCGTCTCGCTCTTCGAGGACACCAACTTGGCCGCCATCCACGCGAAGCGTGTCACCATTCAACCTAAGGATCTTGCCCTTGCCAGGAGGTTGCGCGGTGAACGCTCGTAATCGTTGAGCTATGTTTCATTGTACTCGTTCCCATTTCTTCCAGTGTACATCTGCTTTCATGGTTGTACTTGTACCCATACCCATAATCTATTTCTCAATCACCTGGTCGTAAAACCAACCATTTGAGGGATGCTATAATGGTGCGAGTGATTCTGAATGCAGAATAATGCCAACCGCGGTTGAGGGGAGTGACCGTAATCTGGACGCGTTATTTGGTTGTGTTTCTATAGGAGTTGACGCAAGAACTTGCAACATCTACGTCGCTTGCATACAGCCTGCGTCAGGCTTAACCGACCAACCAGCTACCACTCTCTACCATGAGCGTCACTTGCTTGCGTCTGTGGACGCGAACACATTGCCACGGCAGAATAAAGCTCCTCACAGTCTCTGCCAAGAAGCCGTTGCCTTCAAGTTCTACCCGGACATATTCTATCCATCATAATATTGACTTTGGAAACACAAAGTCCGACCTGCTCACTGAGTCAGTGGGTGCAAGGAAGGGATCGGAACCGAAGCATGATCATGTTGGGCCTTTCCAACTCGGTCTTTCTCAGTCGGCGTTGCGGAAGGGAGAAAAGATCAAAAAATGGTCGGAGCTTAGTACCGGAGGAAAGGGTATGCAATTCTTCGTGTCCTCCGCTTTACGCTATGACGAAGGATATCTTTAGTAATGCGCACGACGGCGCGTACCACGAACCTCGGTGTCATACTCCTTGGTGCAGGGCTTTCAGCTCTGTTAATCTACTCTCTGACATCTGAACTCTTCTCGAGGAATTCTCCTACCGTTCTGTACGGTGACGCTTGCGAGCGGATAAAGCAATCGAGCAAAGTGCGTCATGGGGTTGCTTCCGAAACCCGTATTCAAATTAGCCTCTGTTCAGATTGCCAAATACCTGAATGCACCATTGACATTTCATAACAACCCTCCTTCATCTGTTCGGCCGCGACACCGGAACCGACATGTAACGTCCAAAGTCATGGTAGACACTCACGGCCAAGAACACATGATCATGACGTTCTACGTGCAAGGTCGGCCAGAAGGCGAAGCACCACCTTCAGACGACTCGTACCTCCAAATCCTTTCTACGTGGTTCCAGGGTAAGACCGCGGACCTGTCCGATCTATCCTTTGACGAAGCCGTGGAATGGTCTAAGGAGAGTACTCAAAACATTTGGGACAAGTCGGTGCGCGCGTTCAAGTATCTGTCGGGTGCCCCGTTACCTCCGCCTCCCCTTCCTCCCCTTCCAACATCGGAAAAGCAGGAGATTGCCAAAAAGCAGGAGAGCAGTGCATGGAGATTCGCTGGAATATTCTCCTCCTTGAGATCACCCAAAGGCCCCACTGCGGAGTCACCTGCGCGACAAATGGATAGACATTTCACGGAGGGTGAAGTGCATGCCGACCTCGTCAAGGTAATTTAGCAAATTCGCTAGTGGTTTCTCTTGTCCTAATCTCTTCCTCTGCAGAACCAAGACGGCTATTTCGTCTTCCGATACCTTCTCGTGGACATTCCGAGTAAGGACTGGCGTTGCTGATTCGTGCTCGGTTCCTGACTCTTCCTACTAGGTTCGCGAGATTACAATCCTGTGAGAATATTCGTGGAACGACAGCCAGGAGTCAGAGATAATGTGCCTGTCATGCGATGGATCTCATAATATTTATCTGTAATCTATAATACACTGGAATGGTGTCTGAGTTTGGGGAAGCAATGAACCCACAAGCCATCCAGAAGGCCCTCTACTCGCCGAACAGCTTCTGCACCCGCTTGAGTATCGAGTCTTTTGATGGATCTAGATGGGTGAGATGTCAGTTTATGGCATTTTGTCGTCATTCTCTTGGAGGGACAGACCATATGGATGATCCTTCGAAGGAATCTCGAGCAATGCTGGGAAAGCTTGCTGGTATTTATCAACCGTTGGTCGAATCCTTTCGGCAATCTATATAAACCTCATGAGCTGAGGAAGATAGAAAAAAGGACAACGATCCTCACATGCTGGTTAATTAGCAGAATGGCGATGTCCTTCCGCTCCGTGAACTCTTGGAATGCGCCTTCAATCGTCGCGACTTGTGTCTCTTTTACACGCCATGAGACACGTCGAAGCCAATCAACCAATATGCTTTTCCTCACTGGAGTCAACCACCAGGAAATTCTTCTTCTGGTTCTCGTTTATCTGGCCAATACCGGCTAGCAGCAAGCCAGTTATAGAATCCTGTCGACAGAGTCAGGCAACGAGAGATACGAACGTAAGCGTCGCTGCATACCTCATCTCCAATGACGGCAATGAGGTTCCGATCCTTGAAAGAGGTGGTCATGGTGCGTCTGACCGTCGACGGTGAAGGCGCTTGAGCAACCCCCTAAGCAACCAAGATCATGGTTGTGTTGCCGTATTTGTCACCGCCTATCTTCCCCAAATGGCGCGTCCCAGACTTCACCCGCGTCGTCAACAATGACTCAAGCATGAACGGTTTCGAACACTTGTATCGCGCCTTCTTCTAGTCCGAATACTACCAACAATCCTTGCTTGATTTTCTGCTCTCGAACTACCGTCGTGTAGCCTTCACGCTCCCAAATGGACATCTTCAATCGTCCGCCTTCAATCGCTGAGGATACCCTCCAATACGCGATCTACCCATCTGTCAACTCCTCAGACAAAGCATATGCTACCAGTCTTGCAGCATGTATCAAAAGCTACGCCGACACGCTTCTCCCAGACTTCATATGGCATCGCGATGCCTTCGAAGTCAAGCTCGCCTCCAATCCGGATAGAGCTGGGTCATGGATCCTTGAAGGAAGAATGCGCGTTGGAGACAGTGTCGATGATGAATGGTGCACGGTTTGGTTGCTGAAGGAAATCAGCTCGAAGTGGGATGTTGTGATCAGGTCAGTGCTTCATTTCGACCCACCCATTCCATATTGAATACAACGGTCAGCGTGTACGATTCAGACGGTGAATTCCTCTTGATTGAGGCTGCGGAGGCACTACCCTCCTGGGTCAAACCCTCAAATTCTGAAAATCGAGTGCGTCATTTTCTTCTGCCTGAATTCGTGAAGATCCAAGACTTATCTGAGCGCTATACAGGTTTGGATCCACAATTCCCGTTTGCATCTCATCCCTCTCACACATGTATCTCCAAGCCTGAGAGAGAGGCGCCGTCGCAAACTCCCGGGTCTACCAGAAAGCGACGACGAAGATGCAGGAGAGGGAGATTCTTACATCGCTGCCGAAGATGCTGTTCCCCTCGTCAGAGATCCCTCAGTTGAAACCCTTGCTCCGCTTGCCGTAGAAAGACTGGCCTGGCAGCACATAGCCGAGTTTGTCCATTTTCTCTCTCATAACTCTCTGCATTGTCTCTATCTTTCTGCAGCTATCCAGACGCAGCGAAAAGCCACGTTCATACGACGAAAGCATTCATTCCTGAGGACATAGCCAAAATTTTGGGTGCGAATCCATCTCTGGTCCAGAAGGCGGTTGAAGCGTTTTACACAAGGGATGCGATCCAGTTGCGGGTGAGTACATTCTCGCAGTTAAACTGTCGGGCAGCATTTAACTTGGCCCAACAGACGGCCCATCGCATGTCCCGCTTTTCTCCCGGTACAGCCGTTCTTACAGCCGTTAAGATGACAAGAACAGCCTATGCTCAGCTAATAGGTCAGAAATTCTTCCCTCCAAAAGTATTTGGGAGCTGGAAAGAGCGAGAGGGCACGAAAGAGTGGAGGTGGCGAGACGTCGGAATGAAAATCGTACGTGGCTCATTTTTATGGCAAAAACATAATTGAATCCAACTCTCAGTCAACCAGGCGGTTGGTTTTGAGATGCTTTACCAGGAAAGTAAAGGACGACAAGGCGGGCAGAACCTGTCGGAAGATGGAATTCGCTCAACGGTATGTTGACAAGCCTGTCCATAATTCTGCTGCTGGTTCATTGAGGCATCTAGGCTGCGGCAAACAAGGATACGCTGCAGCGAAATCCGGAATATCAAAAATATATCCAGAACCTGACCAATGCCGGTTATTTCAAAGGCGAACTACAGGGTTCGCTGCTCTGGGGTTCTCTGGAAAATCAAGCCGCCGCCACATTCGTTGAAGTCCGCCGACCCAAGTATGCCGTCTATTTCACTAATTAGTCCCTATGCTTATCCAGTCTTTGCAGCGACGCCTCGCGACAATCATTCGCTTCCCAGGTGACCTCTGGCCTGTCAAGGATCAAAACCTTGCCCGACCAATCGACAGCGACAGAAGATTGCGATGATTGGTTGAACGTCGACGGAGAGGATTTCGAACGGATGCTGGAAGCTACATTTGGCAATGCCAATCGTAATGCCGCGAAGGATCCCAATACCATGGATGTTGACAATACCAATGCCGGGCAGCCAACCGAAGATCAACTTGCGTCAGAACAAGCTACGCGACTGAAAGATCTTGCGACGAAAGTCGAGAATTTCGTTGAAGGTGAGGGAGACATGGAAGGTGCGCGATTCGAAGGGTAAGCCCCCAACCTGCATGGCCTTGTCCTCCCTCTTACGGCCTCTTCAGTGAAGAACTTTCCGAGGAATCCTTCAGCGATGACGATTCGGATTCGGACTCGGACTCGGACTCTGAGTCCAAAAAGAACCGACGTTTGGAACAACGTCAAGAAGACATGAACAAGCTGGTTTCTGGGCTTGAGCCTTCAGAGTACGGAAAGATGCCTGCTTCATATCACAGCAATTCGCAACGTGTAGCTACCGCCGCAGTCGAGACCGACGCGGAAGAAGGCAACACTGAACTTCCAGAGCCGAAATCAGGTACCAAAGCTGAAGAGAAACCTAAGGCGAAGCCCATCCGGCCTCCTATTATTCCACGGGACAAATACGACGGAGTCGACTCTGACGATGAAACGGATGAAGAGGCTGTTGAAGATGATGAATCTGAAGAGGATCGCCCTCAAGTCGTTGGGGAGATTGAGATCGACATGGAAGAGGAAGAGGAAGAATTCCTCGAGTTTTCGAGGCAGGCTCTTGGGATAAGCGATGAGCAGTGGGCAAGCATTGTGAAGGATCGCAAGGATAGGGGTGGTAGGCTTTATTTTTTCTACAGACCCAAGACATAAATAACGATTTCTCCAGCCTTCCTTCCCACCAGTGCCAAAAAAATGACTCCAGCGCCGAATAAACCTCCTGAATCTACCGAGAAGACTGAGAGGAAAGCCCACATACCTCGCATTCCGGAACCTGGCCCACGGCCAAATGTCAACCCTGAACTCGATAGCTTCGAAGCGGTGATGAAGGCTTTGGATGAGGCACTGTCAAATTCAAAAAACCCTTCGCGTAAAGCGGCGCAATCGAAAGGTAAGGCCAAAGAAGAGGAGACAACGCAAGACAAAGGGAAGCATAAAACGACAGTTGAAGATGCCATGGATGTTGAAGATGCGATGGATGTTGATGAGGACGATGATTTTGACATCGATGCTGCGATGGACGCTGAGCTCAAACAAGCGCTCGAAGGTGCCGATTCGGACTCTGAGGAGCCCATGGACTACAACATGATCAAGAATTTTCTGGAAAGTTTCAAGAGTCAGGCGGGTCTATCTGGTCCTGTCAGCAATCTGGCTGGGCGCCTACAACCTGATCTGAAGTTTCCTCGCGATGATTCTTTCTAGTTATGTCCTCTTTTTCTTAGAGATGCTCAGGTAGGGTTACGCTACTCAATATTCACTTCATTTCCCTACTAAATGCTACGTAATACTACATTTTTGAAAACGAATACATGTTCACGTCGTGCGCTATCATGCGCGACCTTGAAGACCACACGTGATGGCAGCGTGCGCGTCATCTCGAGCCTTGCCTGACGCTTAGTTTCTTTACCTTTGGTTCCTTCAAATTCTGAACATGCTATAAAGCGAACCACTCCTGAACTAGTGGCTCGAGAACCTTCAGGACAGCACACAATCGATTCCTTGAGAGCCTGACTCGAGACGTCGAATCTATCCGTCAATCCCTGGCCATGATTCACGCGGTTTTCATCTGTTACGTGCAGTAACCCTCTCGGAGAACATGTAGAGCTTATGCCTTTGACAGTTAACACGTCGGGGGTCTCTCGTTTGACGAAATTCTACACCCCATTACACCAGTCTCCACAGGCCGTGGTGCAGAAGATCTTCTCTCTCGTTAGCACACGACCAGCAGGATTGTGCAACTTCCTGGACGCCCCTGAGCTAGAACAATTCCTCGGATTCAAAGGCGACGAAGATGAGCGATGGAGAGTTGTGTACCGCAGCTATGCGACCCTCTACTTCGTGTTTGTGGTCGACGGAGCAGAGAGTGAACTAGGTATCCTCGACCTCATCCAAGTACATTTCATATTTCCAAGATGGATTTACGCCCTTGTAACTGACTCACACTTGTCCACAGGTCTTCGTCGAGTCTCTAGATCGAGCATTCGAGAACGTATGCGAACTCGATCTTGTCTTCCATTTCGACGAGGTAAGCTGCCTCCCTTGATCTTTGAGCTCTAAATCTCGGCAAAGCATAACCTCGTCCTCTCTCGTAACAGGTGCACCACATACTCGCTGAGATCATTCAAGGCGGACTTGTCCTGGAGACAAATGTGGAGGAAATAGATGCTTCAGGTATGTCCCCTTTCCGATCTAGTGCGAAGTGAAAGCTGATTCATTTTCGATGCTCTCACATAGTGCAAGAAGCAGCTCGTGCCAGGAAGGACTCTTTCGCCTCTTCAAATCCTCTCTCGTTAGGCGGAGGAGGGCTTGGACCCCGAGGCGGTCAAATGAAGACGCCCTTAGGTTGGCTGGCTGGCAAGATCACTGGAGCTGGGACGAGATGATTGTGCATCTTCCACCCTCTCTAGACCGTACTTCCTCCATGTCCCACTCGCACACTACACCTGAGAAACCTGACACTGACACTCCACGCTGATTCCACGATTTAAATTGACATGGACCGGCTTTACCATGGACATATTATCGCCTATTCTACATAATCCTCCCCAATGGCATGCTGTTAGATATGACCGATCACGATGTGTGTATCAAAACGCCCGGCAGAGTTGCACAACTCGGGCACGCGACAAAGTTTTGCTCACATTAACGTTAAATTCCGGGTCCGTTGCCCATTTTGAACTCGTGAACATGCGAAGTCTTGCAAAAAAAATGGGAGGACGAACGAGTGGAGGGCTCTCCTCAAGTTTGATCAGCAATGGAATGATCAAGTTGGTGCAGGAGGTGGGGCCAACGAAGTCCCTAAAAGTATGTGTCAGTCCGACGCGTGAAGCAGCAGGCTATCTCGTGCACAAACGTTTCTTCTTCTTCCTCCCTCCACCAATCGGACCTTTGGTAAGATCTTGCGTTATGTTCGATGAGGAACCTCTTGGCGCTGTCTCTTGAGTTGAAATAGGAGCAGGAGTTGCAGACGATCGCATTGTGGTTGTAACGGGTGTATCTGGCTCCATCGTTTCAATGTTCGCTTGTGCGAACGAGGGGGCAGAAAAGGCGATCTTGGAGTGTGCAGCTGTGGTCTTCATGGCGTTCATGAGCAAAAATGTATTCTGTTGTTTCTTGGGTACTTTCTCTTGCGGCATGTCGGACGTGCCATCCGTATCCGTAAGGCTGGCTTCTGCTTCGGATTCTCGTTTCTTGTTGGCGTCATCTGCCATCGATGGGTCTGTGATCGGCCAGATGAAGCCAGTGCGAGGGGTGTAGTCGGGCCGGTGCTTGCAGAGAATATCGAGAGACGATTGAAGAGCAGCTACAGAAGTAAGCTGGCTGGATTCAACGAGGAGGCCAACATGGATGTAGCAGGGCCCCTTACCAGACGGTTTGACAGGACCGTATACACGTCCGGGGATTGATAGATGCGATTGTTCATAATGAAGTATGCAGCAAGTGGTCGCACTACGAGATGTGTGAAATAAGGAGGAACAGCACGGCAGGGAGACATACCCTCATCAGGAGACAGCCGCTCTCGCTTCTGAATGACAAAGAAGGTGGGAGGCTGGGCGTGAACGACCGCGAACTCGACACCAGTGAAGCGCCTAATATCTTTTAACCAATGCTGGACCTTGCTCGCCCACGGCGTTAACTGACCTTAGTTCAGCAGCTTCGTCCTTGATTGGCACGCCGGTATGCATCGTTTGCATACGTAGAACCTGATTGTTGCTCTGTTTATCATAGAACATGGACGTCGCGAAGTACTCGAAGACATTCTCCGCGTTCAGAGGTCCGTTTGCCTGAAAACTGGGCTCAGAAACGTGTCAGGGAAAGCGGGGAGAAATAAACCTGTATCCATTCGTGCCAGATGAAGAATCGATGGCTGTAATCGTCGGGCGGGTGAAGGTCATTTATATCCATTGAGGTAGCCAGAGGAACGGGTTGCTTATGCCAAGGAGCGGGGTCCACATCACTGGAACTCAATTCGGTCTTCGCACAAGAAATATTTCTTCTAAGTTCTCACCACCTCTATCCACTACTCTGGGTTCAACGCGCTTCAATATGAGAGCCCTTGCCCCCCTGGACGCCATTCTTCCTTTCCTCCCGTGGCATGGACCCCAAGCAACTTGGTGATGTGTCCTCACCGGTGTCTGAGTCAAGACTAAAAATCAATGCACGTCGAGGTGCGCACACAATTGCGCATCATTTCAAACGCCATGTTGGCGTCGGAATCATCTGCTCTGTGGCGTATTTCGACCCGTACGTATTTCGAGAGCTGAGCGAGAAATGGTTTTAACTTTTTTGTACGTCGCAGGGGAAATTGGAGCGTAGATCTCCAGGCTGGGGCGAGTTTTGGCTACCGCCCGATGCTCTTCGTTGTTCTTATGGCGGGTCTGGGGGCGATCGTGCTCCAGGTGCGTTGTGAGTGCACGCCCTACGAGGTGTTATGACCCTATTTCCAGACTTTGGCTTGCAAACTGGGCTGTGTAACGGGCATTGGTATTTCTTGTAAATCGACATCTGTCACATATTTTCTAACAAATATTTCCCCAGACCTTGCCAGTCATTGCAGACTGCTCCTACATAATCACCCTCGTCACCCTCGTCTCGTCCGGCGACTGGTTCTCTACCCTCTCTACGTTCTATCAGAAATCGCCATCATATCTACAGACCTCGCCGAACTACTCGGCTCTGCGATTGGCCTTTGTCTGCTGTTCCCAAAGCTACCACTATGGGCTGGCGTCGTGCTCACAGCTGCTGATGTTCTGATATTCCTTTCATTTAGCGACCCCTCTCGAGGCCAAGGTCGTCCGGTGAGATTGTTTGAATTCACAATCATTGGCTTGGTTGGTAACACCACACCCTTGTCAGTCAGTCGCTGATGCCGGGATGTCTGTAGGTGTTCGCAGTGTTCGCTTGCTTCGTCGTCCTCCTTGTCAAGGTGGAGCCAGATTGGCCAAAGGTGTTCATGGGGTACATACCAAACAAAGGCCTCTTCCAGTCCGAACCTGATGCGGTCTACACTGGTATGCTATCCTATCGCTCATGTGAGATCCTCGTTTTTTACTTCAATTATAGCAGTTGGAATACTGGGAGCGACGGTGATGCCACATGCGATATTTTTAGGGTCATCCCTAGCTACACAAGATCGCGTTTCCGACGCTCCTCCGGAAGAAAAACTACCAACACCAGCATTGGCACAAACAGGAAAAGCGCGAATCCATCAGATCGTCCGTTCCCTATTCCGAATCGACCACACAGAACGAGTCGCGTCTGAGAAGGATTGCCGCACGAAGCACAGCGAACGCGAAAACAACACACTGTCGTTTATCCGGCAGCATCTCTCGCACGGAATAACAGACGTGGTCACCAGCCTCCTCGCTTTGGCAGTCCCAATCAACTCGGCGTAAGTTTCTTAGATGTCCTCACCTGGTTGTTTTTCCATGACAAAACGAACGTTATATGATAGGATCCTGATTTTAGCTGCCACAGCGTTCCACGATGGCGCTGTATCAAATCCTAACACGGTGGGTCTCTTCGAAGCCCACGCTCTAATAAAAGAGCGTATCGGTAGTGGTATGTCGTGTTCCTGTCATCTCCATATTGCGCACCTCGGACCAACCAAATTTTCTCTAAATCAGCCGCTGCCACTATTTTTGCTCTTGCGCTCGTCTGTGCCGGCCAAACGTCGAGCATAACCGTCACCCTAGCGGGTCAAATAGTATCCGAGGGGTTCATAGAGTGGAAAGTTTCGGTAAGTGCATGCACTCAGTCGCCTTCCCATTATCTGGGTTCAAGGAGATCTCACTCTGACCCGGCTTTATCTCGTACAGCCCTTTCTCCGGAGACTAATCACACGGTGCATTAGTCTGGTCCCATCTGTGGTTGTGGCGATTGCTGTTGGGCGAAACGGGATCGACAATCTCCTTGTCGCGTCCCAGGTCGTTCTCTCCATCGTGCTACCCTTCGTTGCATTCCCACTCATCTACTTGACTTCCGCTGAGATAGTGATGCGGGTAAGAAAACCAACACCACCCACGGAGTCCTCCGTTCCGTCGCAAGAAGAAACAGTGCCGAATGACATCGCCGTCCTGGAAATCGAGGAACCGACCATTGCAACGGAGAAGATCGTGGAGAAAATACGCGTTGAAGTCCGTGAGGAAACCGTGGATTTCAGCAACGGAAGGTTTCTCACTGCATTGTCCTACGTCATCTGGTGTGTGGTGCTAGTCGCAAACGCCTACGCAATCGTAATGCTCTTCGACGTTCGTTGATGTTGAAGAGACTAAGTGATTGTTAACATGTATTATAGATACATAAATACCCAGTTTGCTCATCTAAGTATATTCGGCACTGGCGAGCGCTATAGAGGCCAATATCTCTTTTCTTGCATCGCCCGCCTAGCTCAATCGGATAGAGCGTCAGACTTTTACGAAGGTCCAGGTGATTGGTCATTAGTTGATCTGAAGGCTGCGAGTTCGACCCTCGCGGTGGGCTAGTTACACTTTTGTCCCTTTTGGTGTCCAGGTCTCGAAATTGAGTTGTGCTTGCTTGAATTTTGCGTGAACCACTTTGGGTCATGTTTTGAAGTTGACAGTCTTACCAGACCTAGAACAGGCCGGTCTCACTTCCGCGGTGAAAACAAGTGGATATGTCATTGACACTGCATCAGGGATACTTAGGGCCGTCCTAGTAGCACTCCTCCGAGGCTGAGTCAAAGATTTCTTACAATCGCCGGCCGTCGGGACATCGCCCCTAGCGTTGTACCTCCAGCCGATGACGACCTGAACCATTCCGGCCTATGATCGCTAGCGACTGAACTTTGGAGCTTCGGAGCTGACCTACTAAGAGTGGATATATCATGCAAATTTGGAAAAAAGACAAAGAGTAGCCCACCGCGAGGGTCGAACTCGCAGCCTTCAGATGATCCTGGGGGACGTAACCCGCCTAAGAGTCTGACGCTCTATCCGATTGAGCTAGGCGGGCTACGTTATCTGACTACTATGAGGTGGGAGTTATCAGCCAGCGCTTATCCGCATCGGGCCGCTTATGAAATTGATGCGCCCGGAGTGCGATGCTGCGGGGAGACATGTGGAGGGCAGTGCTGTTAGTCATCGTGATTTGTCGACACAGGCTAATGCCTTGCCGCCCGGTGACGCGGTCGCTGATGACAACGTGTGACCTCCACGTCACCACTAAACTGTGCACACACAGGTTCGCAGTTGGCCCGCAGCTGACCTGCAATCCTAGCTCTCGAAACGATCTGAGCTAGGGAAGCAAGACGAGCTGTCTCGAGCCCAAGTCCCAGGGGAAACCATGCGCATTTCACGAGTCGATCGAGGAACGAGGGGGCCGGACGGTGCTCGGCGTGAAAAGACCGCCCAGGAAGAATGTGACGGTGACACGAGCCATATGGGGCGCTGACGTAAGTGCGCAGCAGTGTATAATGAGGGGGAATGAAGCGATCCTTGTTTCTTCCTAACCACCATCTTCATCCTCCTCTGACGCCCCTCCAGTCCGCAGCCAGCAGCAATGTCTGACGCACAGTCCTACGCCCAACCTTTCGACTCATACAACAATGACTTCGTCAAGCAGAGCTTCGACTTTTTGTCGTTTCACTCGCCCTCAGACGTCCTCGCTCCCCACCCGGATTTATTCGAGTCCGATATCGACTCAAACTTGGCCGCATTCCCAGATCAGCTCCAGCTCCTCACTGTAGACTCCAACGACGCCTACAGCTTCTTCAGGACCGAGAAACCTCAGTGGCCAGGTCCTCCATCTACTATCACTGTCTCCTCCGAGTCCTACGACTCCCGCTCATCCTACTCCGACTCGTTCTACAACGAGCAGGTGGCTACCTACGCGCCTACTCCCATCAGCGCCAGCGTTTTCGAATTCGACCTCGACATGGACTTCCAGCAGAGAGTCCGTGTTGGCTCCGAGTACTCCGCCGTGCAGCCCAGCATGAACTTGATCGACGACACCCAGGACCCTACCTCCTTTGGCCCGCTCCCACCTACACCGCCTCGCAGCCCGGGCTTGAACACCAAAGTCTTCGAAAAGCCCTATGGCGCCCGCTCCAGCTTTTCAGACTATTGCCCTCCTTCCAGGCGCAGCTCAACCACCTCTTCGGACTATTATTCCCACTTGGGGTACAGCCCTTCGCACAGCCACGTTTCGCCGCTGCATATCTCGACCCAACTTCCCACCGTCGCGTCCGTTGCGCCTCAGTCCGTCGAGGAGATCAAGGGTGACCCCCGCAAGAAATATAAGTGCACTGCTTGCCCGCGTGGTTAGTATTTTCCTTGTCACCCATTTGTTTCTTCATGCTAATCCTTTTTTCCTTCCAGCTTTTGCTAGGGCATACAACCTGAAGACTCACATGGCCACACATGACCCCAACAGGCTCAAGCCCCACGTCTGCCCTCAGAAGTCCTGTGGCCGCTCATTCAGCCGGAAGCACGACCTGGGTCGTCATCTCATCAGCATCCACCGCGACGAGCCTATCGGCGCTGCCTTGCTCCCAGCTGCTAAGAAGGCCATTGGTGTTGAAAGTGCCGCCCGCGGCTGGTGTGACCAGTGCGGTAAAGGTTGGGTTGGTCGAAGCGCTGCCTGTGACTGCGCTGACGTCAAGTAAACGGTTCAACATTCATCGACTTCCTTCTATTGTGTACGTTGTCTCTTGGGCTATACTATGATCCGTATTTATTAATTTTTGTCTCTAGGCACTTGCTTGCCGCCCTCCGTCTCACGCTTCAGTGACTATTCTATGTATTTGTCTGCATCTTGTGGGCAAGTCTGCTGTCGCGTCCTGCGTCAATCAGTGTGTCACGTACCGTACCGTCAACTCTATGCAAGTATGACCCAGCGACGAACGTGATCCTGATATGAATTTCCTTATCTACATTTCATCCGCGTTATGCACCCCCTTTCGCTTATTGTTATGTGGAATCCCCTCTCCTTTTTTCTGCCTCTAAAATTCAAGTTTTGATTATCTCCTCTGCTCTTTATCTAGTCCTTTACGTCTATCGGTGCGAAATGTTGAATATCTTCTCACATCTACTTGGTCTCCTGCCTTGTAGTTCTCAAAAACGCTTAGTTTGAACAACAGTTCCACGTCGCGTCTACCTCTTGCCCTACTTTAAGGTAATTTCAATATGTACAAGGAGTCCAATAGCTTCTTGGGCCTAAAGGAAAGGTCCTGAGAAATTATGTTTCCGCAATTGCGGAGTTGCCTTCAAGATATCGTATCCTCACTGAGGAACCTACATACAAAATGCAGATACCTGGGCATTGAATTTCAGCTTACTTATCACGCGCGATTTAAAGCATCAACGATAATGTCCTGGCATAGAGGGAGTAACAACTGAGTGGGGTTTATACAAGGGGAGAGGCAAGCAAGTTGGGGTAGGGGAGGGAGAAACATACGAGTCCAAGGCCTGAACCGTCGACGAAAGCTATTAGCTGCATGGAACGGGGAGCGGGAAAAGAACAAAACATACCTGAACGACTAGTCCACGAATCCAGGACAAGGTCGTTAGTTATAAGTACGAAAGAACGAGGTAGGGGAGAGAAACAAACCAAAGTAGCGGTTCACCAGTCAAAGCATTCGTCTGCACCGACAGCCAACCAATGGATTCTGAGCCGTAGAGGAGACGAAGTCGAGGAACAAACAAAGCGTGTTGGTTAGCCAAGGCCTGGATGTTAAAGGCGTCGGTGATCGGTACGAGAGGATGAGAGGGAAGAGACGAGCTCAGTTGTTGTCATCCCAGTAGAGGTTGGCACCGTCGAACCTGGCCAGGATGAGGAGCCAGAGCCAATGCATGGGCGTACCGAAGGTAATGTCCGACGAGTCGGTTTTGCCCGTTCCACCAGTGAGCAGGGCAACAAATCTGCCGAGGGAGTCGATGATGACAGATCCAACCGAGTCAATATTGCCTGTGGCGAAGTACCGGCGAACCTGAGACAAGAATCCAGATAAACCACCCATGGTGGTGTAGCCACGTTTGATCACGCGGCGGATGGGATCCCTTTGTGGAATCTTGTAGATCTTGTTGTTGGGTGTACGTATCTCTTCTTGGGTAAGGATGCCTCACAATTTGAAGAGACCTTCAGGCGGATAGACGAATTCGTGTGGCGCATCAAAGCGATCGTACATCAACTTCTTGAAGTTGGCGGGGGAGATCTCCGGGCCTGAAATATGAACGGTTATATTAGACGCCCTCAGCGAGACGGACCAGCACGCACCTAAGCTGAGCACGTTCCTCCTGAAGTGACGGAACTTGTTCTTATCGAGCTAAATAACGCAGACGTCCTGCGTGTACTGGTGGGGAGGCGTAGTGACGCTGATGGGAGGGGCCCAGACGACGTGTCCGATGACGCGGTCCTTCGCCTTGTTCCACATCTTCACCGTCACGAAGTGGGCCTTGAGCGCGTCGATCTTGGTTCGTGTCTTGGTCAGCTGTTCCTGTGCCTCTAGCAGCTCAAGCCCCGACTGCTCAGCACGGGAGCCACCACCCTCCACCAGAGCTGTTAACGACGTAACGTGCGTCTCAGGTACTCAGCTGTGTCGAGAAGGGTACCGATGGTGCTCTGGAGGAAAGCGAGGTGGTTGGTGAATGCATTGGGTCCCATCACGATGACCTACGATGACCTCCTTCGGCCCGGCTATGTAGGTGTAGTCGGATTTGCCCTCATGTGTCTCAGGGATAAGAACATACCGACGGAGTTGTATTCAACGTTGTCCTCGTTGTCCTTGAAAAGAATGTGGCGGGAGGTGACGGCGTAGAGGTCTTCCCCAATCCGAAAGTAAAACTCAAGAGTGCCCTGCATCCTCGTCTGCAAGCCGGTAACTGGAGTAGACAAGCCGATGACGTCCTTGAGGGGATCGAGGTCAGAGACTGGGGCGAAGAGCTCTGGCCCACCCAAGAACTTGACCTCCGACTCGCGGTATGCGACGTCGACGTCAGTAATGTTGTACTGCTTAGGTAGGTCGAGAATATCCATAGAAAAATCGTAGGCCTGCTCGCCAGTGGTAGTACTTATCTGGCATTACGCCAACCCAGATCGTGGCGGGAGTAGTATAGACTGTCCCACCCATGACAGGCTTGATGGGTGCGATGTCGTCGTAGTTAACGTTGTCCTGGTCGTCCTGGTCCTCTTGGTCCTCCTCGTCTTCGTTCTTCTCAACCCAGGTGAAACGGACAAGGTCGACGGACGAGAGCTAAATGCCTCTCTGGTCGAGGAGTTTGACGACCTATGGAACGAATGACAGCCCACAGATTGCCGCGCGTCGAGGACACCTTGAACCTCAGCACGAATGCGATCCCACAAACCATCCTCGCCGAGTTTGTGATTTTCGGGAACGGTACGAAGCTTCATCAGACGACGATAGGCCTCAGGCCCATCGGGAGGGACGAATTTGTCACTGGACGTCCTGTAGCCTGTAGGTAAGCTTGGGACCGCGACCACTGGGACCAGAGAGTAAAGGTAGGACTCGAGCTTGGGCACATCGTGGGGAGAAACCTCCACAGAGGAACTGCTGTCGGCGGAGTCGGAATCGCTGCCGTCGGAGCTCGAGGAGCTGGACATGAGCCTCTAAGTTCTCCTCGACGGGGTGATCCTCCACTAAAGAAAATATATGAGCAGGTCAGTATAGAAGAATAGCAATAAAACGTTAGAAGACTCACTTGTGGTGGATTTGGGAACTTCGGGGTCAGACATTGCGGTAAGAGAGTTGTAGTTGTCGATCACAGATGTCATGCATTCATGATTCTTCTGGTGATGACAAACTCCGGGGCGCTCGATCTCACACTACCCCATTTCTAGAGTTGTCACCATCTTTCCAAGATTGATTACAGCCATGAATACATCGCAAAGAATACAGAAAGCAAGAAGAATCCAGAAAGCAATCGAAGAAACAGCAAGGGTCCATCAAACACCCACTCGGTGAACAACCTTTTTCTGTGAAGGGCACAGTAAGGGACTTGTCATCTTGAAGTGCTGAAAGGGTCCATACCTGACCAGAGAATCGGATAACTTCCCGCTTCTCCAAAATGAAAAGGGTCCTCTCGAGAGCATGGCTCGAGTATCCTTGCTGTGTCACAAATTCACGGATGAGACTTTGGTAGCTCGTACTCCATCCAACAGGAAGTCGTCGTCGAAGTTCCCGCTCAATCCGAGTCATCTCATCATTCAGTTCTCCTCTAGAAAGTCCGTCGGCGGAGCCTGCGGAAACTGCGTCCATCGTCGAAAACTTGAACAGCCGGATGGCTTCCTCGACATGGTGATTCAGGACGACTGGGGTAAGAGTCATTTTGGCGAGGGACTCGGAGATACGGATAATAGCCTCGAGTTGACTGCGGTCATTTTTGAGTTTCAAGAATTTGGATCATACGATTTTCTGAACATACGTACCGAATGGTGATAGGAATCGAGCTGCGCTCGTCGTTGTCCCGCTCGACTTGTTGGACCTGCTTCCGCAGGCTGACGAAATGGCTGCTAAGCATTTCTTGTGCCTCTGCGGATAACCGTGGCGCACATTTGCTGCGACATCGTATATTCAGCAAGAAAATCGAAGCTGATGTTGCATTTTCTTACCTTTTGCAATAGGCAATATACCCTTTCATCTTGTCCAAGTCGATTTCACCGACGGCATTGCCGTCCTCATCGCCGTTCAAATTTTGTCGGTTCATGTGGATGTTCATGACGTGCTTAGCAATCATCTTATCCCGAGTTTCGTTATGTTCATCTCGGACGATGAAAATCATATCGAATCGAGATAAGATTGTTGTCTGGAAGTCAATGTTCTGTTGAAATATTTTTAGTTTGCATCCTTGGGAAACACCGACGAAATATTACCTCTCCGGGACTTTTGCCTTCGTCGTATCTTCCGAACACTGGGTTAGCCGCAGCAAGTACACTCGTACGCGAATTCAGCACGGTGGTAATTCCGGCCTTGGCTATTGAGATGGTCTGTTGTTCCATTGCTTCGTGAATGGCAACTCGGTCTTCGTCACGCATCTTGTCGAACTCGTCGATACATACGACCCCACCATCGGCTAGGACCATGGCGCCGCCTTCCAAGTAAAATTCGCGCTGCGGAATTCGCAGTTGAGTAAAGAAGGAATGAGAAGGCGAATGAAGGATATACCGAGACAGAATCACGCTGAACGGAGGCTGTAAGACCAGCAGCACTCGAGCCTTTTCCAGACGTGTATACCGCGATTGGCGCCACCTACGATGAAAAAAGAAAGGTATAGATTTCCGAGCAAAAAAATATAGTCGGGCCTACCTTCTCGACAAACTTCAGAAGTTGACTCTTCGCAGTACCAGGATCACCCAACAAGAGAACATTTATGTCTCCTCTTAGTCGCATACCATCTGGCAGGACCTTCTTCGAGCCCCCAAACAGTAGACATGCGATGGCTTTCTTGATATCTAGAACGCCGATGATTTTTTTTGTTGATTAGGATTGCGGTTCAACATACCGAGACTTCCATAGATACTGGGGGCAACACTCTTCGCGAAGCGTTCATAGAAGTTCTCACTCCTCGCCATCTCGGCAAATTCTTCCTCTTGCTGAGGGGTGAACTGCGCTCCGAAGGGATTTGATCCTCCAGCCCCAGCAGGGGACATCAACTCAATATGCACGAGGCGGAGGTAGGGTTGGCGCAGAGCAGCATTACTGGCGTTTTTCTATGATACAGGTGATGAGAAGGGGGGCATTGCAAGTTGTATTTGAGACTTACGTTCTTGGAGGATTGGAACTGCGAGTAGATGCCGGACGCAATAATTCGAGATCCTGGAACGACCTTGCCTGTCAGATACCTGTCCGCACTGAGAAGCATGTGGCGAGGCAGCTCTCCAACAGGGACCATGTCGGGCGCTTCTTGTAGTTTCAGCACTTGCTGGTCGGCGAACGTGGACTTGGAGTGGATGATGAGGTATGGATCAAGAGGACAGTCCTTCTGCCCTGTTGGGTCTTCCGCGTCACACACACGGGGTAGACCCTTTTCTGACCCACTTCCTAAACCACCTAAACCACCTTGAGGATAAATTATCTTGACTGAACGACACGCCCGGCATTGTAAGTGCAGTTTGGTAGATCGTGATGAGAGGACAGAGGCAGAGATGACGATCCCAGGCATTCGAACGAGTTTGTTCATTGTATTCGCGGTGAGTTCGCGGACTTGGAGGAGGTTGAGACCTGATTTGATTGTTACTTGTACTCTGGGGATGGCCTCTGTGGCTGCTTCTGTGCGATCCTCTGACTGGCCGGCCAAAGGGAACAGAATGTTACGCGCGACTTTCGTGGCTGCGTTCTCGAACTTCACCCTAAGTTAGCTAGAGTTCACAGAGATCTAGGACACGCACCAGAGAAAGAACTTCTGCGGGTCTGTCTTGAATGGCATGAGCCAATTCATCGTTGTACAAACTGACATGGCGGAGGTCGACTTCAAGCAGGTGTTGTTTTAACAAGATGTTTCCGCGAAGCTTGTCACTACAGAAAGACAAGTCAAAACCATGAAATTTGCATCTCTACGCGTCAGTTACCGATAGATGAACTCTCCACCAACGCGGAATGTCAGAATGAAGTCGACAAGGTGTTTCTCGGTTTCTGAAGGGGAGTCGGGGGATGTGGCAGCTGCTGGCTCGTGTACAGAGACAGAGTAAACGCGATTTGCGTCGAAGCCCGACATAGTGTAGGTGGGGATGTGTATATGAGGAAGGAGGAGCGTGAATGAGGACGAGGGCGGGTTGAGGAAACAAGAAACTGGTGGGAGCGAACATAACGAGCTTTAGGGCAGGCTCAGTCGCGTCAAATGCTGACTTCGCCAACTTCGAATTTTGAACTCGGACTATATCATCATCATGGAAGTACCTGCAGACGCGTATATACTTCCGTCCCACCTCTCAAAAGTCTGCCTCGACCCCCTTGGCCTGTGTGATGTGGAAAACCCGCCTGTTTGGGATGTTATCGAAACCTCAATTCATGTCTTCCGCTCTGAATGTCCCCCACCCAATATACATCAGCTACCAAGGCTCATTGAAGATCTCTCTTACTCGATTCATCTCGACGGACATATAAATACCCAGTATCTATCTCATTTCCTTGCGGAAAGATATCCGGACCCCTCCTCCCCACTAGCACAGACAACCCTCGATGCTATCCTTGACGCAGCCTTGGCCCTTCCAAAGCTATTTACAGCCCATACTATGTGCCATCTCGGCGAAGGTCACCCCATTTGCGAGCTATCTGTCGCGCAAATACAATGCATACTTGCCCACCAGATCCTGAACACCCTCGTCCGGCCCAAGGGTAATAACTGGGGCTGCGGCTTTTCCGGCTGGTATTCCGAACCCCAAGCTCTCGAAACAGCGGTCTCTGGCTATCTTACAGCACTTTTCAAATATTTTGCTCAGTCTCCCATACACGATGCGACATCCGTCACTTATCAATATTACAGCCAGGCTTCGGGCACCAACCTCGAATCCCAGGTCGACGATTGGATGAAGTGTTCCACTATCCAGCTATTCGATACACTTACTATTGAACCCGTCTCTTCCAGCGGCGTTCCCTTCCCTCATCCCTCAGCGCCCAGCACTCTGGTTGCTTCAAACAAGTTCCCCGGTTTTGGGCCATCTTGCACACAAGAGGAGCTGGTGACAGCAGCCTGTCCTCCACTCCTTTTACTCGGTGCCATTCTGGTAAATCCTCCCGTGCCATCGAATGCTGCGCTGTTGGTTTATGGGCCAGTACCCTTAACACACTGGCAAGGGCAGGGAAGAGAAGCACGCAGGACAGGAGCGACCATAACGAAACATCATACTTTCCTCTTTCTCGATGCCGCAGAGCTTGATACAAGCAACAAAATCTACCCCGATCTCGACTTGCGCTGCATCCTGCGAGATTTGCAAAAATTGTATCTAGGTTTCACAGCTCTTCGACAACAGGGAGTGATGGAGGCAGCTTCGCCTCTGTGGGGTGCAGGATCCTTCGGCGGGGACCCATTCATTAATACACTAATATTAGCAATGGCTTCAGCTCGTGTAGGTTTGAAGCTCCACCTGTCTGTGGATAAAGAGCGAAGATATTCATCGGCGACCAGTGCCAGCACCGAAAAAGCCCAGCATTTGCTTTCCCTCCTTCAAACTCTGCGAGGAAGGAATAGTCTGACGATTGGCAATACGGTGCACCGACTGCGATGCCTGGCAAAGGCCGTCAAGACACATCCTGAAGGTGGTGTGGATATAGTAGACGCTTTTGACTCGGATGTAATGTAAGCAGAAGTCATTCGTAAGAGATATAGCGTGCAAATGCGCTGTTCTATTATCTCCCTCTTAGCTCAGTTGGTAGAGCGCGTCACTAGTATTAGTAATGACGAGGTCAGTCGTTCAAATCGGCTAGCGGGAAATCATTTTGCTCTTCTCAACGTCCGACGTCACGTGGGTGATGTAAACTCATTAACCCTTGCGGAAGTAGACAAAGCACGACTTCCGTTGCCTCATTTCCTTCTTCATAACTAGTGTCCTTTTTACCCAGGCATCATGAGCGCGATGGACACCGATGAAGTCTCCGTGGTCTTGCCATCGACCACACAATCTGGTCTCTCACTCTCGCTGTACGCAATCTTTTTTCTGTAGGAGTTAGTCCCCTGACGACCTCGCCGTACTTATCAGTCATCCCCTGCCGATCTTGAATGTATCAGAGCATTTGACGCGGTTGAAGCTGCAAAGGAATAAACCAGAACCTTTTGGTATGTGTTGCAAGCCTCGCTCACCTATCACTTCTGAAGTATGCCATCCAGTTCTTGGTGCACTCCTAGGAACCCAGAACGGGCGTGAAGTGGAGATCGTGAACACGTTTGAACTCGCGATAGTTGACGATAGTAACGACCTGGTAGATCATGAATTTCTTGTTTCTCGACGTGATCAATGTGCGTCCCTTTGTCTTTCTCTTAGAGAAAGGCTGCCAGGAATGACCCTTTCCTTTCTTCACAGACAAGCAAGTTTTCCCATCCCTAGAGTTTATTGGATGGTATACTGTCGCGCCTCGACCCACAGCGCGTCATATCGCGCTCCACGAACAAGTCTGTCCGCTTTTCGTCGACATCGCCCAGCTCCTTAATTAACCAATCTGCAGTTTACGGGATACTGCTCCACCCCTCTCCTTCTCATGCTCACACCGACGCTTGCTTTGGTATCAAGCGCAGATGTCAACGCACAAACTCTCCCGTTCAAGGCGTACGAGCCAACCATTGAACTCAGGGACCGAAAATCGCGATCAGTGTACATCGAGGTGCCATATAATGTAGAGACTGGGGAGGCAGAACGTATCGCTGTGGACTGGACAGCAAGAGGAGGTGGCAGTGGCACGAGTCGTATGGATTTCATTTTTCGCGAAGAGTGAATTCAAGTTCACCCTCTCGCAGTGGAGTCCCATCTGCAGACGCAAAGATCTGCAGTGAAAATGTTGCACGAGCGTATTTTGGTTCTCGTCAAATATGTCACCGACGTCATTGCAGGTTGGTACTTAACTTGCTTTCGTCGTCGCGAAGCTAACCGAATGGCTCTCAGGTCAAGCTCGTCCCGATCATGCGATACTTCGTTCTCTGGCCGCTCTGGCTGCATCTTTGCCTGCATCGGAGAACAAGTACTTCAGAGAAGAGTTTGACACTGTACATTTTTATGCCGGATTGCAAGACTCCCAACTAACTGTCAGCCGCAGGAATACGAAGACGTTCAACTAACCGCCTACCTGTCGTCCCTTACAAAATCAAGCAACATCTTGAACGATCTCGTAGACAAGCACATTTTGATGACGGCTGGTAAAGAGGAGCGAGGAGGCCCACGTCGACGGATGGGGAGGCAGGGTGCTCCTGGTGATTGGGACCGCTTCCACTGAACTGTTTCCTCTTCTTCTTGTCATCTGCTGTCTGTACACACTTTCATTGCTCGAACAATGGCATCTGCACTCTCGCATCCTTTTCACAATGCAGACATCTGACACAAAGAAGCATGAGTAGGACTAGATTGGGTATGATGAAGCAATGTCAAATGTTAGCGATACATGGTACAGCGATGACACCGTACAAGCAGATACCATGTACAATGTATGATACAGGAGGATGGAGGGTCAATAGATAAATGAGCGCAACCCGTAAATATTAGCAAGAGATAGTTTATATAGATTGTTCATGGAGAACACGGCTGCCATGCGAATCATTTGCCATCTTTCGACCCTAAAGGTCAGTCATGAGTCATTATTGATAGAAGGGTTTAGAAATAAAACATACTCTGAGCAAGATTCTTGCTAGAACTGCGAGATAGAAGACCCTTGCTCGCACTCGAGAACATGCTCATGCGATTTTTCTCTTTATCCTTTCGAGGAGAGCCTTCGACCTCGTTATCCGACAGACCACTACGAGAAGTAGGTCGCTTGACGTTAGTCTTGATCTTTTTCCACAATCCAGGAGAAGATGACCTCGCGCTACAGGAATTTGTGCTCGGAGTGGGCGCAGGTTCAGGAGCGGTCGCTTTTCGGTTCGGCTTACTGAACTGCGAAGGGTTAAAGCTACGCGGAATGGTTGGAAGTTCAGGTGAAGGTGGCTTCTCGACGGTGGGCGGGGGTTGCGGAGCAGAAACGCATGGAACAACGGGTGAGACATGGACAACTTCAGGTAGAGCGGTTCTGTCGTGGGTGGATGCGGGCTGGCCCCGGGACTCAACTATGGGAGAAAGAGGAGGCTTCTCCAGCTTGGGAGACGAATTGCCAGATTGCACTCTTGAAGCGAAAGGCGAGCCATCTGTGTACGAAGATGGTGCGGAGGTAGGCAAAGACGAAGGACTACCATCCAGGCTTGAGCTCAGCATGCTCGATTCGCTCGTGCTTGGAGATGATGGTCGCGGCTCTTGCTCTGCTTCTTCATGAATAGGCTCCTCCGCCCCGTTTGCCCATGATATACTCCTTCCATGAAGGCCTGGTGTTGACGAGCGACCTTCGTCCATCAACAGGCCTGCAGCTCGCAGCTCTTCATCTTCTGCAGCAACAAGGTCTTCCAATGCCCGTCTCCTGTACACGCTCGTGGTAGGAGAATGGATAGTGGTTGCAAAGTCCCATGAATCGATCGAGCCCGGAGATGTGGGGTGTGAGACGACTCGGCGCTCCTGGCGTTGAGTCAGGGGAGGAAGATCTTCTATTAAATTAAAATGAGGAGAGTTAGTCGCCGTGCAAAATGCGAAAGTGTCACGACCGAACTTAATATCGTGTTGATCAAATAGGATTTGCTCTTCGCGGACTTGAAGAAAGGTGTTTGTAGGAGTTGTTGAGCAGTTGGTCTACGCTTTCATTAGGTTGTGTCACGCTAATTTAGAAGATAATCAACGGACCTTTGCGTAGGGTCTTTCACCAAACAACTGTCTATTACTTCCTTGAAGGCCCGAGAGTACTTGTATGTCCCGCCCTCACGCTCCAATGTCGGAGGAGCTTCTTGGATTCTGAGGATGAGCCTAAATTAGTCTGGCAACTTGGGCAAGGGGGTCTGAAACTGACGTTTTCAGCAACACTCTCTGCGGAGATTCTCTGGACCTCGGAGGACGTCCTTGAGTGAGCTCCAGAGCCGTGATTCCAAAACTCCAGATATCGGCCGCGGAATCATACTGTTTGCCTTGAATAAGCTCAGGAGCCATCCAACAGGGCTGGGTTCCAGGGGCGTCTAATCAACTTTCACATGAAGCCAGGAAGGAACGGAACAGACATACCGTGCCGACAAACGACTTCCGCTTTCCTATGCGGGGCCGTGAAACCCCTGGGACTGAATCATCGAATGCAACGCCACGTTTGCCTCCACTATGCGTAGAAGCTGACGACGACCTAGGTTGCGACGTTGCATGTGTAGAAGTGATGTTGAACTTGCTGGAGTGAGACGAGGAACCGATATGTGAGGTGTCTTCAGTGAGGTCAGCGGCTACTCCTAAATCCCCTAGGAGGACGGTGCCGTCGTCGTCGATGAGCAGATTGGCAGCTTTGATATCCCGGTGGATGAATCCGTTAATGTGCAGGTAGCTACGTTAACAATAGAAAGGTGCACATAAGCAGGGACGCTGGATATTCGGAGAACGGAAATGACGCACTTGAGCCCCTTCAGTGCTTGTCTGAGGATACACCGCACCACATCCTCTTCCATCCCACCGGGCCATCCATAACGCATGACATCGGCGGCGCTTCCTTTGTTCATGAGCCGTAGGGCAATGTAAAGTTTGTGGCCGTCCATCCAGGAGCCTCGCACACGGAGCACGTTGGGATGCTTCGAGAGCGACATGAGTGTCGTCTCTCTCTGTAGAAGTTGCAACGACCTTGGCGGTAGCTTGTCGAGATCAAGGACTTTCAGTGCGCATGGAATTCCCTTCGAACGTGATTCGGGAGGTCGATAAGTCGCGGCGTAGACTATGGACGATGCGCCAAAGCCAACGGGGGCACCAATAGTGTAATCGTCGGCGCGGTCGCTACGAGCAATGAGCGCGACGAAAACGGAGCAAACACGAAGGTCAACGCACCTATAAAGTTGCCATTCATCCTCCACAGCACCAATGAACTTCTTGGCTGAGCTCATGGTGTCTTGGGCACTTGCCGCAAGATGGGTGGTCTTGGTAGGTGGGTGGGCGTCAATGGTCATCGCGGCGGTCCTTGGTGTATTATTAAGTATGCTCGGGAGGCAGGGGTGGCCGGTCGGTATGTCCACGATGTGACCGGGGTTGATTTAGTTATGACCAGGATGACTTAGTGATGCGCGAATCCCGACAATTGCGCTGACGGTTCAGCGAAATTGGGGCCCAATATATCAATGGAGAAGCAAAAGGATGCCGGGTGACGAAACCTTGAGGTTACACGCACGCCTCGCGGCGAGTCTGGTGGAGTTGCGAAAGTCAAAGGATGTATGATGCCTGTCTGGAGCGATAAGAGGGCCAGCCTCGAAGGCTATTCGGTCTTCGAGGGCTGCCTTCAGGGAGACCTGGTTTTGTTGGAGACTGAGCTAGATGTTTTAGACTGAAAACAAAAGTGATCGTATGGTTTCAGCGAGGGAGCGCGATTGGGGAACGTTTCCCAGTGGACTTCCAATTTGTACGGAAGAGAGTAACCTAACCGCGATGCTGTGCCAAGATCTTGGCGGCTTTATTGCAGGTCCAGACATTCTCTTGGCATACATAATTCTAGACTCTGCACCATTGGATGTCGTCCCGGGCGCCTCTGCGACCTGAGAAGCCTGCAAAGGAAAGCGCCATTAGTTCTCGCATGATATACAGTCATCCACCGGCCAATGAGACACCACCGGCTAATGATACACCTCGGAACACCATGAAGGATTCAACTGTTTGCTTTGAAAAAATAACCCCATTCTCTATAAGTCTTTAATACATTGTGTATAAAATTTTGTGGGTTCTGGTGAAGTCAATGCCCGGTAATAAAATCACCAAAATATTCATTTTGGTTGATTTTGTCACACCAGTCACTGGTACAGCATCTCTGGCTGTTTCTGCTCACGTTTGGTTGATTTTATGGCATACAACTGGTATAAATTTATTTTAATGGCTCTATTACACTGATTCCAAGTGGTTTTATGAGAATCCATGGGCTGGTTGAGTTCTGGGATCAAATTTAAATTTCAGTGTATCAAATGATGGTGGATGACTGTACCCTCCCCTGCCTGCATGACTCAAGGAAGCTCGACGAAAACATACCGTCCCACCCAGTTTATGGAATCCATCACTGCCATCTCAACCTTACCGTGATCCTGGCCCGAATGTTACACTTACATATATGTTAAGCGAGAATGCGGTCCCACGGATCTGCAAGCCCATTTGTCGCTGAAGTTTGAGTGACAGACCATCTTACGAACAGGTAGTCAGATGGGTGTCGCAATAGATAACAGCCATTAACTCACCAGAAGTATCACCCGACTTCGTGGAGGCACAAAGATTTCAAGCAAGTGGATGTACTTGGGAGGATTCGAGGATTCAGGGAACAGAAGCATCAAGCAATCAACAGGATGCTCGCGGTGATTAGATAATGGACACACTCAATTTCCTGAATCAAATTTGTCCTAATCATGAACTTGTAAGGGGAGAATCCCCTGCAGATTGAAGTGATTGTCCGACGGCGTCGATTTATTTTCTATTGTCGGTAGTCATCCAAGACTATAACGACACTTTCATTCATAAGCAACAATGTCCCGTCCGCATGTACGCGCTTGAAAGGACAGTACGCGTACAGTACCTTCACTATTATGCACAATATCGGAGTAACAAGTGAGCTTATGGGATCACAGCAGGCGAGCCAATAATGAGTACGATGCTGCGCTATCTGAGAAATCGTCGAGTTGGGCTCGGCAGATGCTTCCGTTAGAAAGGCTTCTTGCAGTTCAATGGTATCATGACTAGGACTGTCGAATAACATGGTCCGTCCAGTAAGAAGTACACAGTCCGATAAGCTAGTGTCAAGACTAGGCGATATTATCTTCGCGAAGGACGAGTCATTCTTCCAAAGCGACAGCTTGGGAAACCTTGAGTTGTCAAGAGTGAGGTTTGTTGTACAGTCATCCACCATCATTTGATACACTGAAATTTAAATTTGATCCCAGAACTCAACCAGCCCATGGATTCTCATAAAACCACTTGGAATCAGTGTAATAGAGCCATTAAAATAAATTTATACCAGTTGTATGCCATAAAATCAACCAAACGTGAGCAGAAACAGCCAGAGATGCTGTACCAGTGACTGGTGTGACAAAATCAACCAAAATGAATATTTTGGTGATTTTATTACCGGGCATTGACTTCACCAGAACCCACAAAATTTTATACACAATGTATTAAAGACTTATAGAGAATGGGGTTATTTTTTCAAAGCAAACAGTTGAATCCTTCATGGTGTTCCGAGGTGTATCATTAGCCGGTGGTGTCTCATTGGCCGGTGGATGACTGTATGTTCTCAGAACCCTCTAGAACGATAATTGAAAGCATGAAAGCCAGTCCCGCAAGAAGTGAACGTGTAGGAAAGGAGCCATGGCGGGAAACGGCCAGAGACTTATCCAGTGTTGCGACACAAAGAACATCCACCCAACCTTGCCTCTGGGCGGTGTAGTCGGACCGGTATTCCATCATGCTTACCGGATCCTTCTCGCACCATGCTGGCGGCGAAAATGTCGTAAAACGTTCGTCGAGATAAGTGACGTTTTGTCATTGCTGTCGTATCTGTCCAACAGCTAACCAGACGACCAGCACAAAATGCGATCTTTCCAAAGCGAGGAACCATTTCGCAGTGGCATCTGAAGCGGCCAACGCCTCGGGTGGCGGTGAAGAATATCTGTTGACGTTCAATGTTAAAGTCTGGCGTTCCTGTGAAGCGTCCAATGGTCCTTTGTCGCAGAAACTTAATTTCCTGGCAAAATTTGAAAAATCGCAGGCTCAGCTGACCAGGAGTTCCGGCGGGAAGGAGGGTCGCGTGAATATATCTGACGGTCCGGAAGGCGTGCAGCGTGCAGCGTTGCAGGGACAGGGCGAACAGCGGGTGACCGAGATTTTACATAACAGAGAAGCTCTCACAGCGCTGGCGGATATATAGCAGTCGCAGGCGTCACGGCGAGCAGTGAGCTCAACCGACATCGACAGCGGGCTCAAACGAGGTGGGAGGAGACAAGAGCAAGTCGGCGGCCTCGAGTGACGTGTGTCACATCCAATCACGACCGGGGAATTGTCCACTCATCCTCCGTCCTCTCCCTTCCTCATCTCCACCTCCATCTCCCCCGGGCCCCCTCCTCCTGCGCGCCGTCCGTAGATGGCCCCGAAGCAGCCATGCGCCAAGTATCAATATGTCGTAACCTCAACAGGTCCCAAGATTCTCCCTGTCGACGAACCCTCGTGCAAGGACGAGGAGAGTCCCGCAGATTACAACGCCGGTGGTTATCTCCCCGTCAAGGTCGGCGACTGCTTCAAGGACAATCGTTATAGGGTTGTCCGGAAACTAGGGTGCGCACTTTATACTCTCTCCAAACCATGCCGTTGCTCATCTTGCGCAATTGTGGTCATCATACCCTAGATGGGGCCATTTTTCAACCGTCTGGCTTGTGAAGGACACGCAGTCAGTCAACATACCTTCGTTCCTTACTGGCTATGCTTAACATGACCCTCGCTCGTCAGCATACAACGCCATTCTGCACTGAAAGTCGTCAAGTCCGCGGGACGATACGCTGAGACAGCCCGAGACGAAATCAAACTCTTGTCTCGAGTGTCTTCATTTTCACCAGCGCACCCAGGCAGAGAGCACATTGTATCGTTCCTCGACTCTTTCTCACATCAAAGTCTTGAATCCTCTCATGTATGCATCGTCTTTGAGCCATTGGGCGAGAACCTGTTGGCCCTCATAGAGAGAAACAAGAAGAAGGGGGTACCTCGCTCGCTCGTGAAGGTCATAGCTAAGCAAATCCTGCTTGGGCTCGAGTATCTCCACGACGAATGCGACCTTGTCCACACCGACATCAAGCCAGAGAATATCTGTGAGTCCTCTTTACTTTTAACTCTCGCCGTCATCAACTCCTGTCGACCCTTCGCCCACCTTTCGTCATCCCGTCATCGTCGCCTTTGTTCGATGACCTCTTTGGCTAGCGTGATTTTGGTTCTTATCCTTATCGTTGCAATTGCTGGATGAACTTGAACTGATCTCCTTATAGTAATTTCCATTCCCGATATTGAGACACACATCTACAACGAACTCTCTCAATCGCCTTCACCAACTTCACGTCGAGTGGGCGTGCCTCTTCCTACCAAATCCCGAGCCGGAGTTTCGATACCAAACCAACAACGGACGCGAAAGCAAGTTCAAATATTCGATTCGCAACCTTTATCTAGCCCAAGCAGAAGCTCCACAAGAAGTGCCTTCGAGAATGCAACCATGCACGGCCGGTTTGATAGCAGTGGGAGTGGGAGTGTCAGCCAGAACAGCAGCTACATCGCACAGATGCACATGACGAAGAATGGCTATCCTGGGAGCCAGACTGCGAGCTTCAGCTCCAGTGCACCCAAAGTGCCCAGCGGCCTGTCAAGCTCTGCGCCCCGTAACGATCCCACCTTCCAGAAGACTGCCCAGATGTTCGCTGCCAAAGGCATCACAGCTGTTCCGACGCGCGTTATTAATTCTCCATCAACTTCTTCGTCATCGTCTTCTATTTCCTCTGCCTTAGCGTCGACGACGGCCGGTTCGAGTAGTCTCGTCAGCACGCCTCCGACTTCCCTTTCTCATTCCATTGGCAATGTGGTCATGGGTTTCATGGGTACAGGTAACTTTGAGACCGAGCTTAGGACAAGACCGAAGGCGTCACCTCCCAACGCCAAAAGTACAGAGGACGACGAAAGGGATGCTCTTCTTATAGCCCCGAAGAAAACCAGGCCCAAGCTGGATCTGGAAGCAGAATTAAGCAGTGCTATCTCGACCTCTTGGAAGGCCGACGCTACTCCGGGGTCGTGGATGGACAAAGTCTCTAGTTCCTTTGCATCCCAGAAGTCAACTGCCAGTCTAACCAAGACGAGCAAGCAACGGTCAAACGGACATGGCCATACAAGGTCACATTCAGGTTTGTCTAATGCTAGCTTCTGGAAAGACCCTGGAACCGCGCCTCCTGCTCCTGCCGTCCTTGTCTCTGCTGTTGTCAGCGCTGACGGACACGAAGACAATTTCTCGAAGGTTATCACGGTCGACGTTAAGAGCAACTCGGCTTCCGAAAGCTCGTCTACAGCTACGACGATTGTAAGACCTTCGCCGACTGGAACACCCCTCCCAATCGCGAAGAAATCGACGTCCCTCATCAACGGTGTCAGCAAGCTGATTCACGATACATCACATCTATTTTCCGGCGAACCTTCACCTTCAGGCTCTGATTCTAGAGACACACATCTCAAGCCGTCGTCCAACTCGCATAGCACCCACACCTCCCTCCTCACCCGAACTGCCCCTCGCCCCGTTCCTACTACCTCGCCCAAACGGACTAGTGTTCGTATATCACCTCCCCAACAGGTTTCGCAACTATCTGCCCACATGCATTTGCATAATCCTTGTAATTGTTCTGATCCGTTGCATAAGCACTCCACGACACGTACCAAGACCAAGTCGCGGGCATCACGGGTGGCCCAGCAGCCATCGATTTCAACAACGTCACCTACCTCCGTCACACCTACGCCTGCTATATCCACACCCTCCGCTCCTCCGCCCACCCCTGTCGAGTCACCGTCGATTATGTCCCTTATTCCCCCCTCTTCGAACGCCACTAATGGTCATGGAGATGTACCGGAAGCTGTACCTCAGCCTGCTCATCCCCGCATGCTTCCTCATCTGAGAACGCCCGCTGAGGAAAGGCCCTTGCTGCCTCCAATCTCCATCAAAATCGCCGATCTGGGGAATGCGACACCCTCGAAGAAGCATTACACGGAGGATATACAGACGCGTCAGTATCGTGCTCCTGAAGCTATTCTGGGTCGTCGTGACTGGGATACGAGGGCTGACATCTGGAGTGTGGCTTGTGTGGTAAGTCTGGACGCTTTGTTCTATGAACAGGAAGTGAACACTGGCTCATTCAATTTTTAGGTGTTTGAGCTGTTGACGGCCGAGTATCTCTTTGATCCCCAAGGACAAGGAGAGCTGTTCACCAAGGATGATGATCATATGGCTCAAATTATCGAGCTGTTGGGCGACTTCCCTCTCGAGGTGAAGATGGGTGGTAAATACAGCCGCGAGTTGTTTGACCACACAGGTGCGTTCTATTCTTGAGGTTGTTATTGTTATCCAAGCTCACAGGATGATCTGTTGACAGGCGCTCTACGGTACATTCGAACACTGAAGCCCTGGCCCCTCAAGCGCGTCATGATCGAGAAATATCTTTTCTCAGAGGCCGACTCGGCATCGCTTTGTTCTTTCTTAGAACCCATGCTGGCTGTTAGCATGCGTGAGCGTGCCCATGCACGCGACGTGAAGAATAACCAGTGGCTTGAACTGACTGACGAGGAACGCATGGCGACTGAATGGTAAAGTCATTGATGATATGCACCTTTCACACACCTTCCCACCCCACTACAACGCTCTCCTCCTGCCCTCTGCTCTCCATTCTCGCTTTCGCTGTAATTCATATCTTGGCCCTCAAGATACTCCTAATGTTACTCACAACCTAGACATACCATAGACATGTGCTTTCTCTCTCCGACTGGCGGTATCACGGTACTTTATATGTTGTTTTGCCCTTTCCCGTTGTCATACTTTATTCCTTCTTATGTTTTCTTCTTTTTTTTGTCCTTTGGGATTTTACCGTTGCTTATAACCTTGCCTTTTTGTTGTTACCCTATACTTCATACCCGCACATAGAAGTTTTTTGGCACCCACGTAAGCAGTTTTAAAGAACTTTCGATTTTTCCTTCTACCTTCATTCCTTCTTCACATTACCGTAGCTTACCTGATTGCGGACAACTTTCCTTCTCGTTCTTGCCGGCCTGGAGCATGCTGCATGCTGCTCAAATATAATGGTAGATAGGTCGAAGTTCTCGTACTACACTCTGTTGAATTACCTGCCTGTGACATCGGTGCCAATGCTAGACCACTGTATATTACTGCAAGTAACAATCTGGATAGATAAATAAGTAGATCCCCAAGCAAAATGCATCCTTCACGGGACTACATTGATGATTGAATCGATATCGGTGTTGATGTTGTCTTTGGATCCACCTGAAGAATCCAGCATGAACACCTCGACATAAATGCTTAGAGGAATGGTGTTTTCATTTGCACTAGCAGTCGTTACGATTGTGATGCTTATTAGACTACTCCGATATCATAGAGACCTCTTGACCAGCGAGCAGTTTGATATAGAAGAGTCTATAATAAGTGGAGTGCATGTATTTGTTGAATTCAAATAGTCCATCTCGAAGGAGGCACACCGACGAGGAAATAACGGGAAGATGTCAAATAGATCATAGTCAAGAGAGAATAATAAAAGAATGGAAGGTGGGTTCGTATATGACGGAAGGATGATATGGTATGAGGAAGGCCCAATTAGGTGCCAGTCCGGTGACAAGAGGGTATCAGTGAGTACGTTATGGAGGCGTCTTCGTGAGAGCGCGCTTTTGCAGGCACTATGAGGGAGCATATAGAGTACGGAGAACGAGTCGTGAATCCATCCCAAGTGCATAGATCCTATTCAGAGTAATTATAGTCATACGGCGTACGCGCCAACGACGAGCCCGACCAAAGAGATCATGAATGCAAGAGAGGGAGAGGCGAGTCCCAAAGCGCCGCCGGTGCCAGCGTTGCCAGTTCCACCCGAACCAGTGGAACTGGGCGAAACAGAGGTCGTGGTCACGACTCCGGCTGAATTTACATGTCAACAACTAAGCTCACTTTATGGGATGACTAGAAGTCTCACCAGAGATAGCAGCAGCAAGAGCTGGTGGATTGGTCGAATTATTGTTGGTCTCGATGTACGCTTCTGACAGTCCCTTGTTCAGGCATGAAACGACGGGCTGGATCTTGAAAGGCGGGTTGTGCGCAAGAGCATCAGGAAGGATGTAGCCGGTGGCTACTTCGACAGTTTGCTCGAAGAGATCATGCTCCAGAACGATGAATCCATGGTCCAAGGTCGAAACATTGCCCAAGATGTTCTTCCAGTTCAGAAGAACTTGTTCGACAGTCGTAGACCCGCCATGGATGTTGAAATCTAATTTTTTGGAATCTGCGTCAGCGTGGGGAGATTTTTTAAATCGTCCGACCAACCATCGGTATCAAAGGTAGCGAGAGGGCTGATGCGCGTCCACATCACGGGAATAAGGCCCATGGCAAGGGAAATGGCCCGAACCCGGTCGCTGGTTGAATGGTGTTAGAATGCGAACGCTCAAGAGACGTAAATCGAACGCACTCGATGTCGCCATAGGGTGGTCGCATCATGTTCGGGGTCACACCAAGAACGTCCTTGATAACCTTCCTCGACCATCCGAGCTCAGCAATGATCTCCTCGTTAGTTAAAGTGGTCAAAGAGGGATGACTCCAAGTATGCACGGCAATCTGATGCTGTCCCATGTACTGCGTTTGGAGGATAGCTGGGAACGAGATGACACGAGAACCGACGACGAAGAAGGTCGACTTGAGGTTCTGTTCGTCCAAGTAGCTGAGCAAATTGGACGTGTAGAACGACGGGCCGTCATCGTAGGTCAAACCCCAGTCCATAGCAGTCGGGCAGTCCGTAATATCAGTATCGCGGACACATCCTCCGCAAGTCCACCAGCAACGCGACTGGTCAGCTGCGAACGCTGCATTGGCGGGACATCCTCCTGAAGGCCGTGACACGTTTTTTTTATTTAGCAAAATCAGACAAGAATAGAATTTTGGAGCACTGACCAGCAACAGTTGGTTCAAGGTCGGGGATGACAATACCAGTGTTCTTCACCTCTTGGATCCATTCCTGGACCTCTGGCGAATCGATGGGCGGAAGACGATCGAGAGTGGGGTAGGATGCAGGGGCTAACGTCGCGGCTAGAAATGAAGTAAATTCAGTAAAATTGCGGTTGCCAACGCGATGTACGCGTCAAAAGCTCAGTCCCTCCCGTGCAGCTGCACAGAACGGTGTCGGCGAGGAGAGAAGGGAGAGCAAACTCACGATTAGGCAGCGGCGGTGCGCCGGAAATGAAGGTGGGGGTGCTCCCTGGCACTGCTGTCGAGTCCAACGGCTTCGTCGCAGAGCTCGGTTGATTCGACACGATCGCGGTCAAAGGCACAGCGGTCGGGTTCGTAGACGCTAAAGAGACGGAGATGGTGGTCGAAGGAGTCGGCGCGGCAGTCGTGCCTGTCCCCACAACCGAACCTGATGACGACGGACTTGGCGTAGTGGCTTGGCGGGCCTCAATGGGATGGCCAGGGTGCCTACCGACGATGTGCTCATGGTGCGCGGCGACGAGGGCGGGGAGGGCGACGACGAGAGCGAGGGAGGGAGAAGAGAACCTCATGGTTGGGGAATAAGGAGGACGCAGACGGATGTGGGAGTCGACTTGAATAGCAAGGCCCCAGGCCTATTATTAGCACGCCAGAACAGCTCACCCATCCCGGCGGTCTGTGGCCGCATCGTCAAACAGATCATCCATTCAAGAAACCAGATACAGAGCAAATGGACAGCATGGAAAATATAAAAATACGGGACGCTAGCACGCCGTCTAAACCTTGCGTTTCTTGGTACGCGGCTTCTCAAGGTCGATCTCAGCCTCGTCTTCTTCATCTTCCTCCTCTTCAGAGTCTGTAATGTCGTCGTCGCCCTCCACATTGCCCAAGAAGTACTCGATCGCCTCGGGGAACACCTCGTTGGCGATCACCACTCCAACCTGCAGCAACGCACCATCAGTTCGCCGCTTCCATCCGGAGCACAACAGACAAGGATAGCTCACCTCAGACGGGTCTGCCTCTTTCTCGAAAAAGTTGAAGAAACTGCCGGGGTCGGCGATGTCGTCCTCGTCCTCGCCAGATTCGCGAGGGTAGACTTTGGTTAAAGCCTTCTCGGCGTCTTTCCAGTCAACTTTGATGGTCTGGCGTACATGAACCATCATCAGCACGCGCTAGTCCTCGTGCAATATAGACCACTATCTTACCGAGATTTTCACATCACGGTCCCAGGAAAAGTCGAGCATCGACTCTGTGATGCCATTCTCATCCGCCTTCTCGTTTTCGGCAGCAGGTGGCGGGACATATTTGTACTCCTTCTTGAGGACCTTGTCGTTGAAGAACTGGTTCTCCTTGAAGTGCTACGAAACAACAAAGGGTATTAGCACCGACACAGATGGGTCGATAGAGCAGCCCTCACGAATTCAATGGTGAAGCATCTGTGCTCTTTGGGGTCCTTCTCGACCCAGATATCCTCCAGGTAGCTCAGCGCCGTCTGGTCAGCGTTGTGTTGGGCATGGTACGCGACGAGGCTGTGGTTCATGAGTGCCACCGGCCAGAAATTAGGAATGGTTTTCGTGATTTCGCGGCGCTTTTCGTATACAGGGCGCAGCGTAGCTTGAGCCTGGCGTTCTATACATCCCAGAGCCGTTAGTAGTCTCGAAGGGCCTCCACCAGGTCGAGCCACTGACCAAGAACGAGCTCAGCACGCGCAAGATCGCGTTGGATCTGTTGCAGCTTTTTGGCGTCCTCATCGCTGAGTTCGACGTTGGACAGTGGGCTTTTCTCGGCCTCGGCGCCGGGGGAGCCTCTTTTGGTACCTTTCGCCATTACAAAGTGTGTTGGAGGTAATCGTACAAGGGAAATACAGTCGTGGAGAAAGGTAAGGTAGAAAGGTGTGCAGCCTTGATCTGGAAACACGCCAAAAATTTTGCCCACAATTGCAACTCCGCGATACGTCTGATGGTGTGATGCCACAATCCTTCCTGGCTATGCTACTTACTCAGTGTTGGTCGTAATCGTCCAGCGAAGCGCCGAAAACATACAGCCTGAGCCTATATTGACGGAGGGGACATACAAAACATAAATACTTCCGAAAAGAAAAACAGTAGAGTAAGAGATAACTGAGAGCGTCTTCAGTCGACCCTTTTCTTCAATGTTCCAAGCTCAACCTCTTCCACACCAGACTTTGTACGCCGGCTGCCACTCGTCAACCATTTCTTCTTCTTCCAGCTAGGTTCTTCTTTTCCATTCAGACCCTTACCATTGTGGCCCGAACGATATCCAGGGCCGTTATAGTAGATGATCTCTGTGGGTGGATTGAGGCGGGGCCACGCAACATAGTCAATACCGTGAATGATGATGAACACCATTGAGATGGAAAAGAGCGTGAACCACAGCAGGAAGTAATAGAAGAGCGAATAATCTGGTCATATAATATTAGCTACTGCATACTTGAATTGTTTACAGTACACACCTGAGGTTCGAGGAAGGGTCAGGCCGGCGCAAATCATAAAGAGAGAGAAGGATGCAACGGCGGGCATCTATGATCATAGGTCAGAAAAAAAAATAGATGAAGACAGGTGCACTTACAGAGCGAGTGATCAGAGGACGAGGGTCACCAATCAAGAACAAAGCTGCTGAGGGGTTCTTTCTTGGGACCCAGTTTCCTGTAATCAAGTCGAAGCCATCCTGTACATTGTCAGAGACATTGCCTCCAAAGAACTAGCAAGAGGGCAACATACCTGTCTTGCACCATCGAAGAAATTGTTCTTGAGGTATCTCATAACCGACTTGTACCCGTCTTCGAGGGCACCCTTCCGTGTTCGCTTGTTGGTTCGCGTAAAGTCGGATTTCAGAGCACCAGATCCGCCATAAGCCCGAGCAATGGCGTCAGCGTGGTCGGCCCACACTGCAAAATAAATTCAACGGTGAGAAAATAAAGGACTTGGAGAACAGGAAAACCTCACTCTCTCGGAACTCCTTGCTGAACGCCTCGAAATCATCAACGCCGTCGGTGGCATTCAAAATACCGAGCTCTCTCAATTGCAGGTTGAGGGTATATTTCGCGAGCGCCGCCTGGACGACGTTTGTTCGATCCAAGTTGTCCATACAGTTCGTTCGAACAATGCCCTTTTGCACTTTTCTAGGAGCTGGCTCGTCGGCACTGACTTGGAAATATCTACATGTCCCGATAAGCGGCATAAAATGGGGTGAAAACGAATGTCGAACCCGTATTGTTCTAGGTCGTCCTTCATCCTGTCGATGAGGACGCTGATGCGATCCCAACGCATCTTCCTGCACTCTCCATGGAAGTCGAAGTACTCATACTTGACGTCCGCAAGATCAAGCTCTGCAATATACCGTTCGTACGCGTCTTTCACTGGTTTCTCGTGGCCCTTGTGGTTGATGAGGTTAACGAGGGACTGAGGACCGTACGTCTTGGTTTGCGTGAGTAGATGCCTCTCCATTGCGGTGGTCTGCAATACAAAATTAAAAGGGTCAGTGGATGCAAAGAAATGTTTTAGGCGCTTTACTCACCGTCTCTGGAACATCCATAATCTGCAAATCGGGCTTGTACCTCAAAGTGTTGACTTCGGACCAGAATAGAGGCACGCTTCCACGTATTTGAACAAAGCTGAGCTTCACGGCGAAGTTGTCTTCCGTCGGACGCACAGACCCTGGTGTTGTCTGTCCCTCAACGAGCAACAACTGTTCAGTCTCGTTGAAGTTGGCAACATTCCCTTCGTGATCAACCCCACGACGGAAATAGCGCGTCCCAGCACGGTACCGTGAACGACGACTGATGAGGGCCAGCTGCATGTGACGTCCATGGAGGAAGGTCGGGCGAACTTCGAAGGCTGCAACGAAGTGATAGTGCGATTAAAACGCGTTCGGTGTCAGATTCTTGGATACGCACTTCCGTACATGATTGGCAGGATATACGACCCAAACTTAGAGAGGCACATTAGAGAGGTGATATTCCATGGCCGATAAAATTGCACTTACTGCCGGGTTGCCGGATGCAGTGGCAGCATCAATAAATTTGGCTTGCAGGAACCTGTTCCAGAAGAACCGATCGTCGACCTGGGGGAGGTTCAATATTCGGATTTCTTGTATACCCGCCCGAATCAGCATAATTGGACGTACCACTTCCCAAAGTGCCTTTCCACCATCTGTCTCCCGAGAATCCCATTGCGCTTGCAGGCGGCGGGTCACATCCCAGTTGTAAGAGAACAAGAAATTACCTCCTTGTAAATGCGAGCGAACCAGGGCCAACAGGTGGGATTCGACAGCATGCGGGGGGACGAACGCGGATATCGGAGCGAGGGGGAGAATGTCGAACTCTGTAGCTCGGTATATGTCATGACCCATGAGACGGCCTTGGAGGGTCCTTCCAGTTATTACAATTATGTAGTCCGCTGAAGAACCCGTAAGTCAACCGACGACGAGCAAGACGACAAGACACACTTAGAGTTAAGGATATTAGTCCGAGGATCCCATAGATAATTTTGTCCGACCGTTGTCGAGCGTAAGGAATGGTGTGTTTAGGTGCTGAAAAAAAATTTCAGCATTTATTCCATGAGGCAGTCAGGCGAAAGCGCACGATTTAATACAATGTCGCCACTGGAACGATGTACAGTCAGCGACTGACCCTCGCCCTCTGGCACGAATATGTACGTGTCATTGCGTTCAGAGAAGCTGTCGGGTGTCGTCAGAGCCTATTTCAACGCGGTAGCCGAGAGAACGCACAGGGTGAAGCGCTGGTGCAACGGACGCATCGTGGTTGTTGGTCAAGAGGCGGGTTGTGTTACGAGAAGCGAATGTGTCGAATTGAGGCGCGTTGATCTGAGTCTGAACTTTTCCCAATTGAGGGCGTGCACGAGTCTGCGGCGCATCTCAAGCTCTGCCCTGCAAGACGATGAAGCTCACCCCAGAGCTCCTCGCACAGGCCTCGTCCCACCTCAACGCCGTCAAGCAGCGCCAGCTTGATCTCAGAGGTTAGCATACCCGGCGCACTCTCCCTTGTCCAGCTCAACCAACTTCGATAGGCTACAAAATACCCGCAATCGAAAATCTTGGAGTTACCAAGGTGCGCGTCCCCGTCCTCTTCTCCACGTTTTCGTCGCTCAAGATGAAGCCTAGGATCAACATGATGCCATTGATTTCACTGACAACGCCATCCTCACGCTCGGCAACCTTCCCCTCCTCAAGCGCCTCGAAACCCTCCTGCTCGCGAACAATCGAATACAGAACATCTCACCTTCTATCCACCTCTCTGCGCCAAACCTGAAAACTCTCGTCCTGACGAACAACAACATCTGTGAGCTGGGCGACCTCGAGCCGCTCAAGGAGCTCAGGCACCTCAAATACATCTCGCTGCTCGGCAACCCCGTGCGCGAAAAAAAATGGTACCGCGAGTGGCTTGCCTGGAGAATTCCTGGGCTAAGAGTTTTGGATTTCCAGAGAATTCGCGATAAGGTGCGCTCACCTGCACCTTTGTTCGATGGAGGCGGGCCCGACTGAACAATTTCGCTCGATCATCACGTAGGAACGCGCGCATGCGAAATCTCTGTTCGTCACGTCAGATGGCCTACCCACGGCGCTTGCGACGACGATTTCGACAACCGTCTCAACAAATTTGAGCAGGGCCGTGCTCACGATAGATGAGCCCAAGGCGGCGCCAACAGCAGGTAAAGCTGGCCGTTTGATGTCAAAAGAGGACCAAGAGAAAGTAAGGGCGGCTATCCAAAAGGCTACGTCGATGGAGGAAGTGAGGAAGTTGGAGAGAAGCCTACGGGAAGGATACTTGCCAGACCTAGACTCAGTTGGTGCATAGTCGGTGTGTCTTGTGTTGTACAACTCTTGTATTTTTCTGCGACCCTCTTTTCTTATAATGCCAAAAGACTCTAGTACATTTTGCACTACATTGCGGCTACAACACGAAAGAATTCGAGCATGCTGGGTGAAATATCGTCTATCGTCATTGTCTTCATCATCAGGATCCTTTGGCGCCTGCATTCCCAATCCACAAGCCATGGAAGCCTAGTGCAAGGACAGCACCGAGGTTGGCGAGAGAACTAACACCGTGGAGCACTCCAAAGCGATGATTCAGAGCTTTCATCTCCTTCGACACCTGTATAACATTAATGAATATAGTCCCAAGAACGCAAAGATGATAAGAATACCCCAGGCTCGTTATAGGTCTTGCCTTCTTCCTTCTCGAGTTTCTGGCGCTGGAACATCGTCCTAAGTAGAGATAAACGTTTAAACAGCGACACGATACAACGATATTTCCGACGTACTTGCTCGTCAACGGCCCGATGATGAAGTAATTGCTTGCCTGCCCGAGCAGCACGATCGCAAGAGCGTAGACCTGAGCAACATCAGCGACATTGGGTCGCGTGAGTTGGTCGAGAACGTCTGGGTGTTTGAAGATCCATGCCGAGAGCAGGCCAGATGACAGAAGGATTGAGATAACGAAGTACACGGGGAACGTCCTGTGTTGGAGAGCACCGAACTGGTGTCGCGCTACATAGAATAAACCGCCCAATATTTCAGGAAGGGGGCGATAAGAGAGGGAGGTATGACGCACGTAGAGTTCTGAAGGCGATTATCCCTGTACACCGAGTGTTTGCAAGCCATTGAGCACGCCATATAGTCCTGAAACGCTCCTACTAACCTCCAAAGAATGAGATCCAGACGGCTATAATCGTCTCAACGTTAGAAGTTGTCGGAAACCCAGCAAGACACCCTTTCAAACACGTACACATTCCAAACAGCCATGCATATCCAACGAGGTACAAGCTGTCCAAGTTGGCCAACCCGATCAGCGAAGAAAACGTTAGAACTTCAGTTTTAGTCATGTTGAAAGGCGGTCGAGCGGGGAGAGAGAGGTATAGTTACAACGTCAGTGGATGTGTGGGTATAAGTATTCCTGAAATGCAACTTCGAATTACACGGGTCCCGATCAAGGTAGACCCAGAAGTTTCTCAGTGTCAGCGGTTATGACACCGGGTCCGATCCCAGAATCCAAGGCCGGACCTATAGAGCTCTGTTCGTCATGCGAAGTGACCCAAGAGTGAGAGTGATTCAGAAAGTTGTGAAGCCTCAGCGAATCTCATGGGTTGTTATGGTAGTAGGTAGGACGGTTCGTCTATTGATGGCCCGGATTATAAAATAACTTCTGCGAACGTCTACATGATGTTTATCCAATAACGAGCTTAGAGTCGCCTTCAGTGAACTCATATTGAGGGATCTCAAGGTTAAGCTGATAGCGAAGACATAAGCGATACGAAGAATTGGTTGAAGGAGGTCCAACTTACAGGAGCAGGTCCTTTGCGAGCACGGCCGGCTGTAGGCAGACTGTTAGTAAATGCCGTTGTCGACAGAGATGTTCGGACGAACAGATATCATAATGTGAACCGTGGCAAGGACAGAACCTAAGCAGAGGCAAGATTTAATTTTCGAGCATCCAACGACTGGAGAGGGTTGTACACACCAGCCTCCATAGTCACCAGCTTCACCAATGGGCACGCATCCCAAATGAGTGCAGACACCAAGCATGACGAGCCACTCAGGCTTCTTCACGCGAGCCTCATCGGACTGAGGGTCCCTGAAGCTCTTCCACTCCGTAGAACGCGCCTCCTGGATTTCATCCGCAGTTCTGTGACGGATGAACACGGGCTTTCCTCGCCACTTGATGATGACGTTCTTCCCCTCAGGGATGCTCGCCAGCTCGACCTCGACCTTGGCCAGCGCGAGGACGTCGGCAGAGGCAGCCATGCTCTGGAGGAACTCGGACACGGAGGACTTGGCGGCGGAGGCGGAGATGACACCGAGCGAGCCGACCATGAAGTAAGAGAAGGCGCGATTGCCTGTCGGGTCTGTGCGGTAGGCGGAGAAGTCGGGAACCTGGGGCGCGTCTTTCCTTGCGACGGAGGTGGAGATGAAGCGTTGCTGGAAGTTGATGGAGGGTTGAGCTGAAGGGGCGGCTACGGTAAGAAGCTGGGATACTTTGAGCGATTAAGCACGTACCAGAGGTAAACGTCTTGGATACCAGTCCCGACGAAGTCAGAGAGACGCCTCCAGCCCACCGGGGGGCGCTGTCCGAACGGGGTCCTTGTTCTGTGTGACCATGAGCATGGGTATCATGGGGCGCCTTCGCTGCGAGGTTCAGCAAAGGAGCGTGGGGGACGCCGCTGGCGAGGATGCGGACTGTGGGGGACAAGCTTACGGCCCTTTTGACGGCCTGGACAGTAGCCATGGGTGAAGAGCAGTCTTTTCGAGTGAGCTGAATGAGAGTAGCAACGTCGAGCACAACTTTCCTCCAGCCGGCGTTTGCCGAACTCAACTCCCTTGCCCGTTCCGTCCCGGTCCAAAGGTGCCAATCACGCGCCTCCAATATCAAAGGCCTCTCAACTGTGACTTCTTTTCTCTCATCCTCTTGGGCGCTAAGCGCTTGTAGGTTTCAAAAGTACCTTCTACGCAAAAACCGTTTCGTAATATTAATTATGGGTATAAGAATGCGTTTGTCCACTACGTTCTAAAGCTCTAAACAGTTTGTAGATGTTTCTTCAAGCATCTCATCACAGTCGCTTCAGAGAACGGAGAGGCGACAGGCTGTCCTCGCTGCTGAATAAAGCGCCGGATTTGTGTGGGGTAGTCCGTGATGATACCGTCGACGCCCCAGTTGAAGAGCTGCTCCGCGATGCTAACGCGGTTGACCTGCGTTCAATGTCAGAGTCAGGCAGCCTTTCAACGTACTGATGATCCAAACAACTCACCGTCCAGGGCTTGACCAACATCCCATTTTTGTGAGCCTGATCGATCATCGCTTTTGTGGTGAACGGGATGTAACCAGGCTGAGCGGGGTCAGGAGCCAAAGACAGCCCCGACGTTGCGGAAGGCGACAGGATGGATGCCTTGATGGAGTACGCCGCATTGGCGATTTTCTCGCCGAGGGTAGCTCCCTCAAAAGCGAAGACGTTGAGGCCAGCTGTGAAACCAATAATAAGTGTCTCTCTAGGCATGATATAAGCTACACCGAAAAATCGTCAACTGAAATGAATCGACGCACTCGCTGACCAAGGCCGCTGTCGGGATGCGAGGCTCGAGAGCTTTCATTTTGATCAGAGTGCGCCAGTCAAAGCTTTGATACTTTGGAACGTGTAAGTCCCATCGAGACCGTCCAGTATAGCCTATACCCACAGTAATCTGCGACAGCTTGTAGGTGCTCTTCACGAAGGCCTGGTGTTGAAGTGTTACAAAATCATCAACTCCACGCGTTGAGGTTCTCGAAATCGGGTTGATCTTCGACTCAATATTCCATTGCAGTTCTCGTTTGGTATCGACGCAAGTCGCGAACTCGAACAACTCATCCAGTGTCGAGAGCTTCGTGCCAGGATACGACAGCTGGAGCGCTACAAGTGGAAATCCCGCGAAAACCAGCTCAACATGACCCTTCACCCCAAACGAGCAAAGCGAACGACTCACGGAAGCCCAACAATCGCGCTGACCCACAGTCCAGAGTCTTGATCTGAGCCAGGGTGAGGTTTGCAACACGCTTGCCGACATATGGGAAATCGGGGTCATCTTTGACCTGAAACGAAGAGGGGTACGGTGATAAGAAAGGCAGAAGGGGATATATTTAGCTGGCGAAGCACATACGACAGGTGCGGTGTCCTTGCACTTGTCGGCTGTTATTTCTTCGTCATGCCAGACAAGAACGGCGCCATCCTACGTGTACAAGAAGAATGGATAGAATGATTATAATGGGAGTTTTGGTGTGGGTAAAGGAGGCAAGGGACGTACCTTCGTGATGCCGTTGTCCAACTCGAGAGTCGTAACGCCATCGATCAGTGCCCTTGCGAATGCTAAGTCAATTGGAAGAGTGAAAGATCCGGAACTCGTGTATACCAGGCGAAGGCTGGGAGGGTGCTCTCCACCGCTTGTCCCCGAGTTCCGCGATGCCCCTTATCAAAGTGATGAGTAAATACATGGAAATACAGAGACTGGTCTTACTTGTACGTCGAATGGTTTGGGCTTCGACACGACTTGCTGCACCGGCCCAGCAGACGTGATGGCAACCGCAGAGAGGACGTAGACGGCGAGCGACAAGGTCTGCATGGTGGACGACAAGTGGAAATGGCCAAGCGGGCACAACTACCTCCACTACTTACGCGCTCAGAAGTGGATCCTCTTATTAGTCCGACTTCCCTCGTGGCGGATCTCTGGGCACAAGGACATAGAAGCAATAATCCCATATGCCCCGCCGGCAACGTTTGTGTGTCATGATGAAGTCAAGGGATCAGAGAATGACTATGTATCATCCTCACTGGTACGTCTCTGGCGGCGCTGGAAGAAACGTTCTCCAACGAAAGCAGACGGTGCATCCTCATTGTGGACATCACAAATCACGAACGTGCACTACAGAAGCGCGACAGACTTACATGACAAGAATGGGATATAACATCAGGAAAACACTTGGAAGATGTCGCACATGAAAATGGCTCAGTGGTGAGCGCGATCAGCGACGAGCGTGTGATCATGAGACGCCAGATGCCAGGCGTTTAAAAATACAGAGTCCAATGGGCACGAAAATCACTGTCTGCGACCACTCGTTCCGTTTCCCCACTACTACGAGTGCCCAGCAGAGAAAGACGAGAGTGACGTAGATGTCCTGCAGAGCCCACGGACAGACTGGAATGAGGGTCGATGATCTGCGAGTTTATTGATTCCGGTTGTTTCGAAAGAGCGGTGGTTGGGTGTTGCAAGAGTGTGCTTGAAGGCGCGATTATCTTCTACTTCTTGGATGGTGGGCTGTCGCTAGGAGGTGGGCTACTGTCTTTGTTAGCACCACTCGATTTTCCGTCGACGTTATTCAGACCAAGGTTCTTCCACTCGTCTCGCTCCATCAAACCTCTGCACGAATTGAGACCAAGAGCAATGGAGAAACAAGGAACGGGCACGCTCACTTTTCCATCCGGCAGTCAAGGTACCCCTTGCTCAAAGCTCGACATGGGGTGGAGGTGCTGCTATTCTCCTTGAGACAGGCCATGTACTTGACCATCTTTTCCTTGCACTCGCCTGCCGTTCCGTTCCGTCAGCCGAAGAAACCAAGTCGCGGGATGGGGAATACGAACCATAGTGGTCGAGAGGGAATGATCCGCGGTCGGGTGCCGTAGGCTTGAAACCTATGTTTATCGAAGGAGGTCGTCCGAAAGACATGAAGGGTAATGGTATGAGCAAAGAACGGACCAGGATTGGTCTGCAACGGAACGGAACGAAAGCAGCGTGCGAACGGCTCTATCGTCCGAAACGGCCTCTGTTGTAAGGCAGCCTGGCTTTTAGCTCTTTCTCTGATCCCCTTTCCTCCCCTTTTCCATCTCCCCCGTCTTGCGAACCAAGAGTTAAAGAAAGCGGTATTCTTCTATATCTACGATGCTAGAAGTACATCATATGCTCATGCCAGTATATCCAGGAAAACGATATGGGTGAATGATGCTGCAGCGTCCACCGACTACTTCTTCGAAGACTTGGCGGGTTTTTTGCCCTTCCCCTTCTTCGACTTGTCCTCGACCTCAGATTCGGATTCCTCCTCATCTGTACTGGGCTCTGAGCGCGTGGTGGGTGCGCCTCCTCCCGATCCACTGGCGCTGGCACCTTGGCTCATTGAGGCACTCCCTGTGGCGAGGGCGGCTGCCTGGCTCAATGCCTGACGATGGGCAAGGTTACTTGCAGCGAACTGTGTGCCTTTGAGCATGACTATCTCCTTCAGCCAACCATTCTCTCGGCGCAGGTCAGCGACCTCGCGTTCCAGTTCCTCTGCTCTCCCAGTCAAGTCCGACACTGAACGCTCTAGGGTGATCGTCTTGTGCTTCTTCTTGATTCGAAAACGCGCTGTTGATGAATGCTGAGACGAATCTAGTGTCGGCAAGCAGGTGCTCTTACCGGAGGCTGCTGTGTTCCTGCGTCTCTTCTCGTCTGCTATCGCTCGGCCCTGCTCGTCGTCTGCTGGCGGGGATGATGATGATGCCGCTCCTGGGGAGTGTGAACCGCGACCACGGCCAGCTGAAGCTCTTGTCGCGTCGGAAGTAGACGCAGAAGTAGACGCCGACGCTGAAGCCGGCAGGGACCCGTAGTGCGGATCGAGGAAGGGTAACATGCCCGTGCTCGGATGGCTATGGTGGGGATCGTAATGGCTGGGCCCCGCTTGGGGATGATGCGTTTGCACACCATGCCAAGCGAAGTCGAGGGATGAGAGAGGCGGAAGTTGTGGCGGCGGCATTGAGGTATGGTGGAGGAAGTTGCCATAAAATCCCGGAGACGGAGCCATAGAAGGGTAAGGTGTTCCCTGGGGCACCATGCCAGGATACGGTTGATCAAGATCAGCTGTCCCAGACGCCGCCGCCGCGAATTGTGCCAGTAAGGCAGCATCCTGCAAATCTGACGGTATTGAGGTTCCGGATGTTCGGGGATGGAAATAGAAGGTGGTGAACTCACTTGCGCCGCTGTTATCAAGAGAATGTTGCTGCTGTCCTTGGGCGTTGGTAGAACTAGAAGTAGAGCGTGATCTTGGAGGATTTCTCGGATTAGGGGGTTGTTGGTCACGGTCCATGTCGAATGCGAAGACGACTCGTTCCCAGTGTTCTAATTCCTTGGCTGCTGCAGGGGAAGGCAAAGAGGCGAGATCCTCTGCAGCCTCGCTTTTGAGAGTGAGCATAGCCAGGCAGTGAGAGTAAACCAACAATACTCGATGTGGACGCATTTCAGGCCTGACGGAGGACATACGGTAGGAGTGATTCGCCATCGGGACACAAGATTGCGACAGTTCGAACGAGTAATACGCAAACGGCACCCTGATTCTAAAAATGTTCCTCCACCGCTCCTATTTTGCACAACGCTGCGAGGCATTTTTGCAGTACTTTCCAAAGCGTCAATACGGTCTTTTTGGTACTAAAATGGGACGGGAACGTCATTTCTTTAGGTATTCGGAATTGCTCGACACCCAAGAGTATGTCGCCTAAGTCGAACCGTTCGCGGGATGTCAAACTGATGGCCACACGAAGGCTGCACGAAGGCAAATTCTTCGGTGCAATTTCGTCATACTCTCTTCTATTCTCTCTGCCTCGATCAGGACTGTCTGCGTGGTCCCCTTCCTAACAGAAAGAAATGACCATTGCGGCTCTTGGGGCAGACGAACTGGATGGGCGGCAAATGCAGCTCGACCCGGCTCGGGTTGCGCCACTCAAAGCCGGTCCGATTCCTCAACATTCCATCATTGATGCTTAGGTCAGCCATTACGCGTCCGAGCCTGACGCGTCGTGCGGTGAGGTCACCAACTCTGTCTTCTACCACATCGTTCGTCTCCTGATTCCAACAATGGTACGGAATTGAACACAGTTAACCATACAACGTTTCTCACTATGTGCAGCTTATAAGAATACGATCGAAAGACGGAAACTTTCGTTTCGAATTTGCGCCTCACAGTGATATATCACAACTTTTGGAAAAGGTATGGTTTATGGTATTGAATGTATCGCTTATAATAACACCATTGCGTAGATTGTAGAGACAGCGAGCAATCCCGATCTAGCAAGCATCACCATTTCGAATCAACCCCGAGGGAACGAAGTCAAGATCTCCACTCTAAAGGGGAGGACACTGGGGGACCTAGGGCTCAAGTACGTCGTCAATTTTCACAGCTATTCATCGCTCACATTTCATTCTTAGCCACGGAGACCTTGTCTTTGTTGGGTATCAATCTAAGTCTGATTCATCGAGCCAGCAACCAAATGCACCATCTACTTCAACCGTAACTGCGACATCTGGTTCCCCACGAAAGGAGGACACCGCAAAACGACCATGGGAGACTGTCATAGAGGACCCAATCGATGTATACTGGCGATCGCATTCTGGGAAGATCCCTCGGGGACGCGATTCACGATTCTGCAAGCACGCAATGAACGGAATGTGCGATTATTGTATGCCTCTGGAACCCTATGACGCGGCCTACCACAAGGAACACTCCATCAAGCATTTGTCTTACCATGCATATCTGGCCAAGATTACCCCAAAGCCCACAGCATCAGCAGCGTCGACGCTTCCACCTCTGAATCCGCTGTCCTACAAGGTCAAGCTGCCCTGTCCGACAGGCTCTCATCCACCATGGCCTGCAGGAATCTGTACTGCGTGTCAGCCCTCATCCATCACCCTGCAATCCCAACCCTTCCGGATGGTAGATCATCTAGAAATCGCGTCTACGGACATCATCGATCGCTTCTTGCAGGCGTGGCGGAAGACTGGTCTTCAGCGCTTTGGGTGGCTGATTGGGCGCTACGAGCCGTATGACGAGGTGCCGATGGGCGTCAAAGCGGTTGTGGAGGCGATCTACGAGCCCCCGCAGCAGGGCGAGCTCGACGGGCTCACGCTTGGCTGGCCATGGGAAGAGGAGACACGTATACGCCAGCTTTCTGCCGCCGCGTCAACTCCGCTGACGATCGTGGGGTACGTTTTCACGGACCTTGACCCGACGCCGGAAGACCGCACGAAGAACGTGTACAAGAGGCATCCGCAGTCGTTCTTCTTGAGCTCGTTGGAGGCAATCTTTGCGGCGACGGTGCAGGCGAAGAACCCTACGCCGTCCAAGTCGTCGCCGACAGGCCAGTATGCTTCTCGGTTGGTGACAGCGGTGCTGACAGGCACGGAGGATGGGCAGATCGACGTGTCAGCGTATCAGGTCTCGGAACAAGCTGTGGCGATGGTTGAGGCTGATATGATCGAGGCTAGCGTGGAGGCGGGTATTGTACGCGTCAAAGAGGAGGACAGGACGAACGACTCGGCGCGGTATGTTCCTGATGTGTTCTTCTCGTACAAAAACGAGTACGGCCTTGAGGTGAAGAAGACCGCGAAGCCTTGCTTCCCAGTGGAATACCTTCTCGTTAACGTAAGAATCATACGCTCTTCGTGGTATTTTATATCGCTGAGACATTAGGCTTCAAGGTCACCCATGGCTTCCCTCAGGGTCCTGCACCTCTATTCCATTCAACCGCGTTTGCCATCGAGAACCGACCAGGACTCGAAGATCAAACCGTGGACAACGCGATGGCGACTCTAAACCGTTTGGAGGCACCGTCGTTGCCTGCTGGAAGCGAGTCATATAAGAAGTTGGAGCTCGCCAAATGGTTGAGCGACTGGCACCTCGTCGCGTTCCTTGAGACAACGCAGTTGTTCTCTGTGGTAAGTCCCTAGACGTGGCACAGTATGATGCGGCATGTTAACGGAGAGTGTATAGGACGACATCAAGCTTCTTATGCGCACCGTAACCACACCCAACCTCCTCGAAGACACGAAGAACATCGACCCGATACTCAACACAGAGAGCTGGCAGACGCTCATGACCTTTACACGGGAAAGTGCTCGTAAGTCCCTTCTTTCCTCACCCAATCACCCTCTTTATTCATCCATCTCACCCCCTTTCCTCTTTCCTCACTTCTTACAGCCGCCCGCCCCTCAACCTCCGCACCAAGCGGCCCCTCCTCCGGAATGGTCATCGACGACGACGAGATCCCGCAAGAGGTGTTCGACCAGATCGCTGCAGAAGAAGCGGCGGCGCGGAACGGCGGTGCTAGCGGGAGCGGTTCTGGTGCTGGGAGCTCTGGTGCTGGGACTCCGGGGATTAGGATATGCCCGCACTGTACGTTCGAGAACACGCACGGGGGGTCGGATTGTGAGGTTTGTGGGCTGCCGTTGTAAGTGCCGCGTTGTGTGGGTGGTTGGTGTTGTGGATCATGTTGGGCGTTGGAGATTGCAGGATGCTTGGAAGCCAGGAAGACAATATTGAAGATGGGAATGGACCCACTTACAGGAAGATGGAATTCGTTTAGACACTCTCGAAGAGCATCTATAGGTATCACAATTCATGTACACTGTACAGTCAGTCATTTTATGTATCAAAAATTCATCCTCGATGTCGCGCTTTTCTGAGCTCGAGTGCGGTTTTATCACATGGAAGTGAAAGAGCCCGTCCACCAGCATCTGGATCGTCGATGATGGACTTCGTGATGCAGATGCAGATGCCAGCCAGTGGTGAGGCATCGATATCCAAAACATGAGCAGCTTCCTCCTTCTCCTCTTTCATCGCCCACCTACGCACCGGGGTTTAGAACAGACCAACATCCATCGAGCTCGAGTGACGTCCCACCAAGACGTCTGTCAATGTCCACCATACAAACCTCGAGCTCGCGCCGCCCTACCGCAGGGATGGGATTTATGTAAAGAAGCTCGCTTCAGACGGCTCCTGTTCTCCACCCCCACCCCCGCAGCGAGTACGCGTGCTTTCGAGGGTTCTTAGGCGTTGCCGATAGGCGATAGGCCTTATAAACCGTAGCGAGGAGAGCGGTCGAAGGACGACAGTCGATGCCCCTTCTCTCCTTCTCACATCTACCCGAAATTCAAGACGCTGCTAGGAATTGAACGAATGATAAGCCGTAGACGAGGCGGAGTGAGTGTTCATGCTTGTATTTCTGTATCTACTTCCCATACAAAGTGTTCTCTCTATAGAAAACCTACGACGACGAAGAAAAGGGTGTAGAGATGAATCTACATACGACAATGATGATGAAGGACGACAACGCGTCCATTGCCTTGCGTCCAGCCTCGTCCATCCGAAGAAGACACACGCCTGACGCGCGGTCCGCAGTACAAGAGTAAGGAGTAGGAAAAGAAAGAACAACAACAATATGAGAGGCTGGTGAGTGTTCATGCGCCTGCCAGCCACTGCTCGACGCCAATTACAACCAAAGGGAAGAAATCAAGGAACCCCTTCACATGTCCTTATCCAACCGCAGTTCTCAGACACTCTGAGCTACACTAAGAAAATATCCACCACACCGCAAACGAAACCCCAAACAGCACACCCAACGCCCTCGCGATGATGACCACGACCAGCGCCTTCCTAATCGCCGCATAGAACGTATTCAGCGCCGTCCCCGACCAATTGATCCTGCGATCATTCGTTCCTCCCCCACGCACACTCGCCTCCCAGCCCCTCACGACCTCGCGGTACCGCTTCCCGAAGACCCAGATCCAGAAGTTGACATCGGGATAGGAGAACCGGGGGAAGACGCTCGCGAGACTGGGGGCGACGTATTCCATGCGGAAGTCCTCGACGACGTGCTGGTAAGGGAGCTGCATCACGGAGGATAAGGGCGAGGAGGGCGGGGAGTCTTTGAGGGTGTGTGAGGGCTGTTGGGAGGTTGGGGGCGGGAGGATCATGTAGGACATCAGGTCGAGGGTCATCCCGAGGGACAAACCCCAGAGTTTGAGCTGCTGCGGGCGCAGGAGGCCTTGTGATTTGGGATTGGAGGTTTTGGGGTTGGAAGATGGGGCGGCTTTCTCGTTGTTGGTCTTGGAATCGCCATTGAGTTGTGGAGAGGCAAACGGAGATGACGCGGAGGGCTGGAGTACGATCGCAGGGAACTCCATGCTTCCGATGAACACCCGTACGAGAAGGCGCAGGAACGAAGAATGTTTTGGGGCGAGGCGCGAAGCAGCGTCGACAGTAACGTTGGACCAGCGGGGCGGGGTGTTGATCGAGACGAGGGAGGTGAGAGGTGTCCAATGCAGAGTTGTAGTGTCGACAGGATCAGGCGGGGGTGCGTGTGGTGTGAACTGGAGGAAGACGAAGGGGGAGAGGATCATAAGGAGGCGCTTGCCGAGGGAGGTGGTAATCTCGCGGTCGTCGAGCTGGCCAACGCAGGTGTAGCAGGGCTCGGCGAGGTCAATGCCGATCTCTTCCCAGGTCTGGCGCATCGCTGGATGTGATGTGAGTGATTGCAGCGGAGAAGGGGTGGGTAGGTGCATGCAACGCACCGGTGTACAAGCCGCCCTCGTCGTCGGGTTCCTGGCGGCCGCCGGGGAACGCGACGTGGGCCTCGTTCTGCTTGTGGTTTATCCTGGCCTGCCACATGGAGGCGTCGGTGGCCGCATGGTTCTCGCGGTGGAGGTAGAGGATCTCTGGGCGGGCGTGGGGATGGTTGACCCAGTCCTGGTCGAAGAACTCGGGGAGGGTGGGGGGTTTCTCTGGGATCTGGGGCACTGGGGCGTTGGGAGCGGGGACGACGCGGATGATGAGCGCGACGGCTGCTCTGCGGGGTTCTGTGTAGGAGGTTAGATATGAGATAACGCGGGGGGGCGGATTGGTTGGGGCAGCCAGGGGCAGTACGTACGGGTTGGGGGAGACGTGATTATGCGGGGCGGGGTTGCGCGGATGCGGTGGAGGGCGCGGGCGAGGAGGGGGACAGTGGGCGGCTCGCTGGCCATTGGTTTCTTTGTTCTGCTGTCGTGAGTGGGAGGGATGCCGGTTCGTGCGTGTGCCCCAAACTTATTTTCGCTGACGTCCATTCCCGGCAACTCCCGCCACACAAGCCGGCATCCAATCACACTCGGTCTCATTCAGTAGAGAATGCTATTCTAAATCTCAGCCCAGCCCCCGTCTGCCTCT